TTTTTTTAGGGTTGTTAAGTTCGAAATTAAATTGTGATGCGTCAATACCATGTGATAAGTATCCCTGTAAAAAATATTGTCCAAACACTGTCGGTTTTTTGTTCGGAAAATCGACCCTATTATGAACATTTACTTGACATTTATTGGACATATTGTACGTTTTTTATGTGGTTAAAAATTCTCTCATTCTCAAAAATGACGAGAGGATATTCGTTAGAACAAGATTTAAAATTATTAATAGATAATGAAAAATGTAGCGATATAGAAATATTATGTGAAAATGAAAAGAAATTATATGGTTCTAGAGCAATTTTAGCGGCAAGGTCTGAAGTATTTGACAGATTACTTTATAGTGGGATGAAAGAAACCCAAATTTCTTTTCCAAAAATTAATTCTTTCGTAATGAATATTATATTAGAATATATTTATACTGGTTCAATTAATAAAGAATCTTTAAATAAAAATAACATAATTGAAACTTATTATGCTGCAGATAATTTTAAATTACCATCACTTCAGGAATTTATTATGAATATTATTAAAAATGCGGATTATTTGGAAAATTATTCACCAGAATTATTATCCAAAATTATGGATATAATGTCATTATCAGAAAATAATATTCTTCTAAATTTATTGGTTGAAACGGTATCAATTATACCATTGGATACTATTGAACCTGATCGATTATCTATTAAAGCACTTCGACATCTTTTATCCTGCACGTATAAAAAAGAAAAACCTTTTGCCACTCCAGAATATGAAGTTTTTCGATATAATGCTATTCTTGCAGCAAAACAAGTTTCTAATGGTGCGTATGAAACTCTTATGGAACAGTTACCGGCCTTAGACCAAATAGAGGATTCAAACCAAGTACGTAATAATTCTATTACTGGTCATCAAAAAGTTGCCAATGAATTGGAGCCTTTGGCTCATTTTATTGATTTTAGTCAAATAGAAAGTCAAATTTTATCCGATATTATCGAACCATTAGAAATCACTCCATCTAATATGATTGTAAGTGTTTATCGTCAGATAGCTAAATCAAATAATTTATTTCCTAGTGGAGTTCGAGGAATATCAATGTATAAATTTACAGAATCAGATTATGTTTGGGATGAATCAGCATGTGGATCAATTGAAGACAATGGAAAAGTTGTGCATGCACCGGATGGTTGTGGACATCTAAGTGTTAGAGCTAAAATGCCATTAGATTATAAAGGAATTTTTGAATGGAACGTTATTATTGAAAAATATTGTGTTGATACTTGGGTTGGGGTATGTGCATCAGAAAATTTTGATTATGAAAAGCGGGCAGGATATCAATCTACCGGTTGGGTATTAGGTTCCTATGGTCATTTTAAGAATTCTAATAAAGGATCAAATTATTGTTTACAATTTAGAAAGGATAATACAAAAATAACTGTTCACCTAAATATGTATAAAAAAACTTGTGCTTTTTCAATTGATGGTACAAAGTATAAGGAAATATCAGTGAAGGATTTACCGTCAAAACTTTTTCCAGTAGTATCAATAAGTCATCCTGGTCGTCTTCGAATTCTGCCTTATCAAATAATTCGATAATTAAAGAAAAAATGTATTAGTATGATTATTGAAAAATTTTTTTATAGCAAATACTTTTCATTAACATTGAACGTTCGAATTTTATATTATTAGAATAACAAAAATGTAATTTTATTTGTTTTTACTAATATGAAAGAGAGATAATATATATTTATATTTGAGGCGATGAAATGTGCGACAAATTTTTTCCAAATTTTTTTGATGTCTTCTGTCTTCTTTGTATAATATTGAAATCTTTCATATTAAAATCGTTTTTTCATTCTCAGATATGACGAGAAGGTTAATCTAATAAATATAGAAATATATAAATATGTAATGATAGAATTAAAATGCGAGCTATATTATTAAATGATTTTTAAATAAAGAATTTACTAGTTAGTAAAAATTAGTAAAAATTATATGTAAATATTATATAAATATGTAATATGCAAGAATGTGGTTTAGAAAAATTTTAGCGGAAAGTCAAAAGTATTTTACAATCAAATTATTTTACAAAAATCTATTCTTCTAAAAGAAAAATTATTCTAGAATACATAGTTATACCGGTTCAATTAAAAAGAATCTAAATAAAATAGAAAGCTTTTCGTGCTGCGAATTATTATGAAAACAATTAAAATACTTTAGAAAATTTCGAAAATGTGGTGACTTTTACCCTTCATTATATAGATAGACTCCTTGAAACATCTACTCTATTTTTATTATATTTGAAACGGAAACCTTCCGTATGGTTTTCAATTTAATAATCAATGAATTAATAAAATTTTTCACAATTTTAAGAAAATTCAAACTCCATTAATAAGAAATTCTTTAGGAATAGCATTTTCATTAATTTTGGAAATAATCCTAAAAAGCTAGATAAAACTTGCATCATTATTATAGTTATAACTATTTCAACAGCGTATTGTTAACGATCCGAATTTTCCGCCATTCATTTTCATTTCGCAGCAAGCTGTAGCTCCCTGTCCCATCTCATTGACTATAATAATGGTGCAGAAATTCCTTGAAGAGTCGCGAATTCCATTGCCATTATTGTCGGTAACGTATAGTATATGATTAATGAAAGGTGAACGTCATCACTTAAACCTGTCATCATCATTCAGCGCCAAATAATAACGATAGTATTAAGAAAAATAAATGTATTTCTTATACAGTTTTCGAGGTTGTCACGTCTAGATTTAGAAACGAGGTATTGTATAATAGACTTGTGCGATAGAAGAATTTTTTATAGTTTACCCAAAACGTAATATCATTTTTTCCGAAATCTCACTGGAGTAAAAGCTCTGGAAAAGAAATTATGTAATGTAGCCTGCATTATAACCTTAATATAGTATGATTAAAATTATCGGATTATGGGGTTAATAATAAAGTGACAAGAAGAAGGAGATTTGATAACTTGTTTTATCAAGTAATGAACAAGATACAATATTTGATTTGATTTAAATTGGATTATCTCACTTGTTTTCCAGATAAAGAGGAAGTTAATAAATTCTCTTTTAAATCAAGAATCAGTATCCATTAAAAAAAAAAATAACAAGAATTGTCATTACTGGTATTGAAAACAATGAATGTAGTGCAATTCTTCATAATTTTAATAGATTCTTCAAAGATACGAACATAAGATTTTAAAAAATCTCCACCATCTATATATAAGTTTTTAGTGGACACGATCTCACTTAAAACTTTGATAGTTTTTAGACAATGAATTTATCATTTTACACGGTAAGCCGGTAAGTTTTTATACTTGATATTATCGACCATAAGTAAGCAATTAGTTAAACATTTCAAAAGTAGATAAATTAATTTATATTATCTAAGGGAACGTTATACATAGAAATATTACTATTTACTGATATATATTAAGGACTAAATAAAGAAGTAATTTGTTTTTTTTTTCAAATCATTTAAATTTTAATTATCGAGCAAAAGGTAATAGAACCGCGAACGTCATATGAATTAATCAATTTTTCAAGAATTATAATAAAAATTGATAAGGCTGAATCCGAAGGCGACCAGGATAATGTAATGATGCTACTGGATAAAGTTTTGATGGTAAATTATTCCAATTTGATACTACTGGATATTTTGTACCATTGACTGAAAAAGCGCAAGTTCTTTCATTCATATTTAAATGAACTGTTACTTTTACGTTATCATTTTGAAACGATGGACAATATAATGTCCTCTTACCAGAATTATAAGAATAACCATTTGTACCCAATATCCATCCGGTAGGTTGATTTCCTGGCCAGGTTTCGTAATTAAAATTTTCTGTTGCACATACTCCAATCCAAGCATCTTTACAAAATTTTTCAATAATAACATCCCATTCAAAAATTCCTTTATTATCCAGTATCCTTTTAGCTCTAACAATTTGGTGTGCATTATTCTTACCGTATACAAATTTTCCATTATCCTCAATAATAAGGTCCGACCCACATGCTGATTCATCCCAAACGTAAATTGTTGGTAGTATTCCTCGAATTTCACTTGAATTTAAATTATTTAATTTAGCTATTTGCCGATAAACATCCATAATTATTTTCGATGGAGCAATTTCTAAGGGTTCAATAATATCTGTTAAAATTTGTCCTTTTATTCGGCTAAAATCAATAAATTTTGTCAAAGGCTCTAATTCTTTTGCGACTTTTTGATGATCAGTTATAAGTTTATTTGATGCTTGTATTGAATTTTTTATTTGTTCAAAAATTGGCAACCTTTCCATAAGAGTTTCATATGCATCATTAGAAACTTGTTTCGCTGCGAGAATAGCACTATATCGGAAAACTTCATATTCTGGAGTGACAAAAGATTTTTCTTTTCCATGCGTACATGATAAAAGATGCTGAAGTGCTGTGATAGATAATCGACCAAATTCAATAGTATTTAATGGTATAATTGATACCGCTTCAACCAATAAATTTATAATAACATTATCTTCTGATAATGGCATTATTTTCACAGCTTTGGATAATAATTCTGGTGAATAATTATTCACGTAATTATTTTCTAGAGCACTTTTAACAGTTTTCATAATAAATTCTTGAAGATTCGGTAATTGAAAATATTCCGCAGCATGAAAAGCTTCAATTATATTGTTTTTATTTATAGATTCTTTTTTAACTGAACCAGTATAAATATATTCTAATATTATTTTCATTCCAGAAAAATTAATTTTTGGAAAAGAAATTTGGTTTTCTTTCGTCCCATTGTAAAGTAATCTGTCAAATACTTCTGACCTTGCTGCTAAAATTGCTCTAGAACCATGTAATTTCTTTTCATCCTCACATAATATTTCTACATCACTATATTTTGGATTATCTATTAATAACTTTAAATCTTGTTCTAATGAATATCCCCTTGTCATTTTGAGAATGAATAGGAATGAGAAAAAAGCGATCCTTTAAAAATAAAACTAGACCATATTTATTAAGTATAGATGGTATGATATCACATCTAGCGTAATTATGTCAATATTTACCAAATTCAGAGTACTATGATTCAGTTGGTTTCTAATTAGATATGTGGAAGGCTTACCCAAGCACATGAAAGAATATAGTAATTTTCTTATCATTACAAATTTCATTTTTTTTAATACGCTGTTTTTCATATTAATAAAATAATAGAATATTATAATATGTTGAAGCAAAAAAATTCCAAAATAAGTATAAATGATAATACAGTTTAACTTTTTCGATGAGGATGACGTAATATTACAACTGGATAAGAGTGGTAATTTATTCTACCTGATACTTCCGAATACTTTGTACCATTAACTGAAAAAATACAAATTCTTTCGTTCATATGTTATCATTTTGAAACTGCGAACAATAACATGACACCGTATTAGAATTATGAACATTACCACAGGAACCTAATACCCATCCAGTAGACATCCCAAAAATTTCTTTATTGGCTAAAAGCGTCTTTAGTTCTAACACTTTGAAGTCCACAACTATTTGGTGCCTCAATAATAAGCTTCTCTACATGTTGATTCATCTAAAACATAATCTGATTCTTTGAGTGTTGGTATTCCTCGAATTTCACTTGAAATTGCTATTTATCGATAGACATCTATAATTATATTGGACGGGACAATTTTGATGGTACTATTATATTCTTTTATTCGAACTATCAAAGCTTTAATTCTTTGCAACTTTTTGTTAAACAGTAATAGATTTGTTTTCTACTTGGGCTGAAGTACCCATTTGTTTAAGGGTTTCATGTGCATCACTAGAAACTTGTTTTGCTGCAAAGGATAACACTAGATCGAAAACTTAATATACTTAGAACGATAAAAGGTTTTTCTTTTTCATACATGTAAGATAAAAGATACTGTAGATAATCGAACAAATTCAATGTACTCTTCAATCAATGAATTTAGATAATATTATCTTCTGATAATGGTATTATTTCTACAGCTTTTGAAAATAATTCTGGTGAATAATTTTCCATATAATCCGCATTTTTTAATAGTTTTAATAATAAATTCCTGAAGGTTTGATAATTGTAAAAAGTCAAGCTTCAATTATATTATTTTTATTTAAAGACTCTTTTTTATTGAACCAGTGTAAATATTTTTATTACAGAAGAACTAATTTTGGAAAAGAAATTTTGTTTTTATAACGTTCTTTCATCCGTAATCTATTAAATACTTCTGACCTTGTTACTAAAATGCTATAGAACCATGTAATTATTTTATTAATAATCTTAAGTCTCTATCATTTTTTGAGAATGAATGGGAATGAATGAAAAAAAAAATTCTATAGAAATATTTTGTATTACGGTACTTAAATGACATTAAGACGATTATTTACCAAATTTAGAATACGCCTCTAAATTAAATAATGCAATATTTACCATATATGAAAGATTATTTTACGGACTGTTAATGGCTATTATCGGCTAAATATTAAATAAGTATCGAATATGTTTGCAATCATATTTTCATATATTAATCCCCAGTATTAATCCTTTAATAAGTTTTACTTATTATATACTTTTACTATATATAATAACTTGTTCGACGCATAGGGATCCCCAGTGCAATTGTTTCTAATTTTAGAAGATAGATTAGTAATTTAGTACATAGTCCTTTTAATTAAAATAAAAAAAAAAGGTTCTTTTAATTTTCATTAATAATATAGTAACGTTAGTTAATATTAATAAAATTTATTAATAAAATTTGCATTGGTATTAATAAAATTTACAAATATTTTGAATCAAATTATATTTTAATTAAGAACCGCTACTGCGCCACTGCATTTTTAAAATTACCGTGAACTTTGGGATTTTTACAGTGTCGATATTATGGTTGTCGACCCATGCAATAACCTAGTTATTGATATATGTGGGATAAAAGTGTCACTCCTGCGGGGTGACCAATATTTTTAACCGCCCCCCTAAACACAAGTACAAGAATAATGAGTCCATTATTATTACAATTATCACTATTTTCCCATAATAGTAAAAAGAATAACACCGAATTGATGCAAACTCAACAACAAAATCAATACATACTAATACGCACAGGTTTCTTCTTATTAAAGTTAAAAAGGAGTAGAAATATATGGTAAAAAAATAGTAGATGCCGTCGAGATCGTAATACATTAATTACCGACGGTTTGAATATTATTATATCACCGAATTCATAACATATAATAATAATAGAAATATTGACAAATTGTTTTTAAATTATATTTAGATTTTTAAAAATTTCAATAATTCTATTAAATGTTTGTAATTTTTAATATTAAAATTATAAATTGCATTTATGTTTCTTTTATTTTTAACTACTCTATTAGAATCTTGCAAAGGTTTAGGTTTAATTATATTTTAAATAAATAAATAAATATAAATTATTAACTACTATTAACTGTTTATAATTATCTTTACTATATTATTATTTAGATACAAATATTTATTATTATTTAAAAAACTAAAGAAAATAATTTCATTATGATATAAATTTATAGTAAGAATGTCCACATGATCGTACAGGAAAAATGACCAACGTGTGTAATATTGACGTAAGTATTGGAAATTTAGAATTAGTTAAAGATTATAAGAATTTTAAATAGATTTAGTTATTAGTTATAAAAAGGAAAGAATTTTCAGGGATTTTTTTTTAATTTTAAAGTTTTGTTAATTTATTGATTAGTGATTGTATTCTAGAAACGATTTTTAACGTTCTTGTAAAAAATTATAAGCATTCTTGCAATTTCAAAATATTTAAATAATTCATTTATTTATAAAATATAGTCCCAAAATCCAAAGAACGTTTGTTAACCATACCGGTAAAATCGGTAATTCAAATCCATAAAGCTCAGCTAAACTAGGGGAGTAGGGGTTTATATCGAAATTCGCGAGTTTTGATAATCAATAATGATTTGATTTAAATCCCATCAAATAATATCAAATATCAATAATATCAATACTAACAATTTAAAAATTTAAAAACAACGCGACAAATAATTTTACGTGTTTATAGTAATGAGAAAAACCTCTTCAGTATCATATATAATGATAAGCATACATTGAAATTATAATACCATATTTGGTTTTTTTCTATGATCCCTTGTGACTGACTATAATTATTATTATCGAAGAGTTGTCCTGTAATAATTCGTATACCTCGTGTAACCTTATGCAATATACTTGAAATTTTCAAGAATATCGGAACTAAATTTATTTTTTTTTTTGTTGTTCTCTTAAAGCTGTTGTTTATTCATAACTTCAGATTGCACATTACCTGTATTTTATAAAATATATTTTCTCTTGAGTTTCTTGAACTGGAGGGTCAAACTGTCTTTTTGCAAAATAAATTATAAAAAGAATGGGCTCACGGGTAAAGATTTAGAATGTTTTTGTTTTTTTTTTTTTTATACTCTCTAAATAACTGTTTTAATTTACTTTCTTATTAATTTCAATCAAAAGCAAACTACTAATGCTTTCCCAGAACAAAGTAGTTCACATGAAAGTTATAACCTTAATAGAGTAACGGAAACTGCGACAAGTAGAAGAGTTAGGGTTACAACCAGAGCGCAGAAAAAAAGACAAGAACCGATTGAGCCAATGCAAGATGTATATGGTTGGTTTTATAATTTTTAAATGATATTTTGTTATGATCAATTTTTTTGTGTTATTGTAAATTTAAAATGTTGATTATAAATATTTTATCTTTTATAGGTTTGTCATTGCCAAGCCAATCACAAAATTTAATAGAACCCGATCCTGAGTTACAACGCATGCGTAGACTTCGACGTACAGTTCCTCGTGCCGTTACTTACAAAGTACGATGAATACTTGCGCGATTGATGTTAATTGTTAATTGTTAATAATCATATAATGTTATTTATTCTCACTTTTAGGTTCCTTCCTCTTCAGAAGGAGATACTGATATTGAAAGTTCTTCAACTCGAATACGAACATCACGCCAAAATAAAAGAACACAAGAAAGGGCAGAGTTAGATGGTATTCTTGTTTATCAATAAATGTTTCATTATAATTGTATGGTTCTCAAATTTCAAATTTAGAAATTATGCATTACTCATTATCTTTCAATTATAGAACCGGAATCGTCTACTTCATACAATAATTCTTCAGGACCAATATCAAGACCTAATAAACGTAGGGCAATAAGAGCAGAAGAAGGAGGTATAAACCCATCTTATATGTATTAGATTTAAATTGACTAAAAAAAAAAAAATCATATAACAAAATTTGTTATTAAATTTTAGTATCTCGAAGTGAACAAGACGCTTATCCGATTATTATCCTACCACCACCTTATAGAAGTGACTCGCCACTTCCTACAATCCTACAGACCGCAGAATCGGAAACAATTCAGGATTCTTCTTCATATCTACAGCCGTTTAATTTACCTACTACTGGAAACAACACTGGTGGAGTAGTAACTTTGCCTCCTATTTCTTTGCCGCAAGAAAATTCTGCGCATGGTGGAATAACCTTACCTCCTATTCGTTCAGTATTATCCCTTGCTGATCGTTCTAGGACTCCCGAAATAGAAGTGGTAGACCTCTCCTCTCCTCCTTCTTACCCCAGCAACAATGCTGCGGATCCATATCCGAACAATATTGTGGATTTAACGTCCTCGCCAGTAATCTTCTCTCCGAATACCCATTCAACCGCCGTCAACTCTTCCTATAAAAATTCTAACAATAATAATCACTCACCCCCAGAGATAATTATCATTGATGATGACTCTTCGGCAGAAGATCTTACTTCTGCAACTTCTCCTTTACCATCAAAAGGTCTTCAACTCAAGTGCGCGATTTGTCTTGATTTTCCAAAAGATGTTTCATTTACGCCTTGTGGACATATTTTTTGTCGAGATTGCATCTCAACCGCTTTGAAATCTCAAAAAGTGTGTTCTCTTTGTAGGCGTACACTGACAAAGAAACAGATCAAGCGCTTGGAGTTCAAGATCTTGGTGAAATGATTATGATCGAGAGAGTCCTATAAAAGTGAGTCTCTCTCGCATTATCATTTAACTTTTTCATTACCGTCATCATATATTTTAACGAACCGTTTATTCTTTTTATTGAGCTTTTCGCTTATTTATTTGTTTTAAAAATTGGTGATGTGAGTCAGTGCAGTTGTATCCTATAGATGATATCTATAGTGTAAAAAAAAAAAAAAATTTCAAATAAAAATAACTTTATGGTTTTTGTAAGTCTTTTCATAAGTTTAAATAATTATTAAAAGAATATATGGAAAAAGTAGATATTTCAAAATTAGTCTAGATTTTCACAGTTGTATATATACTATAGATTACTTATTTAAATTATTTAAATGCTTTAAGATTATTTCATAATTGAAAAAATAACAATTTAATATATTAATATCACGTGAAGAATATCATTGTTACGCAAATTTTACATAAGCATTATAAGCATAATAAACTCTGTTTTTTATCAATCAATCTAACTCTGTTAAAAAAAAAAAAATGGCTAAAGAAAAGAAAGAGTCTAAATCTAAGAAAGAAAAGAAAGAAAAGAAAGAAAAAACTCATAAAGAAAAAAAAGAAAAGCATTCTTCAAAAAATAAAGAAGATAATGTAATGGAAGTTGATGTCATATCACCAGTCTCTACAGGACCAACTCCAACTATAACCCCAGCGGAAACAAAATCAGACAAGGGTTTAATTGTACATTACGACTTAAGAGCTTTAATACCTTTTGCACAACCGTTAGCATCTGAGAAATTAACTCGAGAAATAATGATAGTAATCAGGAAAGGTAATTATATTTATATATAAGAGAAATTAGTGATTTGTTAATAAATATTTTTGAAGCGAGTGATGAGCATTTGTAAAAATTTCCAATCAATTTAAATCAATTAGCTGCAAGACAACGACATTGTAGACGTGGCGTTAAGGAAACCGTAAAAGCTATAAGTAAACAGCAAAAAGGGTAAGCATTTTATAATTCATTGGTTTGTTCATTGACCAGGATGCTTAACCTTCCCAAACTAAATTTTATATTGCACTGCTAAAAATAAGGTTGGTCGTGATGGCTGGGGATGTTTCTCCAATGGATGTGATTTCACATATTCCAGTTTTATGTGAGGATAATGAAATACCCTATATTTTCATTCCATCTCGAGCTGATCTTGGATTTTCATGTGCAACTAAACGTCCAACAAGTGTTGTCATGATTGTTCCTGATCGTAAAAATGAAGATAATAACCTTGAATACAAAGAAAGTTTAGAAAAATGTCTTAATGAAGTCAAGGAATTGGTGAGATTAAACTACTTGTTTGTGGATTTAAAAATAAAACTTTTGTTGATTCATTTTTCTTCTATAATATAGGAACAATTCATGATACATTGAGAAATTCTAGACATATTTTTTAATAGTAAATAAAATAAAAATTTAGCGTTTTGATTCTTTATGTGGTGGTCATAAATCTAATTTGTAGATCAAAGATATGCGGTGTTAGCATGATATAGCATATGACCCTTTTCGTGTGTATATAATTATCAGATATACAGTATAGAATTTTAATCAAAAAATGCATATCATTCACGGAAAAATTTATACAAAAATGGAGGACCATCTAATTATAATAACTAGCAATTTTTTTTAGAATTATATCATCTCATTATTTGGGAGTCTGTCTAATTTTAAAATAAATCAAAAAATGTTGTCATTGATTTCCTAATTTTGTTAACAAAATTTATGGGGGGAAACAGGGGAAGATACTGCGGTAGGTTGGTATGGTAAGGGTTGGTAGATCTTTTCTAAAATACAATTTCAAGGTATAGTAAATAAACTGCATTTGTAATACATCATGGAGGCTCTCGCTAATACTTAAGTACTGTGTGAAAACTATTAGATAAACTCGTTTTTTATTGTGCCACACTCTCGTGTAGGTTTTTTTTCTAATTTTCCGCGTTTAATAATAAATTCCATTATCCTTTCTTTCTTTACAAATGGCTCCAGAAACAAAGAGCCGTAAACCCGCAAGTAAGTTCTCTTAACATCTATAACCATCTCTTAATAATATGATAAATAATTCTTTTTGAAATTTCTTGTAGACACTGCTTTTAAACAACAACGTTTAAAGGCATGGCAGCCGATTCTTACACCAAAAACTGTTCTTCCAACATTTTTCATTATTGGAATCATCTTTGCTCCACTTGGTGGTCTATTACTTTATGCTAGTAATAGTGTGAGTAGAACTTAAATCTTTGAAATTTTTTAAAAAGCTTCTACTCAAAATGTTATTATTTTATTATAGGTTAATGAGTTACAATTCGATTACACTTTTTGCGATCAAAGACCACCAGCACCAGATGATCCTTTGGGCCAAAATCCCAAATTCGAACCAATACCAGCTGATGATATTACGTCTTCATTTTCTAATTCAGATTTAAACGCACAATGGGCTAGGATTGTTAAAAAGCTTCCATTAGAATATGATCCAACAGGAACTAGAGAAATTTGGAATTGTTTAATTCAATTTAATTTACCAGTGAATTTGAAACCTCCAGTTTTCATGTATTACAGGTTAACAAATTTTTATCAAAATCATAGAAGATATGTTAAAAGTTTTGATGCTAATCAACTAAAAGGTGAAGCTGTATCTGCTGCTACTCTTAAAGCTGGAAGTTGTAAACCAATGGATGTCGTTGGTGACAAAATCATCTATCCTTGTGGACTTATTGCCAACTCATTATTTAATGGTAATTTTTACTCATTCATTATATACGAATCAATGAGCGATAAGTTATATACACAAAAACAGACAATTACATTTTTAAAATTTTAACCATCTAATCCAAATCTTATAAATTGGTTTTTTTAGATTCATTCATTCCCCCAATTCTTCTTAATTTGCCTGGTTCTGATGCTCAAAATGAATCCTATGAATTTTCACCAAAGGGTATTGCATGGCCATCTGATAAAGAGAAATATGGCAAAACTAAATACACCATTGATCAAATTCGCCCTCCTTTGGATTGGGTTGAAAGATACCCAAATGGTACTTATACCGAACAATTTCCTCCACCTAACATTGCAGAAGATGAACATTTTCAAGTTTGGATGCGCACTGCAGGTCTTCCTGATTTTAGAAAATTATGGGGAAAAAATGAAAAAGATACAATGAAAATGGGCCGATATCAAGTTGAAATTCAATATCGTAAGTAATAAATTTATGAAAAAATTTTGAAAATTGGTATACAGAAGTGATATTTATTCACAATTATAATTTTTTTTAAAAGTATTTCCTGTAACCAAATATGGAGGTACTAAATCTCTCGTAATTTCTACGGTCTCTTTTCTTGGTGGAAAAAATTCTTTCCTGGGTTGGGCTTATATAGTTGTTGGAGTTATTTGTGTAGTACTTGGGTGCTTATTTACTTTAAGACACTTGTACAAACCAAGGTATATTATAATTAAAAGTTTGCAGTTAATATAATTATTATATTAAAAATAAATTGCTAATTTTCAACTCTTTTTGTAGGAAACTTGGAGATCATACCTATCTCTCTTGGAATAATAATAATGGACAAAATAGCGGAAGTAACAATTAATTTATCTATCCTTACTTTTTTTATGTAATTAATTGTCATAAGAAAATTTGTAACAATTCTTAAATTTGAAGAATAGAGTATAATTAATTAGTGACAAATAAAATAATGTGTATATTTTAGATCGATTAGCTATTTGAATTATTTTGGGTAAAAGTACTACAATTGGTTTAATTAATATCACTTCTACTTTTTTCTTTACTTTAACTTTATTATAAGTATTGTAAAATAACCAAATTTTTTATATAATAATATATTTCAAAATAGTAATATTATTTATTTTATTTATTTTTTTTTTTTTGTGATCATTATTATTAGAATTGTATATTTAATCAGATCCTACAATTTTATAGCTCATAATTCTGTTCAATCCGGAAATTGCGAATAAAATCAATTTAAGACAAAATAATCGAGTAAACAAACAGTTTAGCAAATTTCTTCGCGCGAAATATTTATATTTTGATCTCTTATTTTAGATAATACATTAACTATAGAATTCTTACAAACGGCTCTCTCAACAACTATACAGACATCCGCCCAGATGTAGTTATGGAAGAAGCTATCAGTCATTAATAATACATCAGCTAACAATAACGGATAAGATAATAATGTTCAAACAGACCAGCGTCCAGCGATAGGCCTTAATGATTTTAGAAAATTATGGGGACAAAATGAAAAATTCAACCCGCAATCAAATATGGATACTCTTCACGATTTTTACGGAATCTTTCTTGGTGGAAAGAATTCTTTCTTACATGTGTGCTTATTTACTTTAAAAACACTCGTAATAATCCAAGGTATATAATAATGAAAATAATTCAATTTAATAAAAAAATGCTAATTTTTCAGCTCTTTTTTTTTTGTAGAAAACCTGTCTCTTGGAATAATGTAACAAATAATTTACGTAATTAATTGTCAAGTAAACTTTGTTTAGAAAATAACTGATTAAAATAATGCACAGTATAAATTTTAGATTGATTAATTATCTATATTTGGGTTTAATCAATCTTATTTCATTTTTGTCTTTTGTACCAAATTTTTAAAATTTTTTATATAGCATATTTTAAAATAGCAATATTGTTTCTTTTTTTGTGACTATAATCAGGTCCAACTCATAATTCTGGTCAACCCAAATAAAATCAATGATATATTTTAGTCAAAATAAAAAGGATTGCCCAACTATATAAGATCCTGATCTATACTTTTATATCAAAGTAAACAAACCTTAACACAAAGTATAGCAATTACTTTATATATTGTATGTTCTCGTAAATTATGCGCGCGAAATATTTATATTTTGATCTCTTATTTTTAGATAATACATTTATTATAGATTTCTTATTTAGCTGAGTATGGAAGAAACACAAAAGGAAACACTGACATCAGCAACGGCTCCTTCAACAACTACAACTCAGACAACTGTCCCAGATGTAGTTATGGAAGAAGCTGCCCCGGTTCCTAACAATACACCAGCTAACAATAACGAAAAAGATAGTAAAGTTCAAACAGATCCAGCGACTACTGCTATGAATAACCAAAGGATCGTAGAAGAATTTCAGTACCTTTTGGAGAAGAGTCAGCAATTATTTGCGGGTTTAAGGTAAAGACATTTCATTTTACACGCAAATTTCATAAACTTTTGGAGCGATTTTTTAGAGAAAATCGTGATATACGTAGGGATTTACCACCCACAGGTGGTCGTCAATGGCAGCCATATTTCCAACGAACTTTTGAAGTCTATACTAAGGTAATTAATGTTATCAGGATCAATTCTTTGATTAATGCGAATTGATTTTTTTCCTAAAAAAAAAAATATGAGGCTTACCATTTTTCAATTAATATTTAGTTATGGAAGTTCCAGCAACAGAATAGGTGAATTTTAGTTTTACGTTATAATAATTTTTTTTTTATCTATCTATTTCATTTATTATATTATTTTTCTTTTCTTTTCTTTTTCTTTTTTTTTTTATTTGAATTCATTTTCATTTGTAATTTATATCTCAGATTTGTATTGGAAAATAAAGATAATTATGGTCTTAAACGTTGGGAGGTTGGCGAAATCGCATCGAAAATTGGGCAACTTTATTATCATTACTAGTATGTTTATTATTGTTTCTTATTAATTTGTTTAAAATCCAAAACAAGAAAATTAACACGTCTTCCATAAATAAAATTATAAAGCTTACGTACAAGCGAAACAAATTATCTTCACGAATCATATATATTTTACGAAGCAATTCGTGATCGTTTTTACTTCAAGGATGTCCTTGATGTTAAAAAGTTTGTTAAATATTTTCAATTGAATGATTTTCTATAAATATTAGTGAAGAAATCAAGTAACATTTGATATCATTTATTTATAGCCCAGCACTTATGATTAAGAAATTGAGATATTATGCTCGATTTATCGTTGTTTGTCTGCTGTTGAACAACAGAGATATTGTACAGAAGTTAATGGATGAATTACATGGTCTTGTTGATGATTATATAAAAATTTTCAAACCTGCTGATTCTACAGAATGGCAATGTGTTCTTCATGAAATTGCTGCTTTCTTAGAGGTATAAATCTCTACCTTCAGTGAGATTGTAATAGTTTATATTGATTAATGTATGTATCATATCGTATAATTAGGCTGAAAAGAAATTAACTCCAATCTCTTCCGAAGGCCACCTTTTGACAGTTGCACGTAGACTACAAATTGAACGTAGTCTTAGACATGAGAAAGATGGTACACCAAAATTAAAACTTCAAGAAGCGATTTTAGTTGGAAATTACCAAAGTCAAATCAAATTTTCGGAATTGACTCTTGATATGTATCATATATTACAGTCACTCGGTGAATATTAAATATGATAATACTTATTGTTAATTTTTTGAGTTGCCAAGCTTATATTGACATAGTATATTTTATTTTATGAGAGCGCGAACCAGCTCCTCCGAAATCGGGGCCAAAAACACCAGGCTCGGAAGTTCCAGTGGTAAACGAAAGAGTTACTAATAAAGATGATATAAATGCTGAGGAGCAATCAAGTGCAAATACTCCTGCTGATAAATCTGCGTCACGAAGAGTTAATCCACATAAATATCTTTTATATAGACCTACGTTCAGTCAGTTATTAGTTTATATCTCTACTGCTTTCAAGGTAATTAATTATATTATTCACATTTTTATTAAAAATATATGACAATTATTTATTTATTCATTTATTGTTTTAAGGAAATCAATGAAAACTCCGCACTATTACTTTATATTTCTGCGGATGGTACCAAACCTTCAAATAATAATGAACAAAACTCGATTGGTTTGTATGAATGTAAGAATATATTTAAATTTTCGAAAAACAAATTTATTAAAATGTTTTTAATTTAGGTTATAATGGTGGTGTTGCAACAAGTTCTCGCAAATGTGCGGATAAAACAGATCCTTCAGATAAAATTCATTGTTTGCATCCGGCAGATTTGGTACCGTTCACTCGTAAACCATTATGTCTGATAATTGATAGTGATAATAGTACGGCTTTTGCGGTATGTTATAGAAATGACATGATTTTTATTTATTTCATCTGATCTGATGTCATTTTATCGATTTTTTAGGATTTTCCGAGAATTTTTAATCAACCATTCCTTTGTCTTATGTCACCTGTGGAATATCCTTCTACTATCCCTGGTAAATCATTTAACTTCAATTTCAATATTATATCATGCCTACTTTTATTCTAATAATAAAAATTTATTTAGATACAACTCAAATTGGTAGCCTTTTCACTTTATTTCTCCATGCTCCTCTTCTTGGATTTGCATTTATTTCGAATCTTGGTAAAATAAGTTCATCAACATGGGAAAAATGTGTAAATCTTATAGCAGAGGCCGAGTTGAATATTGTAGAATTATTTAATTCATCTAGTATTGGTAAAAATATTATATAATTAAATTTTATACATTGTATTGTTGTATAGAAGTGAAGTACTTAATATCGTTTATTTTACACAGAAAAACCATTAAAAAGATTTTTACAAGATGATTTTCTTCGTCAATTTCTTGTGAGATTTGTATTATGTCAATCATTCTTAAGAGCTCACACTGAATTCAAAGAGGAAAAGGTAATTTTAATTTAAATATTTATTTTAATAATAATTTTTATACTTAACATGTTTCTATTTTATACTTAGCATATTCCTAAATCTTGCCCACAATTACCTTCGTCTATATTGGATTCACAAGAATTGTTATTAAAAGTGCATCAAATTGTAAAAGAAGCTCAAGCTGAGTCTTATTATTCATTCCCTACGTTAGAAATAGAACCGGAAATGACCGAGAAAGCAGCAGAGACTCCCGAAGAAAGTGAAGTAGCGCAGCAATAATTATCATTGAGTTTTTACATCGGTAATATCATATTTTCAAACTTAAATTTATATTAAAAACTTGATTAAATAATAACTAAATTGATTAACAATTTGTATTTAAACAATTAATAATTTATTCATATAAGAATTATAAGAAAAAAAAAAATTTAGCTTTAGTGTATTTATTTGATATATTTTTGATCATTGTATTATATATATTATGTTGCGGATATTGATTAATAAAATTTATTAATACATTAAAAAATTTTATATTGGTCATCTAATATATTTAATATTTGAAAAGTAATAGGTAAGTTTATTTGAAATGTAACTACATCCGCAAATTCTAATAAATTAAATAATTTAAAAATAAAATATATACAAATTTTTTTATGTGGGTAAACTTTAATATTTTTGCAAATTAATCAAGGGACTATTATATTCAATATTACTATTAATGTAAAATAATTTGTTAAAGAATGTGCATTTAAAAGATTGTCATAAGAGCGAAACAAACATATAATAAACCAACAGGATAAGCAACCAATATACGTTGCTCAGACATTTGTAAGACAGTTACAAACATAGTAGAAGAAGAATATGTACACCAACTAATTGCAAGTGATGAGGCAATAAGCCCAATTGGTCCGCTATAAAAAAAAAATTATATATTATGTTAGGTTTGATAAAAAAAAAAGAAAAAAAAAAAGATAAATCTATAATTATACCTTAATGGGAAAACAACACCAACACAACTTAATAAAACAAGAGGTAATAAACAATAACCCAATACACTTGCAATTCTATAACCATCAACACCTGACTCGCTCATAAGATTTAATATCACATAAATTGATGCCCATCCAAGTAACGCGACGCCATAAATATATCCAAAGTGAATTTTTCCTGTCTATAAATATTACAAATATAAGTTAAATATAATCTGTATAAAATTTTAAGATAATAAAAGAAAGAGATTATACCAGCAATAAAGAAACTCCAAATATTAAGCAAAATAAAAGAGGTCCCGCTAAATCTGTATCATCCATTATATTTTTATCAACAGTTTTAAGAGGATTTAAAACTGCCAAACTCTTAATTTATAAATTATAGAACTTTAGAATTTGAAAATTATATATATATATATTTTCTTTCAAGTATAAATCAATTACCTTAGATTTTATGTGTCTGAAATTAATCCCGAGTTCTAGATATAATATATTATAAATTTTTTAAAAATCAAAAGATAAACTAAAAAAATATAAATAAATAATAAAATACCTTCTAATAATGGTGGTTCTTCATCAAATCCTCCAGTACCAAATGCACTCCAAAAACCACCCGTATGTCCATTATGATAAGTAGGATATTGAGTAGGGTAATAACCAGAAGTTGCTTGTGTTGAATAAGCTGAAGGATCTCCATAACTTGTACTATAAAATTGTAAATTATCTTGTGCATTATAACCATATGCATCTGAACCATCAAACAAGACTGAATGAACTTGTCCTTGTGCCATTTTTTTTATTTTTTTTCTTTTGTGATTAATAATAGAGGAAAAAAAGAACTATAACAAAAGAGAGAAAAAATTCTGGGAACATTTTAATGTGTTGAATGTTGATTTGTCGATCAACTGGTAGATCACTGGTATCGTTCACGTGTAATTTCGATAGACTATTCCTAATTTTGGAACTTTGTATTCACATTTTTTTTTTTTATTTTGGACGAAAACGCCGAACAAACTCTTCTCAAATCTTAATACTACTTGACATTATTTATTTATTTATTTATTTCAAAGTAAAGATTATATATTGAATTACAAGTTAATAAATTAGATTTTTAATTAATTTTACTTTTAAATAAATTAAAGTTTTGAAGATATAATTTGATAATTATTCATTTCTTTGGAAATATTTTGTTGTATGAAATAATCTTTAATAACATTTATTAATCCAAGAATTTGTTCTTCAGTGTTATCAGCATGTATACAAACTCTGACTCGTTCTTTTCCAACAGGAACAGTTGGTGAACGAATTGGTTTGACATTATATCCAGCATTTTGAATTACGCGACATAATTTAACTACATTATCATTACCTGAAAAAAGATAAAAATTTAGAAAACTCAATAATTATACTTGAAAACATAAATTATTTCTTACCTGGAATTAAGATACCTTGAATTGCACTATTGGATGGTAATAACATATTGGAAGGTAAATCAATGTTACTTCGAAATAAATGGATCAACCTCATTAAACGTTTACGAAGCTACGCGTTTATAATGCGAAAAATTTAATTATAAAATATGATGACATGAAAAAAAAAAAAATTCGATATTATGATATATTATACCTCATTTCCGGCTTCACTTGTCATGACTTTATAAGAACAATCAATTGCTATAAGACTGTTAAATGACAAGAATGTCGAGAAAATTAAGGGTCTCGCGTAATTTATTAAATAAGATCTTAAGAGTTTGGGTCCAACAATTGCCGCTAAAAAAAAATACGGTAAAAAACAACTTTATAAGTTGAAATAAATTATACAATTTTTAAGATGAGTTATTATTATTATATACCTCCGTTACTGGCTAAAGCTTTTCCGAAAGTGTGTAGACGTGCAAATACTTTTCGTTCTAATCCCAACTCACAAACAATCCCACGCCCTTGTTCGCCATATACACCAGTTGCGTGTGCCTATTATAATATAAAAATTACTAATGATATTTATCCAAATTCGCAAAAGAAGATAAAAATTACCTCGTCAACAATCAAATACGAATTAAAAGGTTTTATGACTTCAACAATTTCATTTAATGGAGCTATATCTCCATCCATGGAATATAAACTTTCTACAGCAATAAAAATGTTTTTTTGTGGTTCAATTTCTTGTACAACGGTTTCTAATACTTTTTTAAGATGTTTAATATCATTATGACGAAATTTTGTTATTACAGCAGCTCTAGAATTTCTTATTCCATCATGTACACTAGCATGTATAAATTCATCGATTATTATCGCATCTCCATGCTGTGGTACGCTACTAAATAATCCTACATTAGCATCAAAACCTGAAGGGAATATTAATGCAGATTCAGCTTTATGAAATTCAGCAATAAATTTATCTAAGGACTCTGCATATGATGAATTTCCATCTAATAATCTTGAACCTGTTGAACCAAGTGGTGGGTTAGGAAAAGAGGAAAGTTCTTTTAAGTACGTTTTTTGCAATAATTTATTTCTTGCAAGTCCAAGAAAATCATTTGAAGAAAAGTCTATGGAGGAAGGTGAGGCTACTACCAAGGAACGTAAAAGGTCTCGTCTTTTACGTTTCTCGAGGATTAATTCCAATTGTTCTAACAAGGGCATTTTTGGATAAAAAAAAAAATAGATCCGCTTGATCCACTTTATATTTTAGATAAAATAAGACCCGTTATGGTAATTTTCCGAAATCTTGCGTTACGCAAATATATTGAACGCGCCAGTGCGCCACGCGCCGTACAAATCGTGTGATTATTTATATTTATTTATCTTTTATTGATAAGGTTTTTTTTTATATTAATGCGCAAAGACTTTCACCGCCAATCAATTTCTTTCTGGTATCAAAGATAAATTAACAGACGTGAAAGGAATTGAAAGAATTTATTGCTTTGTACACAGTGAAATTCGATATAATGGAACTATCCGTTCCATGTCAAAAATCCGTTATATCAAGAAATCCGTTAAGGGGTAAATCCAGACCCCAATTCCGATATATCAAGACTTTACTTATGTTCCGTTATATCAAGGTTCCGGTATATCAAATTTCACTGTGTAATCTTGTCAGTTGTCACCACACCAAAAGATCTGTATTTTTTTCTCTATTCGTTTGTCCATGGCAAATATGGGTAATATTTTTTTTTCGGCCTTTCCCGGAAATCCAAATCCTACTTACGATTATATAAATTTTTAAAGAGGGAATTGGCAATCGACCAGTGCGTTTGTTAAGTAAAGGTTTTTTAAATCAAGGATCTAATACTGTTGCAAATGAAGGTATCGTAATTCACTCAACAACACCATAAGAAAGAACACAACATTTTAGGAAGGTATTCCATAAATATTGACGAAATACATTTTAAATGTTGCACCTGATAATCAATTGTGATATGATACGTCTTCAAATAAAAATACATGATCCTTTTTGGATTAGTGCCAAGTAGATCACTTAAGAGTTAACGACCAATTAACAGCAACAGATAAAATTGAAAAAAAGTTGTGTTACGCTAGCACAAGCGATGTCCATCGTACGTCTTCAAAGAATGGCATCATTTTTCGCTTCAAGAATATTAAATTCTCGACGCGTAATTTTTATTCATAATTTAAATTATACTCGAAATTATCCTTTACAACAAATAAAATCTGAAACAAGAATCATTTGGAACAAAAAATATAACATTTGTGCTAATAATAGTCATAGTAAATACTCACTGAAGACTAATGACTTTATTAACTCGTTAAGCAACGCAAGGAAAAAAATGTATGTTTATTTTCTTTTTTAAAAATGTGCGTTTTCACAATTACTTACATTGGTTATCTTTTAAGTATTTATCCTTTGTCAGATTTTATTTATCATTTATCGTAGGCAACAGAAAACTTTCTCGAACTTCAGTTTCTTACAATGAAGATAGATCTGATAAATCAAATTTAATAGATTCTAAAGAGAAAATAATTCAAAAAGTAAATATATCATTATTTCATCATAAAAAAGAATCCATATTTATCACATCGCTGTTATATATCCAGATAAAAGAAAAACAATCAAGAGAAAACATTTGGACAATACCGAATTACCTTACATTTTCACGGTTAATTGCTTCTCCAATTATAGGATATTTCATTTTGAATGATCAATATAATCTAGCATTAATTGCTTTTATATATGCTGGAATTACCGATTCGGTATAATTTTTTCTTTTTTTATAAAAATTTACACGCGTTTCCTGAAATCTAACCGTTCTAATCGAATTCTCTCTCTTTAAGTTAGATGGATTTATCGCGCGTAAATACAATATGAGAACAATGTTAGGGACAGTGATGGATCCTGCAGCCGATAAAATGTTAATGACTATCATGACCATTACGTTCGCAATGAAAGATCTATTACCGGGTAAATTTTTTAATTAATAATTTTTTTATCTATATATTAAAAATATATATATATTTTTTCTCTGAAGTTCCAATAGCCGCTGTGATATTGGGACGCGACATCGGATTAATTCTTTCATCATTTTATTATAGATATATTTCATTACCACCTCCGGTATTATATTTGATCTGAATTTTTATTCTCTTTTTTAATAAAAGAATGTTCGCGACTTACAATTAATATTTTGTTTTTAAATTTAAGAAAACAATAGGAAGGTATTTTGATATATCAATTCCATCTGCTGAAGTAAGGCCAACACTAATTAGTAAGGTAAATGAAACAAAATGTACGCGTTCAGCATTAAGATTCATACATAATAAATTATCTTCTCTTTCGATTGAAAGGTAAATACGGCTTTACAATTAGCTCTTATGGGTATCACACTTGCCAGTCCTGTTTTTGGATGGACGCACGCTAAAACCTTAACAGTATTACAGTATGTATAATTTTAATAAATAGTTTATATATATATTATCTTTATTAATTTAAATCTTTTATTTGGACATTTGGACTAAATTTTTAGATATACTGTTGCCGGAACAACTATGTGGTCTGGATTGAGTTATATATTTTCTAAAGATGCTGTAAGGATTTTAAAACCGCCTGCTGTCAAATAACTTTATTTTAAAATTGGCCTAGTTTCATATTATTTGTTGCGAAATTTCTTAATATAAAGCAGTAAAAATTTCCGAATTAAAAACTACTTAATACAGTATAACCGAACTTTGTTTCAAAAGTTCTATATTTTTATTTTATAATGTGTTATCAATAACTAACCATTCAATTTACAAACAAATTTAATTTCTATTTATTACTCTTATTTCGGTACATTGTAGGCCTAAATTAAAAACAAATAAAATAACAAATAAACTATTATAAATTACATTTTACATTTGTTTCCCTTATTATATCTATGTGCGGTTTACATAACTTTCTTGCGTTTCTTTGCAGGTTTTTCAGCTTGTTTTGCCGCCAAATCTTTAAGACGTTTCCTCTTTTCAAGTTCTTTAGCTTTTGCTTCTTCAGCCTAGTAGTGAAAATTATTATTATCGATTATTTTAAAACAGAAAAAAATCCGAAAACTTACCTTTCGATCTTCAGCTTGAGCACGTGCTAATTCTTCATTAGATTGTGTACTATGAAATGAATCAATAGCTGGTAATTCAATTGTTGAAGCTTGTGAAGGATTGTTATCATTATCTTCAAGTGATAATACTTGTGGGGTAAACATTTTTGATAATTGTGAATCTGATAAACTTGGTAAGTTCACTGTTGGCATCTGGGATGTTAATTCGGCTAATTCGGTAATTGAAGGAGCTCCTGATGAATATGATACCGTTGCTGGAAGTTTTACATTTTCTTTAAGTATTAATAAAATAAAAGTTTGAATTAATGAGTTGATAAATGTAAAAAATAAGAATTCTTTAGCATAAAAAAAAACCAAAAAATCGTTATACTCTCTGAAACTGGTGGAATAACACGTTCTGTCGCAGTTTTGAATAATTTTGATAAAGTAGGATCTTTACAAATATCAAAAGAAGTTTGCAAATCTGTAACTTCAAGGTTCTGGATGACCTAAAATAAAATAACTTTAATTATGACTGAGAGTTAAAAGAAAAAGGATATTTATCAAAGATAGACCTTTCCAATTTCATCATATGAAGTATTGGGATCAAAAGGTGTTAAATCTGTGTCTAAAACAATTAAATTATTTAAAGCAGGTTTATAACAAAGAAAAATAAAAAAAAAAATTATAACTTACGTGTATCTTTATTAGATTTGCCGGTCGATTGTAATCTTACTAATGACATTAAACGTACAGTTTCATTAAATTCATCCTCTTTTGATTTTATTATATTATGTAAAGTTTCTATTTGTTTATTATAAGCAGATGTTATCAATATTTGAGGTAGAATGAAATGAGTATATAAAACTGATGCACCATCGAGTTGTTGTTCATTAGAATTTGAAGAGTTTATAGGAAGTGAAGTAGGGATCAATTCACAATTAAATTTCCAATTTAGTTCCATTGGACCAATATTTCTTTTAGATTCGAATAAGAACTATAAGTAAATTTTAAGCGCAGCAAAATTAAGCATAATGAAAAAAAAAGAGCACATTTTACAAATCAAATTATTGATATATTACCGAATCATCATTATTTTTTGTAACTTTATGAGTTATATCAGGTCGTTGAGGAATTAAATATTCAGATAAGAATTGAATATATTCTGATAAACGTTCTTGTTCAAGAGAAACTTTTAATTCCTATAAACAATTTATCGAATAATCAAAATCAGGAAAAATTTAGATCGAAATAAATAAAAATGGGAATATTTTTAAGTTACCTACTTGAAAACGTTTTTTTATCTCATCATCAAATAATTCTTCGAACCAGACATAACGTAAATCAGTAAACATTACTAAGTAAGACTTTTCCGTGAAAATAGATTTTACAAGAAAAGTTTCCGTTGAATCATTAACATAAGCTATTAAGGGTACCCATGTTGATGATCTTAAAGTTTCATTTTGTAATTTTGTAAAAGTCATATTGAAAATGAAAAAAAAAATTTTACGGCACCAATGAATTTGTTTTTAAGAAAGAAGAATTGAACATACTACTATTACCGTAATAATGACAAAACTTCTCGATTTGTCTGCATGCATAAATTATGCATATGCGATTGAATGATTTTCCTTTGTGGATCACATAACCACGTGATAATTAGTGATTGGCTCTTTGTTTACCACCAAAGTCAAATGACTTTTCTAATAAAAGATTTTTTTTTATATTACTATTTATAAATACAAAAATCATTCATAACATTCATAACTGATTTTGATTTTAAATGATTACATAATTATATAATAAAAATTAAAGATATGATGATGAAAATGGGCCAAGTTTATAATTAATTATAATAAAAAAATAATATTAAAAATATTTTACATTTAGAACAATATAAGTAATATATTATTCTTATCTTTTTTATTGTTTTGAAAGAAGACTTTTATATTAACAAAGAATGATTTTTCTTTTTGAAAATCTGGATAGTCTGATAGTAGATAGTAATGTATTATATTAGATGCAACTATGAAACTATAAGACTATAAGTAATCACAAGATATATCTCATAGAATGATAAACACCGAATATACACTCATAATATAAATTAATATGCAATTGGGATGTTTGTATGTAATATGATATACATACTACTAATACATTATAAAAAAAATATACGTAAAATTAATAAACAAACCAAAGTTTGCAAATTGCACTCAAATTTGCAGGGCTTTCACTTTGTCATTCTTGCCTTTCACCTGTTTGGCTTTTTTAAATCTAAACTTAAAAAGGAATTACGCTAATCAAATTACGTTAACTTCTATTAGCTCATGAATATCCCACTTTACTGTAATTATTGACAATATAATATACATACTATAATATACTTTAACTTCTAATTGTAGTACAATATAAAATATTTAAAAATATTTACATTTAGGATCTGTGAAAACTAAACATCTATATGCCCACACATCTTGACGACTTATGCAAGTTTAGTGGCGGTGATACTGCTTACCGAGTCCTGGAACCCATTTGATCGTAACAACCTTTTTTTTTTGTCTTATTATTAATCTGTTTTGATAAACTCTTTTTTTTCTTTTTTTTTATATAATTTTTTTTTTTTTTACCCCTTACCCCACTAAGTATCGTTTAAAAAAAACTCAACCTCCTTTATTTTTTATTTTTCTTTTACTCTTCTATATTTTACAAAAAAAAAGTTTTAAACTTATTTTAATTACCTCTGACCTTTGGACGTTTATATACTATACAATGGCGTCAGCCGGTCAATCTAGCATTCATAAATTAGGTCAAGCAAACGAGCAAACATGGTTACAGATGGGTAGGTGTTGATTAAACACCAGAGAAACAGGATGTAGTTAGAATTGTGAACATTTTAAACACGAGTGACTTCACTCGTAAAGACAAACCTTGTTTGTTTATATAAAACCGTTATACACTTATTTTTCGTCTAGTGCCTTTATAATAATAGTTTAGTTGTACAATGTTTTGTACCTTTTATGTAATTTATTGAGCGAAAGTATTTAGCAAGTTTTTTTAATTTTCGCTAGAAATTCACCTTACAATTTAGTTATAATAACGCGCCTAATTATTTACCACGTTATTTTATTAATAAAATTATTCATATTATTCATTAATGTTGTCGTTTCTTTCGTTTATTATAGGAAACGCAGCTGAGCTGATGCATGAATACGATCGAGCCATGACTGCTTACGAGTCAGCTTTGCGTCATAATGCTTATTCTGTTGCAGCTTTGTCAAGTATAGCTTCTCTTTGTCGGGGAAGAGAACAATTTCCAAAGGTAAAAAAATTTTATTTTTTTTTAGATTATTTTCCAAAATGATGAATTTGTTCGAATGATTTAACTTTTTGCATTTCAATTTATAGGCTGTTGAATATTTCCAAAGGATATTAGCTATTGATCAAACAAACGGAGAAATTTGGGGCGCATTAGGTAATTCATAATTATTACATCATAGTATGATTGTGTCTCATTTCTTTTTTGCTCATACCATTTTTTATCCATACCTTAGGTCATTGTTATCTGATGATGGATGACTTACAGAAAGCTTATAATGCTTATCAACAGGCTCTTTACCATTTACCTAATCCCAAAGTAAGTTTTTATCATAAATTATTTGGGATAGATTTTTATTTTATTTTATTAAATGAGTTTTAATCATAATTCATAACTATGATTTTAACTATTATTATATAGGAACCAAAACTTTGGTATGGAATTGGTATTTTATATGACCGTTATGGTTCACTTGAACATGCGGAAGAAGCCTTTTCTCAAGTAATGAGAATGGAACCAAAATTTGAGAAAGCCAATGAAATTTATTTTAGACTTGGTATCATATATAAACAACAACAAAAATATGATCAAAGTTTAGAAGTAAGTTTAATATTTTTTGGTAATTCATTATAGTTAATATAAATTCAATTGGTTTTTCATATTTATTATGTAGTGTTTTAAATACATTCTCTATAACCCACCAAAACCTTTAACCGAAGTTGATATTTGGTTTCAAATTGGTCATGTATATGAACAACAAAAAAATGTAAGGATCCGCATTTAATTATATATAGTTTAGGAGTGTTTATTTTTCCCAAGTTGTTTATTAAATTTATTAAATATTGACCCGCATTTATAGTTCGTAGCTGCTAAAGAGGCTTATGAACGTGTTTTAGCCGACAATCCAAACCACGCCAAAGTGCTTCAACAATTAGGTTGGCTTTATCATCAACAAAGTGCAAGCTTCAATAATCAAGATCTGGCTATTTCATATCTAACAAAATCATTGGAATCTGGTAAATAACATTCTAAATAATAGTCATTTATGCATACATAATACATACATACATACATACATACATATATATACACATACATATATATATATATATATATTACTTTTAAAAAAAAACGAAAAATTTATTATTAAATTGTGATTTCTTTAAATTTTAGATGGGACCGATGCGCAGTCTTGGTATCTTCTTGGACGTTGTTATATGGCACAACAAAAATATAACAAGGCTTATGAAGCATATCAACAAGCTGTGTAAGTATTTCTTTAATTCTCACATTACTAAAATATTTGAATTTTTTTAACTTTTTCTTTCTTTCTTTTTTCTTTAATATTTTAATATTTCAAAATAGCTATCGCGATTCACGTAATCCTACGTTTTGGTGTTCTATTGGTGTCCTTTATTATCAAATAAATCAGGTATTTATTTAAAAATATGTAATATTTATAGATTTATAGATATTTATTTGATCAACTAAAATCTTGTTTTTCAACAGTTTCGGGATGCCTTGGATGCTTATAGTAGAGCAATTCGGTTGAATCCATTTATTAGTGAAGTTTGGTATGATCTAGGGACACTGTATGAATCTTGTAACAATCAAATCAATGACGCGTTGGATGCCTATCAACGTGCAGCTGAATTGGATCCTACAAATCCTCATATAAAGCAAAGGTTGCAAATGTTAAGAACCCAACAAGTTCAAGGAGGACAAACTACCGCACCAATTCCTCAGGATGTTAATCCTCAATCTTATCAACAACTAAATGGTCCTCCACCAATGCTTGGTAATCCTCCAACTTTTGCTCAACCAACTCCTGGACCACAAGGACCTCCTGGTATGCCAACGTATGGAAGTAGACATGATAGTAGACAAAATCATCCACAAATCCCCATTTCATTATCAGCTCTTCATCATGGAGATAGTAATCATCGTGACTTACCCCCAATGTCGAGAGGTGATTTGCAAATGCAAAGGAGTGATTTACCTCCCATGTCAGCTCCAATGCCAATGTCAAGAAGAAGTCCAGGTCCCTCAGGATCTTATGCTCAACCTCATCTTCGCGAACCAAGACCACCTACTCCTCCAAATCAACAACATCCTATTAATAATTCTATTATGTCTCCAACTGATCCAAGATCTTTAGCTCCACATCAATCTCAACAACCACGTTCAGATAAACGTCAATCATCACCACCTCCGACGCTTCCTCAAATTCAAGATGAAAGACGTTCAAGATATTCTCCTCCTCCATTACGTCCTACTTACCCTACTTCACCAAGAATGGGAGCAAGTGAACACGGTAACTCGCAACACTCAGGTTATCATCAACAATCTCATCATGAAATTTCACATCATTCTCCTCCGATTGTTGATCGTCGTGATTCTGATATGTATGATCCTAATAAGATTAAACATACTTCGGAACAATTATCATCGAACCACGAACCTCATTCTACACATCTACCTCACCTTGAGTATCGAGAATCTCCGTCTAAACCCGAGGAACCTCCAGTCTCAAATAGCCTTGATCACGGTTCAAGAGTTTCTATCTTGAATACTCCACATCAAATTAACCAACATGATAATAGAATTGGTGGCTCAGTTGAAGACAAAGGAATGCCACCATTTTCTTTCCGTCAAGAAGAACATAGACGTCCTATTTTATCATCAGAGATCAAATCCCCTGAAGGACCTTCACAAGAACAACGTCCACCTACAACAGTTAACTTAGAATCTCCTGTTAGAGAAAACTCTTATGGTAGTCCAACTTTCAGCGAATCTGGTGAAAATCAACGTAAATCTTCAACCGATCAACATTCTAATCGAGGACCTTCAGAATTGGTAAAACCTCCGTTCCCAGAGGAACAACAGCAACAACAAAGTTCGCATTCTCCTAGTGAACAACCAACTTTACCGCGTATCATAGATACAAATAGTCCATCTAGTCCTCGCGAAAATGATCTTAATAAACCAATATTACCATCAATAAGAAGTAATGCAACACGCCAAGTTGATGAGGATTATGATGATACACCTGCGGATATAATTAGTATTAATGAAAGTGGTACATCATCCGCAGGACAAAAGAGATCTTATTCACCAACACCAAAAGGTGGAGAAAATGATATTGACAATCGGGATGATCCTGCTAGTAAGCGACCTAAAACTGCACCGCCTACACCTGGAAGAGATGACTCTTCACCGACATCGTCGCATTCAGAACAAATAAGAGAGAGGCGAAAATCCGAACAAAGTGCTAGTGGAAGCGTGACACAATCGCCCAGGTCAGAATTAGATTAATCTTTTAAATTGTACCCAATAATATACTTTTTTTTTCCATTAATCAGAATATGTAAAGAATAAAGATAAGAGGAGAATGATCTTTCACAAATAATTTATGATCGTAGCGATTAAATCAGTTTTTTAGTTCATTTTACCTATTATATTCGTTATGATATGGAAAGCCAACAAACATGTAAGGTAGATTTCCTTAAGAGAAATGGAAGTTATTTTGCATATGTACCTATGGTAAAAAGTACTGGTTGGTTGGGTGGGAAATTACAAATATAATACTAATAGTTTTTTTCAATTGCAATAAATTAGCAATTAGTAGTAGTTAATAGTTATTTTAGTACAAATTTTGTAGCAATTTTTTTATATATTTTTTTTTTCTTTTTTTCAATTCAATATGAAAAAAAATAAGTTAATTAGTAAGTAGTGTAATTAGTTATGTATATGTTTGATAAATAAAGGACATTTATTAATATAAAATCTATTATATACTAGGCGCAGTACATGACTTTTTTTCTATTACATCAATTTTTTTAAAAACAATGATTGTCAATGAATAAGGTATAGTTTGTCTAAATATAGATAAGGATATGATCGTAATTACATAATTTTAGTAATAACCATATCTGGAAAAACTTAAATAATCAACCGATGATAAAGATAGTTCTCCGTAATTTTTTCCCCACAAAAAGTATTTTTACCGCATTTGATAGACTAAGTACTAAAAGGATAAATTTGCTGCAGAATCCCCCCATATTGTACGTGATTACGTCTTCTGATATCACTTCACTTATTAAAATTTGGTTAGTAAACCCATGCGAGATATTGTAACGGAATTAAGTTAATACAGAAGTGGTGCTATTTAATGCATTATTTTTCATCGACGAGTTTTATTTGTTGTAATTTTGGATATATGAAACCAAAATAAGCTTCTCTTACGAAAGTTCTGGCAATGATGACTATTACTTAATATATAAGTGCATTAATAATAATATACTAGTATAATTATAGTAAATTTTTTGTTTGATTGTTATCTCCGATTGAAATTTTTTTTTTTTTTTTTCAATAATTAGACATGTGAATACTAAACGATGTTCTTTGAATAGATTTCATATTCTTATTGCGATCTACCTTAAATATTCTTAAATATATTTTTATGCTAGATTATGAAACGTGAATCAACTAAATGAGTTTTTACTTGCGATATTAGTTTCAACATATATTTATAAATTTATCCCTAATTATAAAAATAAGCATAAATCGATTTGTTCACCAAATTAAGCCTTGAATAGTTGCCTATTGACATCATACCTTCCTTTAACTTCTATATTGAAATATTTGAAGGTAATTGCACGTGCGCACGGCTCTTATGCAACGGCCTATAGTGATTAGTTACAGTATTAATTTCATATTCCGCTTATGCATTGTTTGCATTGTCTGTGTTCCATGAGTTCAGACTTCAGAGTTCAGACTGTAATGTAACAATTTTTATTGGTTTAAAATTAATCGTTTTTTTTTTTTGACATATTCGAACATAAATATTATAAAAATATCTTGATAACTTTTTTCTCCTTAAACTTTCTTTTTTTTTCGCTTTTTAAATTTAAATCTACATTTCATATATATTTTGATCTTTCTTATTTACTGCATCCTTTTTTGGCTAAATAAATAATATAGTATAATAAATACATACAAAAAATGGATAATAATCCTCTTTCTTCTCTTTCAAGTTCTCATTCAAGAAATGATTCATTATCTCAAAGTGAATTATTAGATGGATTTTTATTAGTTAGACCCGTTTGGGTTGATGATGAAACTGTTAAAAATTGTAAAGGTTGTGAAATTGGGTTTACTGCTATTAGAAGGAAGGTCGGTTAAACAAAAAATTTTAGAGTGGATTTATCATGTTTATTTAATGAATACTTAGTGGAATATGTAAAAAAAAATTATTTCTTATTTGAAAATTTATCTTGATCTAATAAAATTTCTTTTTTTTTTTGTGATCCAGCATCATTGTCGTCAATGGTAAGCTAAAGTCCTTTTAAGATTAGCTGATATTGATTTGTTATAAATAAAGTATTTTAATAAAAATTTCTTCTTTTAAAGTGGAAATATTTTTTGTCAAGAATGTACATCAAGAAAAATTTCATTGCCCCAGTTTGGTTATATAACACCTGAAAGAATTTGTAACGAATGTTTTGAAATTGCTTATCTTGTTGGATATATAATTTCTGATGAACCATCTACTCAAGTACATTAATTTTTCATTTATTTTAATGAATATTATGGATTGTTGTTATTGTAAAAAAAACTTTAAACAAAGAAGATTCAATTTTTTTAATACTAGATACATGGTGCAAGAGGGTTACTAGATATCGTGGAACGTGGAAATGGTGAATGATTTATACGCATTTAATTGAGTAATATTTTTTTTTGAGAAACTTATATATATATATATATATTTTAGAACATGAATTGTCTAATTTCATTACTTATGGTGGATTAGATGCATTAGTTTACTTATGTAGAGCATCACATACAAATGACTTACATCAATTAGGGACAACAGCATTAACTAATCTTTCAGGTTATGGTAAATAAGTTTAATTTATTCAACCTTTTTTTTTTTTTATCTTAACTTTTTCTTTTTTAATAAAAAAAAAAACCTTTCTTTAAATTTAGAATCATTTAAACCTTATATTATTATGAAAGGAGGGATTCCTTATTTGTATAATTTAATATTATTTTATTATAGTAAGATAAATTCAGATGCTTCATCATCTGATCCTTCATATACAGCAAAATTTTTAGACTCTGCTTCTACTATTATTTTAAATATTGGAAATATCCTTTATTCATTATCGATTTCGGGTAGAGTATAATATTTAAATATCACAAAAATTCCACATTTTTTTACTTTTATTTATTTATTTTGAAAAAAAAAGTGTGTATATATATATTTATTTATTTGGAAAAAAATGTGTGTATATATATTTAATAGGGTCTCTATGTCAAAGAATGGTAATAGATGTTGGATCATTGGAAGCAATAATGAAATTAGCAAGTTTTCAATTAGGAAATTTAGCAGAAGATGAAACCTCAGATGAGGATATACTTTTAACTTATGAAGAAATGCATTTACGTGTTGAATTAGCAAAAGGTTTAGCTGCAAAAACTATTTCATGTTTGGCAACTAATCGTAAGTAACTTTTTAATATATATATATATATATATATAATTTATTGACTTTAATAAATTCTTTAGCATCACATCAGCTATTAATATTTGAAAATCCTAGAATTGGATTAGACAAATTGATGGATTTGTTACATTCTAGCACATATGAAGTTCGTAAATATGCTGCCAAATCTATAGCATATTTATCACTAAGAAACGGTAAATTTTATTTATTTATAGGAAAATATGTTACAAATATTAACTTTTTTTAAAAAACAATTTCTTAGATAAGTATAAATCTGCTTTAATCAAAGATGGTAGAGTTAAGGTATTAACTTCTGTTATTGAACTTGTTGACGAAAATTTAGCAAAAGCCAATCAAGTTACAATATCTCATGCGTGTTGTGCAATGGTAAGTTTGTAAAAATTTTTTTTGTGATTTTTTTTTTGTAAGTTATTAATCCAACGTTTTTTAAAGGCTAATCTGGCAACGAATGGTAATTTGATAAGCCTCTTTTTTTTGTGATATTTAATGATTAAATAAGGATATTTACTTCTTTTGAAATATATTTAGCTGAATCACAACAACTTTTAATTAGTCAGCCATCTTTATTGTCAAATTTATGTCAAGTTGTTAGTTATTTTATTTCGGATAAAGAAATTCAGAGGTAAATAGTAAAAAAAAAATGATGTTTAATAATAATAATAATAATAATAATGATAATGAATTATAAAGCTACTAAAATTTTACTAATTAATTCTTTTATATAAATAGACATGTAGCACGATTGTTGGCAAATTTTGCGCTATATGGTAAAAAAATTATTGTGTCTTTTACATTGTTTAAGTTTTATATTGACGTTTTTTTTTGTTTTCGAAAGAGGAGAATAAGACACGTATGTTATTTTATCCAATGACTAATGAAAAAGAAGCAACAGATGAAGAAGCAGAAAAAGTAGCGGAACAAGAAGCAGAACAAGAACAAGATAATAATGATCAACAATTAGAAGAATTCTTCGGTAGTATTGTCCCTACACTTATTGCTATTGGAGATTCACCTGTTGCTGATGTAGAAATTCAAAGACATATTGTTAGAGCGTTAGATAATTTATCAACTGAAGGTAAAATATAAAATAAAAGTATTAAATAAGTGTATATTTATTCTTATTATTTTTTGTTTCTTTATTAAAATTATTACAGTTCCTTCTATGTCACATTCAAAATTATTACCATGTTTACCATTAATTAATCGTATATTGGATACAATTAAAGATGAGGATATACGTAAACGTGCAACGCATGTATTAAATAAATTATCACCGCCATTACCTTCTATACCAATTTCTTCTCCATTTATTTTAAATAATGATCAACAACATTATTTTCAACAAGATTATGATGATATTTCTCATTTTTATGGACAACCTCAAAATACAAGTGACTTATCTTTAAATGAAAAGAATAATTTAACAAAGACAAAAGTAGAAGTTGAGAATAATACTGCAACTACAAAAACAACAAATGTAGATGATTCAAATGTAATTACATCTTATTTGGTCCCTGTTGACAATCTTATTTTACTTGATGATAAAGAAACAAAAACATCTGCATATATTAGTACTAGCAATAATAATTTTGGAAACATTGAAGAATTAAATAATAATTTTAATAATATTAGTTTAGAACATAATTATAAGGAAACCTTATCTACTTTGGATAAGCCACCAAAATTGCCACCTATTAGACAAAATAGTGGAGCTTTACCTACATTATTAAACCAATTTTCATTTGACAATTAACTTATAGATTTAATTAATAAAATGATAAACTTTTATTGAGATCCAAAATAATGAAATAAATTATTGATTATTATAAAATTATATAAAATTGTTATATTATTTCCTAAAGGATATAAAGGGTATATACATCAGTTCGTTACTCTTTTCCCATCCAAATCAGTATATAATGTATACTTAGATTATTATTAAAAGAAAGGATGTATATATATTTTTTTATAAAATTGAATAATGTTAAATGTTTTTGTTTGCAGATGTGTAGATATATTATTTTAGTAGTAAATCAAATTTAAATTTTTTTTAAAAATTATCTTTTTTATGAATCTTGTTTCAAATGATCTTTCGCATCAAATAAAATATTATTTGTTGATTTATTATCTGAAGAATTTTTGTCTGTGTTATTATTAAAATTAGTAGAAGAATTTGGTGGCGAAATAGTAGTATATGATGATGGTGATGTTGTAAATGGTGGTGGTGATGTTGGATAATAGTTTGGCTTATTGTGTAATCTTGCATCCAATGCTTTTAATGCTAATGCTCTATCAAATTAAAAAATTTACGCGTAAGAAAACATTAGAAATTATGAAAATTATAAGCAATAAGCAATACGTGTAACTAATTGTGTGACTAATTTACCTTCTTCTTTCGGCTTCGGCTCTTGCACTACCTGGCATAGCAGGTGCTAAACTTGTTGGAAGGCTTTCTAAATCCATAGCAAATCTCCTTTTCTGTATTGGTTTACAACATTTTAACATTACTAAAATATTAAATACCATAGTAGAAATAAGTTTGATGGCAGGTCTATGTAAGTTTTTTTTAAAAAAAAACGGGAACAAATTTAAATTAGCAATTAATTTTTTTTTTAAAAAAAAAAGACGAGTAAAAAAAATACTCAACTGAATAAATTCAGGGAAGAAACTGGCAAAAGAAAAAGTCTCACTACGATCTCCACGTAAACCATCTTGATATTTATAAAATCTTAAATGAATCCAAGAAATAAAACTACCATAAAGTACTAAAAGAAATTGTGATTGTGATTCAAATAATACAAAACAAACGAAACTTAATAATAAAAATAAACTTGGTATATGTTTTACTCTACAAAATGTCAGTCTAACTAAATGTTCCGGTATTAGTTGTTTTAACCCTACTAAAAATCCACCAATTAATCCAATCATTCCATTTACTTGTACATCATATCTAAATAATAAAATAAAAAAGAGATTAACGCGTAAGAAATAACTAAAAATTAAAAATTTAGTAAATATGAACGAACTTACAAGTAAAATGTATCCCCTGTGATAGTATATTCACATAAATATGTTAAAAAAGCACATATATTAGCTCCAATTATAACGATACCTATAAACTTTAAAAAATCTCTTGATCCCCATGCTCTTTCTAAATATTTTCCATTCACTAGTATTATAAGAATACTTCCTACAAACTATTTTAAATTGTATTTATTTATATTATTAAATCTTTTCTTTTAAGAAATAAATAATATATATATATATTTATAGTACTTACTCCCGATAAATTAGTTTCTAGGAATCCTGCTGTTAAAAACGTCCAAAATTTCCGAAGCGCGTATCCTGGTACCAGTGCCATGTCAGGTAAAATATTGGAAGGAAGAGTAGGTTCTTTTCCTTCATTTTCCCCTCCATTGTCTTGCCATTGTTTTATTCTTTGTATTGTTCCGAGTCCTGACAGAATAATAATTATTAATGTAATTACTTTAACTGTTGGAGGTATATTAATAAACGCTATCTAGAGTAGAATCCCAGTGTGTAAGTAAAGAATCGAATGAAAAAAACAAGCGAAACTAGAGATCTATATTTACCCTCAAATTCAGCATTTTTTAAGTAATATTTTCGATTTAAAAAACGAAGTTTTTATACAGTGTAATTTATGTAAACAATATTTTTAATTGGTTCATATTATAATGTCACACGATAATAACGTTATAGATTCTGATTGGCAAGTACTTGCCGTATATGTATATTGTTATCTGTTATCACAATTAGCATAGAGAGCGCATCGAAGAGGAGCCTCTCAGGATCGGATAAAATTTCTATCTCAGCCCCAAGATCCTCAACTCTCAATAAATCGGCATGATTGATAATTAAGCAATAAAGTATATAGTAATTGCACGATAATAACTTTTTACATACTTGTTAATATAGTTTTATTTTTCTGATGATACACGAATTATACATCCCACACTACACACGCATACACAAAATTAAAAAATAATTAGCCCAAATTGTGGGCGAAACTTTATTTTGTAATCCTGTGTTTAATATCTACAAATCATTCATCAACACAATAAGTCTTCCTAATTAGACGATGCAAACCTACTCTCAATACAATAAACATACAGCTCAACTCTGCATCATGTTTTTTTGATGAATCTAAATACTCATTGCTTTTCTTTTTAATCTTCCATTCCAAAGCTTTACGAACTGTTTTTTGATTTTTCCGGTATCGATCACTAATTTCAAGGCTTAAAATTTCATTCTCCGATTTTTCCAACAATGATCGTGAAAAATCAGTTGCTTCCTGCCAACTACCTTGAGCTCCGTCCAATTTAACATTCTCCATCTTGATTTTATCAAATTCGTTTACTATCATTTTGTCATAAGAGCTTGTTTCAACGCCTCTTCGTTTGAATGCTTAACACATTGTCCTTTAATGGCTTTAGTAAAACCTTCCCTATAGATTGGCAAAGAGGTTCAATATTATATTCTGTCTCCAAAATCTGCAAACAATTCCGTACAGGTATTAAATCCACCTTTTTCCTGTCATAGATCATAAGTGCCTCTGTGATAAATTCCCTCTTGGCAATACGATTTGGTGTTCAAAAATTGTGTTGTAATAATGCGGTAATGGGTTTGGTTGATATGTAATGGCTCCAGTATAGAACATGAATGATAATAACGGGTACGATCAGTTGCTAACTCCGTAACTCGCGAATATTGGTGAGTCAAATCGTTGTTTTATGCCATTTGTAGAATTGAGAGGGCATTGATTGAGTGCTTCAATAATGGGAATTGTTAACAATTAAGTCCAATGTTGTTTTGAGAGGGCAATGTTTGTTGCGGGTCAGGGGGGAAATTAAGAGTTACTGTATATTAAGAATGACTGAAGGATCCCAACTATCATCCAATTTACTCTTTTGTTTCATCAACTTTCTGACATAGTACAGGATATGTGCAGTGTTGAAAATCTCTTCAGGTTGATTATGGCGAAAAAAATACCCATCATTTTCTTCCTTTAACCATGACACTATTCCCTCTTTAATATTATCTGATAAATTATTTCCAAAAGAAACTCAATTTCCGATTTCTTGAATCCATACAAGTCCCAGAATTCTTCGTCTAACATCAAATCATCTGAAATGTTAAACCTGAGATGAATTCGGCCAAAACAACAGGAGTCACGCCAGTTAAAAAAACACGAGCTACGTCTTCATCATAAGCAGTCTTTACTGAAGAATTGTTTAATGAACTTTCAATTAATTCAATTTTTCTTTTAGTGGAGTCACCTTCGTCTTTGTGATGACTGGTGAAAACTTGGAGGAGTATTTCGTTTTTAAGGGCTTTGTTCATACAGAATCGTATTCATCAATGAAAACATAGAGCCAAAGATGCTTAGTACTTTTTAAATAGAGATTATGACTAATTAAGGATAAAATACCTTATTATCGCTCAATTCCACCACGTCCAGTAACTTCTTGAAATTCACCAAAGCATCCTCCTTTGAAATGATTTCCTAACTCTTGTTTATATCGGTACTGTACATAAAATTTGATATATATGTATTCAAATTTTGTGAAGTTTGCTCTAAAGATTTCATACGTTTCATTAGTACAAAGTCTAGCAAAAATTGAGTTTGAAGACTAGGAACTCAGACTCTAATGGTGTAGGATTTTTTCCGATATATAGAACTTGGAATAATTGCTTAAATCATTCTCTGTTCTTTACGTCATAGTAAGAGGACAAAGTAGAGAGGAATAATGTCTTTCCGAAACGAATGAGGACGTAGGGAAAGGATGGCAGTAGCACGGATAGCCTCTATTTTAGGAGAGAATCTTATCTAAATAACAACAACCTTCCCATCTCAAAACATCAAATGAGCCTGTTGAAATATCTCAAAAGGTTTCTAGATGGTACATCTGAAAGGAACCAAGGAAAGAGGTGAGAGAGTGGAAAGTGAAAAGAGTATTAAAGGTTAAAATAAATTGTAAATTGGGCTTTTAAGTAGGAACTTAATTGACCTAAAAATTAGTGATCGATCGACCATAATGTAAATTTTGTAGGGTGGACCGATTCGGCATTTTAATTGACTCGATTAGCCAAAATTAAGCACGATCTCATAATTCCGGCTGGAAGCAGACAATTTAGGTCAGAGGTGATTAATGAGCTTTAATTACTAATTTAGAATTTGATATTTAAATTTTCTCAATAAATAAATAATAAATATGAGCACTTGCTAATATGATAGGAAAGGAAAATTAAGAATTTATTCGCTTATCTGATTTAGAATTTAACCAATGAAAATTGGCTAAATCAATATAGAGACATAAATATACAGTAAAATTATTAAGTATTTGAATAATTTGATTATTAAACAAACTGTTAGAAAATAAAAACTTATGTTTAATTAAGTTATTTGGAAAAAATATTCTTATTGAGCCAATTTTAATTTTTTAAATATACTGTATTATAAATATAAGGAATTCAATTTGAACCCATTAATACATGTTAAATATTAATTTTATTAAAAATAACTAATGATTTCACGATGAACCATGTAATTTTTCTAATGATTTAACACCTTCTTCTTCCCACTCCTGTTTTGTAATCCACCATGATTGTTTATCTTTCATAATGTTAGCTAGGACAGCACCTCCCAGGAAAACCATATGTTTACGCCTGGGTGGATCTTCAATTCGAATTTTTAGTTTCTGATTATTTCATTAAAATAATAAATTAATATAACTAAGTATAAATAAATATATTGTATACAATAATCACAATATACACTCACCTTCAATATTGAAGTATCTCCTTTTGCTACCCTTTCCAAATACAGTTGTTTAAGTTCTTTTTCAAGACGACTTGGTAAACCTGGATACATAGATGAACCCCCAGACAAAACAATATGTCTATATAGTTCAGGACGAACATCTATAGCAGCATCTTGAATTGATTCAAAAAGCATTTCTGCAACACCTGGTTTTTCTACATCAATCAAATGAGGCTGGAACATACACTCAGGTGCCTCAAATCGTTCGGAACCAACTTTGATAACTCGACCGTCAGGTAGTGTGTAATTTTCTACCAGAACTGTAGTTTCATTTGCCAATTTTTGGTCTAAAGGAATATCGTAACTATTTTGACATTCATGATTAACCATGAATTTAAACAAAATTAAAAACATAATATGGCTTGATATTTACTCTACCTTACATAACAGAGTTTCTCCTTCATTTGTCTTACAGTTTCGAAGTCTGCTGTTCTATTGAATGCATATCCTCTTAATAAAAGTAGTTTTATGAGGTAACGCGTTACATCGCGACCAGCAATATCTAATCGACGTGTTTGATGTGTCTGGGCGTACCCATCATAAATTGGAACAATGTGTGTCACACCATCACCGGAATCAACTACTACTCCAGTAAGAAGACCTGTTTAATAAATTAAAGAATTTTCGTTCAAAATTTTAATTTTAAATCTATTAAACAGTCTTATGATAAATAATTTACCTTGAGCATATAAAGTAAGCACAGCTTGAATAGAAACATAAACTCCCTGGAAACCATACTCTTCAAACATAATTTGTACCATCTCTTTTCTATTCTTTAATGGATTCATTGGTGGTTCCGTCAACAGAACCTTGCAATCTTTTGGATCTACTTTTAATTTTTCATGAAAAGTATAATCCCATAAATGTTTCATATCCTCCCATATCTTTATGATCCCATTTTCCATTGGATATGACATTTGTAAAATTGATCGAAGTTTAGCGGCTTCATCGCCAACCATGATATCTTTCACTTCTACGTTCCCAACTTTTTCTTCTGCACGAAGAATTGGTCTTCCAACAACAGAAGGAAACACATGATCAGGAAAATTGGAGCCAGCATAACCAACTTTGACAAACTAATAAAAAAAGAATTTTTGAGACGTCCAAAATATTTAAATATCGAAACATTCGCAATAAAATTTTATTCGTCCTGTGGGAATGTATTACTTCGTATGGCCAATGAAATATAATAGCTGACTCACCCCCGTTCCATTATCGACAACTAATGTTTTTGAGGCGTCCATTTTTAAATGTTTAAGTTAGGGGTGGGTTTATTTTGGTTTTTTTTTAAAAACTTCAAATTTTATTATAAATTGTGATACGAGCTCAGGTGATACAAGTGCCAGAAATCTAGACAAATCAAAGTCACGTGACTAGAAATCCAATTAAAACATTGCATTTTTTACTGCGCCTTTATTAAAATAAATTTGCATTTAAAATTAATTTAACATTCTTTACATATTGATTTTTCTCTTTTGAAAATCTACATAAATATTTTGGCCATATAATATCTCTTAATTCCACTTCTTCATCCCCAATCTTATTATATGTAATGACACTGTACTCTTTAACTAACCCCCTAAGTATCAACCAAGTGGCATCGGCATTTCTTTTAGCTAACTCCTTAAATAATTCAATTGCTGAATTTTGAAGCTCTTCATGGACTTCTTCACTCAAAAATTGCCACATGTTGTCCATGATCTGAAATAGGATCTGATTAGATAACACCTCTTCACTAATAACAATTTTCATTGTTTCTAGTATTGACTTTTTCAGCTTGTGAGATCTGGAATATTTTGTTGTTGCTATCCCTGAATAGTCTTCGTCTTTCACAGATTGCTGACGTAATAATTGTTGGAATGACGGCCATACGTCTTGAACTACTCGACTTGTAAAAAAATCTCCACTTGAAATTGAAATTCCTTGAATAAGCCTTACTGCGCTAAGAACGACATATGGTTCTTGATCCTTTAATCTATTAAGAACTGAAGGCCATATTCTATGTACTAAAGGATAAAGCTCTTTTGGGATAGATTTTAATACTGGAAGTGAAATCCTAATAACATCTAATACTAATGAACGTAATTGTGGTGATGATGCCGTAAGGAAATGAAGTAATTTATCAATAATCTTGAGACAAATCAATTGTGATTTTGTTGGATTTGATTTTTTATCTAAATCCTCTTCATTATTATGAGAAGCGCTAGTTGAGTCATGTTCCCCTTTAATATTATCATCGTGATCTTCTAATTCATTATATTCGGTTTCTTCCAATTTCTTTTTCGACTCTCGATGTTCCAGAAAATATTGTCCAATTTCCTCAAGTGTTGCATTTGATCTTGACGTCTTAGTTTCACGTTCATTCTCTGTTTTATACTGACTGACGAACTCTGCAATTTCTTTAGATATCTCAATTTCATTTTCAAGTGGATTATAATTGCAATTAACTTCTTCCTGTTCTTCTTCCATTTCTTTCTTTACGGATTCGGAAATAGTAATAATTACAGCAAATAATACATTTACTAATTGATTCAACAAATAAGGTTTCATATGATATGAATCTAGGGCATCAAAAATTTCTTCTATTGAATCATCAATAAATGGCAACACAGGCGGCCCAACCACATGTATCATAGCAGTAAGAACTTGAGGAGTTTGAGGATTTACGATAACTTGGTTAAGTTTCTGAGAAACAACGTTAACAAGATAATCAACATTTTCCAATACTAAGGCTTTCTTTGATGAGTATCCACACCATATAGAAACATGAGTCAAAGTGATATCAGCTGTTTCATGTATTAACATATTGTTTTCTCCAACTTTTTCTAATATAGGATAGAGAGCATCCATTAGTTCCACTCTAAACTCCATCCCTAAAATACGAGATATTGCCGCTATTCCTTCGAGAATGAAACAATTAACTAAAACAATAAGATTTTGAGATTCTATACTCACATTAGATGTAGCTAGAATTTTTCTTTCAACAGATTTGCTTCTATTGCTATCGAATACTGCTTTTGTGGCTGGATCGATATTAATGAGGCCACGTATCACATCGGACTCAATATATTCTCTTAAAATTGATCTTGCTATTCTTTTTACATCTTGCAATGCATTTGCTGGTTTCATAACTATTTTTGAATATTCAAAACTTGAGGTTTTGCCTATATCAATTCCAGCTGCTCCAAGCAAGATTTCCTTAATAACAAATATACACTGAGCATAAAATCTTTTAAACTCTTTATCTCTAAAATAAGCAAGAAAATGATCGATTAAAAATGATAAGTTACTAAAATATCCAAACAGCCGAAGAACCAGTGATATACATGTTCTGACACGTTGTTCTCGAATATGTTTATATTGTGGTTGAGAAAAAGATGGAACAATACATTTAGAATCAAAATCGGAAGAAATAGTATGTTCATCTTCAATTGAATCATATTGCCCAATAATTAATCGATTTTCCACAACTTGAACATCACTAGTATCAAACTCTAACGCACTGAGCAACCCATCCGATACTCTTTGTAATGAAAAATTTAAAACCGTCTGTATATCTGATCCCAATAGAGAAGTAAAACCTGCTATTAATGATAATGCATTAAATTTTGCGTTCTCGTCCAATCCAACTAAATATCTTGGTAATGATGTAAGCCAAGTATCGAAATTTTCTTTTAGAATTGGTGTAAAATTTTTAAATTGAGAGTGCAAACGTAACATATTCAAATTTTGTCGACATGGAATTGATACTTGTTCATAATCATCATTCAAATAAAATACAAGGGTTTCGATTAATATAGGAACACAATTATCTAAACATTTTGCACTACAAGAAAGAAGCTTATAAGAAAATTTCACAAACGCTAATCTAAGCTGCCATGCGGAATGATTACGTATTGTGAAAATTTGACTAATTAATATTTTGATTTGCAATTTGGTCGCTTTAAGCCATGACCTTGTCCTTTCAACACAAATTGATGCGAATATTGACTGTTGCTGAGATGATTGAGTCGATGTTACATTAGAAATTAAATTATGTGAACTTGTTTGATCAGTACCGGGGATTAAATTTTTTAGATCACTCAGCGAATCTATTTTAGTCAACAAACTCTCGTTTACTTTATCTTCATCCTTCATGGCACTAGCTATGACTTCAGATAAAGTTTCAACAATTTTTGTTAATAACATATGATTCTCTTTCTGATCTCGAACCAAAGTTTTACTTAATGTGCTAACCATTCCAGGCAAGAAAGCTGCAATAATTCCTGAATCTTCTATATTATTGACTAAGGATTGTAAAGTCTCAAGAGAAGTTAGCCTTAATTGTAACAATTTTTCATTGGAAATAATTTCTAACAGGACATAAACACATCGAGCAAGGAGTGCCCTGAGTTTTATATCCATTAATTCTTGCAAAATTAACTCACGACGGATCTCTATTTGGAACTGATCCCTTTCGTCTACGTCTCCGGGTAATTCAGTGTGTCTAGGTAGTAACGCCAATATACATTTAACCCCTGCAAATTTTGTTTCTTCAGATAAAGTAAATGGCTGTTTATCCACTTTCGAATCAATAGATGGTGATCTACCAATTATACTAACAAACAAAATTAGGAGCTGTTTGAATTGGTCAGAAACCATATATTTTTGCCAACTCGCTGTTAGCAAGAAATGAATACAATTAAGGAAACCTTCGACAAATCTATCACTTTGTTGTAGAACTGGGTTATTATATAACTGAAGTAAAGGAATGTATACATATTTGATCAAATTGTAGTCAAATACCCTGGATGAATCGGGAATCGAATGAAGAGTATTAAGCAAATTGTTGATAGTATGAATAATGTCATGAGTTTTTGAAGTTGATACCGATCCGGTTTGGATAAGGGATACACATAAAGGTTTTAACTAACATTTCCCATAAATGTTAAAAGAAATTTCTTTTTTCAGCAAATAGAATTACTTTTCTGATATAAGTTGAAGAAACTCCAACCTGAAGGAATACTGCCTGACGTTGTGCATCAAGATTATTGTCCATTCTTTCGAAGTTTTCAATTTGGAATAACAGATTGGATTGTTATCAGTTTCTAATCATCGAAACCGACGATCATGACCAATAAAAGTCAAACTGGTATTACATGTGGGAAATGTGTTTGTTCAGTGTTATTTAACTGATCATGTAAAATTTTATTAGTTTTTTTTATTAATTTACTAACTGCTAAAGCTTTTTTAATATGTATTAAAAATTGTTAATATAAAATAATAATAGTAAACACAATGGGAATTAATATTCTTATTATTCTGCCTCTCTATATTTGAATATAGGTTTTAGATATTACATTTCAAAAATTGTATCATACTAGAGTTAATTTTCCATGTCCTGAGCATGTTGAGACTATCCATTCAAGTATTAGAAAGGTGTATAAGATTATACATATATGGAGAGAGAGAGAGACATGATAGAAATTTTCCTTCCGGCTTTATATTGAGTAACAAAGCAGAACTTGGTTTTATCATTTTATACAGCTAAAAACAAATTATATTCAGTTTTATTAAAAAAATACATAAAAGATTTAAATAGTGAAAGATAATTCAATACCCTATAAATTATTACCTTGGTTACAAGTTTAGCCATTAAAATACAAGAATAAATAAATTAACATTTAAATAAGACATGGATATCAAAAGTAATAAATAGCGTAAAAAGAAATTTTAAGTAATTGTTTTCTTTGAATAAATAATCTCAATTCTCAGAATTGTTTCTTGAATAAATAATCTCAAATTTTCAGAATTGTGAAATATGTAAACAACAATTTAAAATTAGTTACAATAATTGCTTTTTCTTATTAATTATGCTTTGCACGCTTATTAGGCACTTCCAACTCTTCTATAATTGAAAATAAAAAAAAAACAATAATGTAAATAAATGGGATAAATATTATAAATAAATAAAATGAGGATTAAATATTTCCAAACCTTCTTCCGACTCTTCTTCATCAAAATCTTGATTGACACCTTCTTCTTCGTCTTCTTCATCATAATCTTCTGTCACATCTGTCACATAAATCCTATGTTTAAAGTGACAGGAAATCAATCTAAGGTATTAATAAGAACTAAAAATAGAAATTTTATATTTACATCCAGGCTTGAGGATAAACTTCATCTCTGAAATTTCTTCCTAATTCCCAAGAACTATCGTCAGTGTTTTCTTCAGAAAACCATTTAATAAAACTTTCATCCTCTTCTTCATCAACTTTACGTTTTTTTGTATAATCCTTTATTGCAATAAAAAAGTTAAATTTTGGTAAAAATGCGTTTAAAAAAGAACTTTTAGCTTAACGTACTCTGCCCTCGATCCAGTCAATTGGCGTGCTTTTTATCTTACGTTGCCCATCAGCGTCAACAATAAATTCCTAGTTAAAGAAATAGACAAATCAATACGTAGATATAACATAATAATATCAGCCTAATCTGGAACGACCGAAATTCATTTACCTTTACAAGTTCTTTATTTTTGAAATATTCATTCTCAGAAAAACTCAAGATAATTTTGAAACTTTCTAACGAATTTTCATCCTTTTCAACAGTTATGTCGTCAATATATTGAACAACCTGAGAACAAATTATCAGTTATAGAATTGAACTCTGTAACATATCAAACATTAAAATTGACCATATAAAAATACCGAATCATCGTCGTTAACCAAATATTGCGCTGAAATAAATATAAAAATTATTGTTCGAATTTAATAACGAAAAAAGAATTGATCAAAAAGATAATTATGACTTACCAACAAAAATATGCTTCGTAAGCTATCATCAAGATAAATAAAGATAGCAAGAATTAATTTATTTAAATATTTCAAATTAAATAAATATGTGATGATACTTACTACTTGTGACCAAAACTTCGGGATTTTCTTGAAAACTTTTTTTCTTTTTTCGTAAATAGGTTTAAATACTTTAATTTGTTGTTTCGCTTCATAAAAAAATCAAAGATGATTAATTTATAGAAAAACATTCATAATTCTCATCATTTTTAATTTCAAAAATGAATAGAAATACCAATTTCGAATTCAGCCGCCTCGATTTCTTGGTTTATTGCTTTCATTTCTTCGTTAATTGCTTCATCAATTGTTCCGATACCACCATTTTCTATTTCAGAATGTAAACTTGCCGCCATCTTTTTTTCAAAATATAGAATTTAAAATTAAACAATGAATCAATATTTTCGGAAATGAAATGAATGATTTACAAGATTTGGAGTTCCATAAATTCCGTTTACCTTTAATTGGCTAGCTACCTAGTGATATGATACACAGCAGAAGAGCCTTAAACAATTACTCGGTAACCTTTTAAAGTAGTGGTATTTATAAGGGTTAAAACATTATTTTAGAATTATTAGGAGACATTATTATTAAATTTAAAACATCTACTCGTTAATAATGGAGAAAAGCTCAAAACTCAGTATTTTGGCAGACAACACTTTAGCTAGCATTTACGAGAGAAATAGATGTAGAGCTGAAGATATAGAGTACCCACATGAAGAAACACTTGATAAAAATATGGAGAAGTTACGGTTTGGTATTAAAGAATTGGAAGAGGAATTATCAGCTGCCGAGGAGTCAGGGACTCTGTATGTGCAATGTAATTTCATTTATACTCTAATATACCTATTTAATCAAAATAGTCTGTTCGCATTTACGTTAATAAAATTATTTGAAAATTAATTTAGGAGTTCAAAGGAACTTAAGGAAAAAGAAGATACTCTTATCAAATTAACCAAACAAATTGATAAACTTGAAGCTTTATTGCAAGATAAGCCCTCTGCCAGGTGGATATAGTGTATACAGATGTATTACATATTTGATTTAAATCTAATCATTTTAATAAATATTCAGGAAACTACTACTTGGACTTAATAACATGGATGAACCTTCTTCCAAGAAATCAAAAAAAACTGTAAGATTTTCTGACCAAGCGGATGATTATGATAATGCTGTAGTTATTCAGTTGCAACAACGAATGATACAAAGTAAGTTAATTGCGATTTTATTTCTTTTCAGTTTTAAGCCTAATTATTTATTAAAAAATATAGATCAAGACGAGGATTTAGATAGATTGAGCGCCGCAATAGGTCGTCAGCAACAATTGGGATTAATGATTGGTGAAGAATTGAATTATCAGGTAGAGCTATTAGCGGAAACGGAAGATATAGTTGATAGAACTGAAGGAAGATTAAATAAAGCAAAAAGAAATCTTACCAAAGTATCAAAAAAAGCAAAGGAAAAGGGTAAATTTTTTATAATAAATTATTTATATATATATATATATATAAAATTTTCTTTTTAATGAATTTTAATTTAATTTATTTAGGATCTTTTTGGATAATTGCTTTGTTGATTTCAATATTAGTTTTATTAATCATAATTTTATCGTAATTTTTGTATTTATATTATTATCGAGCGAACGCTTTACTCTTATATAATTATTTTGGCTATTAGATTATTATTATTATTATTATATATTAGAATTATATTTGGTCTGCTTATTTTTTTCGAATATAGCTTTCGGTCAGCAGGCGTTGAAATCACATTTTAATATTGATTGTAATTTTACGAAAGTATAATTTTAACTTTTCCTCATATTATAATATGATAGGAAATTAATTATTATCTTTTTAGAGAATTTTTTTAATTTTATCTTTTCCTTTTTCATTTTTTTTAAACCTTTTCTTTGAAATAACATTTCTCGTACTTTTTGTTTCTAAAAGACTATGTTTCTTTTTTTGGATTTCTTTTGAAGCTCCAAAGTTGGTATCATGTAAATGCTAATAAATATAAATTGAGAATATATAATTAATTAATCAAAGTGTAAGAATATTATATAATAATGGATGTGAATCAGAAAATTACCATCGTTGCAACTCTTTTTGCGGTAGCAATTTCATTTAAACTTTCTAAAACTTTATTTTCATTAATTTTCCATTCTTCCATTTTTTTATCTACAAAATAAAAAAAATAAAAAATATATAAATATATAAAATATAAATATATAAAAATATTCATATATAAATTTATGCTCACTTATTCTTGTTTCAATATTTTGTACAAGTTCAATGTCGCGTTCAGTTACAATTGATAAAGCTATACCACCTCTACCTATAAGATATTAAAAATAAAAAAATTAATGGTTTATACGAATTATACTATTATACTTGGATAAAAAAAATCAAATCATTAATACTAGGGTATTATTCATACCGGCTCTTGCAGTACGACCGACTCGATGAATGTAATCTGTGGGATCACGTGGTATATCAAAATTAACAACTAATTGCACTGTCGGAATATCAAGACCACTACAAATTATAAAAAGAACAAATAATCAAAATATATATCATGGTTGAAATCATGTAATTCGTATAATAAGACTTACCGACTGCCAACATCAGTAGCAATCAACACCCTCACTATTTCTGCTTTGAATTTACCCAAACTGTTTAATCTTTCTTTTTGACTCATCATAGAATGTAAACTTGTACAACGAATGTCCAACTCTACAAGCATAACACGTAGCAATTCAGCAGTTCTACATCTACCACAAAATATTATGGTAGATTTATTTGAAAGCTCTTCTGATCTTAGAAGATGAGTTAAATATGGCTCACGTATGTGTGACGGGATGAAAACATAAAATTGCGACAACGTTGATACTGTCGATATACTAAATTAAAGATAAAGAATAAAAATAAACATTAATACTTAAGAATTCAAGACAAATTACAAACTTACTCTGATTTAACTTGATAAATAAAGGGTTTTCTGTTAGGGTCTTCTTCTTGCGCATCTTGTAATTGCAAGATATTTTCTGTCATTGTCGCTGTAAATAACAATGTTTGCCGTTTTTTTGGTATAGTATCAAATATAACTGCAAGATCTTCAGCAAATGTATCAGATAATAAACGATCTGCCTCATCAAGAACCTTTACCAATAGGAATGAATCACAAAATTAAATTTCAATCAAACAATCCTCTTACATAACAATCAATGTTTGAAAATTTACCAAAAATCTTATTCTGCTTAAACAAGGTGCAATTGCGCTACTATTGATATGATCTACAAGTCGACCAGGTGTTGCTATAACTACATGAGGTTTCCTGGATAATTGTAATGATTGGCTCATCATATCAAGTCCTCCAACTACGACACACTCTTTAAGATTTATACTTTTTCCAAGTACTCGAAATTGATCGGCGATTTGAAAAGCCAATTCTCTATAATTAAATAATATTATAAAGTGATCTGACACAAACATTCATTTTTCAATTAATCATTACACACCTTGTTGGAGTTAAAACAAGAGCAAAAACACCAAATGGATCTTCCGACAATTTTTGTAAAATTGGTAAGGCGAATGCAGCAGTTTTTCCTGAACCTGTTTTTGCTCCTCCTATACAATCTTTCCCGTTCAATATCTGTGGTATACAAACTTTTTGTATCTCTGAAGGAAATTTTATTGACATTGCTTTTAATGCATCAATTAACCATGGATTTAACCCTAATTCTTCAAATGTTTTTGAGGGATTCTTTGATGTCTTTTGTGATTCAATGACATTGATAAATTTTTCCGATTCTAAAGAAATATTGGTTTTATTATTTAATGTCATTATCGGAAAAAAACTAAAAAATTTTATGTAAATTTTAATCTGCAATTTGAATTTATGTAATCAGCGATTTGATTGGCCTATAGAATTTGATTGGCATCATTTTAATTAGCGTTGTGTGAACTTTGATACTAATTGTAACTCGGGTTCAAGTAATTCTGCAAAACTATTTAGAATATAATTATAGCAGTATCATTTGATAATGTCAATACCGTTTGTAAGAGTGAACAAAGTGGATAGGATGGTGTAGGTTATCCATCCAATAGAAAGTTAAATATAATTTCAGATTCATATTATGAAACTCACTTTAAAAAAAATGCAATTATCATTTGAGACTCTGAGGTACATATTTACATGAGATATTTAAGTTATATTTTGATAAAATAAATATAAATCACATTATTTATGTAAACAATTAATAATTCCGCGCCTACTGATAACATCATAGTGTCTATCAGTCATACACGAACAAGAAGTTAAGTCCATAATTTGTAATTTAGCCTGACAACTAGAAAGAAAAGAATATAGCGATTTTTCAGTAAAGTTCCAACCACCACTATGACCATCTTTAATGGTTAAAGAACGTAAAGTAGTAGGTGTAAATGCACCCAACTGTGATAAAAATTCATTTGCATCCAAGTCATCCCCACTGAAAGAAAATTCTTTAAGTTGTCTACAATGATCAAATAACGTTAATATTTCATGTGTAAATAATATAGGTAAGTGAAGAATTGAAATGTTCTTCGAACATCGTTTTGTAATTGATTCAATAATTTTCGCACCATCCTTTGAGTCAGATCTAACCCACCACAATGACAATTTTCTCAAGGTATTCGCATTATTTAGAAATAATTCGTCCCAAAATTTTTGTTGTATTAACGGATATAATGGATTCCATTCATTACAAAAATCAAATTCCTCCAATTGTTGTAAAGAAGTTAATGGCATTATTCTTTCATCAGGAGGAATAAAACAATTGTGAATTTTTAAAGATTTTAAGTTTTTACAAGAAGGTAATAATGCTAGGCTCTGGTAATCTTGTGCTTCTCTAAAATCTGTATACATTAATTCCAAAATATTTAAAGACATTGACTGAGACAAAAGAGACCCTATTAAGTAAGAGATTAAACGTTTGTATCCGTACAAACACACACTTTCTAAACGCGTTTGTTTTTCAATAAGAGTACCCAAGCTCATTGCATCAGATTCATAATGAGATTTCCATTGAAGCGCTAACGGAAATCCTATGGAAACTTTACGCAAATTTTTACAGACTTCTGATATGGCAAGTAAAAGTTCAGATTTATTGTCACCTAAACAGACAAGCTGCCGTAGATTTGTCAAATAATTACAGGGATCTGTGGATGATGGCAAGAATAAAAATTCATTACTTTGAATGGCCTTATTCTCTAGATGAAGATCATGAAAAGTTCTGCATCGATTCTTAAAGAGATTACATAATTCCCTCGCTACAAGAATAGTTTTTCTTTCATTCTCTTCTTCAATTTCATTGTATTCGTCATTATTGAACCTTTCATCCGGTGCGAATCTTATAATACAATCTTCAATACGATCTGTTTGGCATTCATTGACTTCTTCCTCATAATTTAAGACACGATAAAGCCAACAAGATACAAGCCATTGTGAGATTGTCCAATACATATAATCATAATCAAGAGAGCGTAAAAATGAAGGATAATCAAAAATAAGAGGAGCTGATTTAAGATGATTTCTACATATAATTCCATTACTATACAAATTAATTTTTGCTTCTTCTGACAAACAATCTACATAAGTTTGAATTAGACTTGTTGCTGAGGTTTGTGTAATTTCATAAAAACACCAAGGGCGGCTCCATAAAGTGCTGACCGTATTATAACACCAGAAACGATTTACCAATAGACATGAATGTAAAGACTTATTATCGCCTTCGAGATATGAAATAATTTGTTGCAAACATTCCGCTGAAAGACATTGTGCCATGTTCCAAAGACTGAATTATAGTTATAGTCTATTCTAATCTAATTTCACAATTTAGTAATATAAATAATTCACTGCGAAGTGTATGTAAAAAAATTATTGGTCTAAAATTAACCCTTTTTCCCGGTGAAAGTTTTCCGAGTAATGATCTACATGATCGAAAATTTTTCCAGTTTTAGCTAGTATGGGCTATATTTATTTTGCCAAGCCTTCGAAATAAAAACGCGCGAAAATAATTTCTTTTTTTGATAATAATCCGAAAAAGTTTATGCCGGCATTATTGGGAGCCGAAAGATTATCATAGTTTAAATTGTTTATACATCCTATGTGGTAAATAAGTATGGTCAAAGAGCCCATGTGTAGTTTACTATGACCTTAACTACACAATTTATGTCACGCCCATGTTGCAAAGAATTTAGTTACTGCGGTAGTTTTCAAACTTCGCAAATTCTAAATATCCGATAATTATAAAAATAAGAAATATTTTATTGCCTAGTTGAAGGTTGACATCTTTATTGAACTATAACTGGTCGCTTCTTTTTATTCTTTTTTTGTAAAAGGTAATAGTAATTATATAATTTTTTTTTTTTTTGTTTAGTATATAAAGTATATAATGACTTTGCAGTGATAAAACTATTTTTTAGCGCGACTTTTCGTATTTTGACTTCAGTGTAAGTAAAAAAAAAATTTTGTAAATAATATTCCATGGTTTGTCCGTAGATTTTAATTATATTTACTGATAATACATTAATTCCACTTGAAGACTTGAGCAATGGATAAAAGAAAACAAAAACATAAGGTTGTACGAAATTCAGAATTACCTAATGAGTTTGAACAAATTAATCATCAAGAATCCATAATAAATCATGAAGAAGCAATGTTAATAGATTCCGATTCTCGGGAATCCATTACAATAAATCAAAAAGATCAATGGACTGAAATGGAACAATCTATTCAGGCAGCATTAATGGATAGTAACAATAATAATTCAGTAGAAATTACTCAAAACATTGATAACGCCGGTGTACAAGGTTTAGATGTACGTGAAGTTGACAATGACATGATTTCAGTTAATACTATAAATATTGATTACGGAGAAGATTCTGAAATAGGAGAGAAAAATGACAAGAAAGGTTAGATGATGATTTATTAATTTTGATCTTATGGTTGTGTCGACTAAATTTATCTTAATTGGGCAAAATAGTCCCTAACAAACCCGCTCAACTCACAGAGGAAGCGATTCGTAAGCTTGAAGAAGAATTTTATCGACATGATTTGGCTATAAAGCAGATCGCACAGGATCTTAATATAGATGTTTCATGGATTCAGGTATTTAATGAATGCTTAAATATATATATTCCACATTATTTCATCAATGAAGTGAAGTTTTACCATTTATTTAGAAATATGTGAAAGATCATCATGAAACTGTTAAACAAAAAAAGTCTGGATATAATGTTATCCAAGCTACAGATTGGGGGTCAAATCATAAGGAAGAGTTTAATTCTTCTTTCGGAACTGAATCTAATAAAGCTTGTGCAATTGCTTGGAAATCTCTTTCAGAACCCGACAAACAAAAATACGAGGAAAAGACTTCATTGGAAGAAATGAAAGAAGTTCAATTTGATTATATTGAAAATTCAAGGAAACGTCATGCACAAGCACAATCTGACATTAATAACATAAAAAATACGGTAAGTTTATATATTTATAATCTCTTGTGTTCTTTAAAGAAATTAAAACCAATTTTATTTATTTTAGATTTGCTGTATGGAAAAAAAATGTGGATTAGAAGTAGCAATGCTTATTGTACCTAGCAGAAGTAATGATTCATTTTCTTCAACTTTTATTGGCACGAATAGTGGTGAAGCGTTCTTTAGTGCCAGTCCTGAAATGTATCCTTTATTAGATAAATTTGAAATTTTTTCAAAAAATCGTTATCTTGGTAAGATTTTTTATTTTCTACTAGAAACACAATTTTTTTACTAAAATTGCCTATTTATTATAGAACAAACTGGGCAAATAGTTACACCGCCAGCTAAAAGAATTAAGAGGGAACTTTCTACCACACCAAATTCTACTTCAAAATATAATGATTTGTCTCACAGTCCAATTGTTGTTAGTAGTACGCATAGAAACATTAATTCTGCTGATGTTAAAGCAAGAGTTAGAGCTATTTTACGTGCTCGTTATAGTATGTTCTTTTTTGATGATTAAAAAGTTTTTCTTTAGTAAAATTTACTAAAAAAATTTATTTAATAGATAGCGCTCTCGGCACAGAAGGTTTAATAATTCCTTACAAAAAATGGAAAGATCATCAAGGTGAAATAGAAGTTATAGGATGGCCCAGTGATGTACCATTTGATGATTTTGGTGTTCTTAAAGTTGCCCAGAAAAAACAAATTTTAGATTGTTTATATAATATTTCTTTTAGGAAAAAAGACGATAAAATTGTGCTCAATTAACTAATTGACGCTTTATACAAAATAATTTTCAAAAAAGATTAATTGCTGTGAACCAATTCTTTTTTAAAAAAAGTAATAAAAATATATATATCAAATGTTTGATAGATAGTAATAATATGACGTTTGATTTATTAATCTTAATTTAGATACTAGACATTTTCGATATAGTTAATGATAGAGATTATATTTAAATAAAATGCTACCAAAAAGACCCAAACTTTATTTATACAATATAATAATATAGTTAATATAATTAATATCTAAATACTAAACAATAATTATAAACACATAGACTTATATGTATGCTATACGTAAAAAATTTTTCGGAAGGCTCTATTCAATTACTATTACGTATTCAGAATATCAATAATATAGATATCAACTTTTATAGTTCATATTAATCGAAGAGAAGAAAAGGCATGAAGAATTATGTACAAGAAACTACGAAAATAAGAAAAGAAAAACAAAATCATTGGGTTTTCGCCCAATATTCTTTTCTTGCCTCGAATAGACTTGGGGTATAATCTTCTGACCTTACAATACTAAAATTTTTAAAGGCATTACCATTAGGGCGAGAACTTTTTGCAACACGACCATCAAAATCTAATACTTCATTTTCTAGGCGAGTCGGATTATGTATATCATCTATGATTTTGTTTTGTTCACCCTTAAATAACTTGAGTTGCAAATGGCCATTTGATTTATTAATAGCAACAACCTAAACAAATAAGAATTAATATACCATTGAATAAAAGTTATTATATTAAGTAAGTTACTAACCTTCAAATCCATTAAGACTGTTATCCCCATATTTTTAAATTGCCGTTTATACTTTAATGTATCATCCAGTCTTATGATTTGTGCCTTGGTCATTTCAGGAAGAGAGATATGTGCCGAATCACTAAAAACACAAATTTAAATTATCGTGAAGTAAGCATTTATATACTTACGTTACATAAAGATTTCAATATAATATATTTTTACCCTGCAATTTGTTTTTTTCCCATTTTTTCAGAAAGTCCGATTCCCCACTCTTGTTCATAATCATCGTTCTATTGAACGTTAATAATGACATTAAATTAGTATAAATATAACGAACGAATGAATGAATGAATATTCACCTTCCAATTCTTGGGAACTTCAGTTTTAAATTTTTCAAGATTATTCCATTGTGTATCGACTCCATTTTTAGTATTATACCCATATTTAATGCTCGTTTGGAACCACCATCGAGCATCTTTGAAAGAATCTGAAAGCCAGAAATCAAACCGAGGACAAACTTTTTTTGGATCGAGTTCGCTAACCGGTTCAGATATACCCGGTTCATAAGAATCTAATCCCGCGGCTAAATATTCTCGTTCAATTCTTGGAGTGTCAATAGGATCTCCATTATCGCTCGCAATTGGAACTAAGTCACAATTCGGTAAAAGTTTCAAGAGACGACTTTTTTGATCATCTGTAAAATTATTGTATACATGAAAATTTAAAAGCGTCTATTCAAATATTACCGAATTAATCCTCTTTTCGTAGAAAAAAAAAAAGATAGTAAATTTTAATGAAAATACTTACTTTCAATTGTTTCTTAGCGAGCATGGATTTGGGATCTGTAAATAATTTTTGGAGATAATCAACATCTTTTTTCTTCATCCAAGGATGTTTAGTAAACAACTTGTTTTGATATTCACGATAAGCAGGACGCGGTTCTCTGGGAACTTCAAAGAGTTGTGCTTTGATTATTTCCCATTTTGCTTGAACAAGTGGATCAGATTCGTCAGTATTCATATCCGAACTATCATGTTTTGGGATAGTGCTCGAGGGAGTAGTTATACTCGATTTTTCAGTATTCTGACTTTTAAGGGATACGAAACTAGTACTTTCAGTTGCTGACGCGTCTTCTGTATTATCTTCGTAAGACTGTTTAATAGCATTGTTTTTTACTTTGATAGTCTCCGATTCTTGACTGCCATTATCTGGGCTCTCATCAATTTTCGTTTCTTCCATTTGTTGTTGCTTCCGAGCTTTTTTTGCACGTGTACTTTTAGAAGCGGGAAAAATAACCTTGGTGCGTTTTTTAGGTAATGAAGGTTTAGGTTGAGCTTCTTCATTTTCAGAAGAAACTTCTTGAACAGCTTCTTCATTTGAAAGTTGTTCTTCTTTAGGTTCGTCGCGTTTAATGCGAGCTGACCTTCTTACTGATGATGTAGTATTAGACCCACTAATTCTTTTTCTTGTCATCTTTCAGAATAGTTTTGTCTGTAGGAAAAAAGTAAAAGTTTATTATGAGTGTAGTAATTAAGAAAAACACGAAAATAAGTTAAACTAAAGGTAGATCGTAACGATAATGACTATTATACAAAATTTATATTCTAGTTTTTACCGTTTGTCAAAATAATATGATGTAATGTTATATGCTTTTTAAAGTTACTATTATACTACACGTTACTATCGCAACACTTTCGCAACACTCGCGCGTCTGGTAAATTTTAACTAGTATTTCGTATAATTTACCTTTTTTTTTTAATATAACATAAAATATATCAAATATGCTAAAGTACTTTGGTTATTGAGATGACTTTCTTTAATGTATTTCTCACTTTGTTTAGTGTCTTACTTTTTCAAAAATGAGCGCAGTAAATTCGAATTTAGTATTTCAAAAAGGTTCTTATGAGAAAAGCGTTTGAAAAAAGTATTTAAAGTTCAATAAATATTTTTTCCAAAATTAGCGGTAATTTCACATTTTTAGTTGAAAAAATTAAAAATTTTGATCAGTTCTGGCAACTAAATAACCAGAAAAATATATTGACTTATTAACAGAGGAAATCAGAACAAAATAGGCAAATAAATGTATAGCGGGAAGAAACAAAGAATAATTTTATTAATACACAAATGAATAGGGTTTGAGTAAATGAAAACCTTTAGAGCATATTAAAAGCTCGTTATTTGGTTTCTTTCTTAAGTTATTTTTAAATGACTGATTATTTAAGTATTATCGATTGATTGAATAATTAGTACTCTTAATTACATTTAGCTCATGAGCTCTTTTTTTGGATAATTTCGTGTTATTGCGTAAGAACAAATAAATTTAGTAGTAGTTGTACAAATTCTTATCAAAACTGCAGTATCCTAATAATTTACTAGTTCATTTATGTTATGATCCGGAATTTCCAAGAATAAACTCTTTAGTCCCTATTAACTATACATTTTATTAATTAAAATTATTTAGAAATAATCTTCACAATGCAAAATTAGGTATGGTGAAAGTAGGCTGAAAGTAGATATGATGATGTCAAACCCTATTAGGAGGTGGTAGTTTAAGTAATGGCCAATGTTTTGGTTACTAGTATTTTAATTTTTATATAGATACTTGATATAGAAAAGTAAATTAATTTTATAATAATTTATTTTTATGATCGTGAGAATATGTTGAATATAAGGTAACCGTATGTCAAAAATGAACTTCTCGGTATCGATCCTTTTTTTTTTTTTTTTAAAAAAAAAAAAAAAAAGAATAATATAAAATATTAATAGCCTACCTTAATTGTACTTACCTTATTCTCTGAAAATAATTAGTAATAAAAATACACTAAATTTCAAAATGACTTTTTACCTATTTCCCTGGATGATAAAGAAGCCGTGGTAAAAACTATTCCTGAAATAAATTTTGTTACGTCTGATTCAAGGTTATTTAATTTTAAACGATTTAATCAGCCTTTCCGTCATTGAGAGAATTTTGCAACACGTTGACATTGACATTGACATTGACATTTGATGCCGGATTTGCGGTCCGTAGAATATAACCACTGACAAAAAAAATATTTGCTGAGTAGATGAAAATATGATCTCGTTGAAAATATTACGAATTGAAAGGTTTGTGTAGTAACTGAAATATGCTGAATGCGACGCATATGATGTTTATTGTTGTGTGTTGAATTAAGTTGCCAGTTGACGAAAAAAATGTTGACCTGTGTTGATTCTGATGAAGCTAAGCTGAAATGCTGAATTACGTTGAAGTATTTCAAGTTGTATATTGTTGTTCAAACCTGAGGACGCGATTAAAAAAAAAATAATATATATATATATAAAATGATAAACACTAGATTTTTCTAATGATGAGTATCCTAGAGAACATCCCAAATAATCAAACAATCCAAGAAAAGAAACAGTTAATAGGGAGAACGTGGTCGCGGATAAGGTTCATATCGGGCGGGTGGAGGAGGTCGTCTATCTCTATCATAAGCTCTGTCATATGTTCTGTCATATGCACGGTCATATCCTCTTTCGTATCCTCTATCATAATAAGGTCTATCATACGCACGATCATAATAAGGATCGCGTCCATAGCCACGTGGTGGTCTTTCATAACGATCGTAAGATCTGCTGTATTCATATCTGGGGTCAAATCTGTCAACTTTACGAGGTTCTATAATAAAAATGAGATGATATTATTTTTTTATAAAACCAAATTATAAATATTAATCATCTTTGTTGACGTACCTCGGCGCTTCGGTGGTCCATAATAGCGGCCAGGTGTTGGAGTTCTTGCTCTTGCACGACGAGCCTTTTTTAGAATAATTATAAAATATTTTATTGTCATTATAAAACGATAGATATGAAGTTATTGGAAAATATAACCCACTTTCTCAACAGTTAGAATTCGTCCATTGATTTCTGAACCGTTAATTCCTTCTCTCGCTGCCTCAGCCTCATCAAGTGTTTCCATTGTAACAAATCCAAAACCACGCGAGTCTCTAGTATGTGGATCATACATAATTTGAGCTTTTAAGACCTATAAAAAAATTTTTAAACATGACCAATTAGAAAAAAAAGTAACAATAATACAATAAATAATAAATAATAGATATATATACGATAATAATTTCTATAAAATATTTATATTGACAGACTTATTTACCTTGCCATATTTTGAAAATATATCTTCCAATTCACGATCACCAGTTCTCATGGATAATCCAGTAACAAACAAATTATTCCCTGGATTTAAGTTTTCTTCGTCCCTAATGTAAAATTTCAATTATAAGATCAAAATGCTGAATTTAATTAATCAACACTATTAATTATTCTGTATCTTACCCCCTACTTGGTGACCTGGATCTACGAGGGGATCTAGAACGAGAACGACTTAACGGACTACGTCTGTCATGATGCCTGGGACTTCTAAGTGGGCTTCTATCATCGCGATCATCGCGAAGCCTTTCTTCAGAATGCCTACTACTATCCCTATGACGATCGTCATTATCCTGAGAAAAGTTGTCAGAATTATTTGCTGTTATATAAAAATGAAAAAAGTTATCTAAAAAGTAATAATAAATAGAAGTGACATAAATTAGGAAAGGTAAAGTTACCTTCGTCGCTCATTGTTATTTTATTTTTAAATTAAATTGCACTACGATTTGAAAAAAATAAGTTATAAGTGTTCTTCAGAGTTGGGTTTGGGCTTGTATCATCTGATCATTTAAGTTCTAATTTAAAGGGACCAATTAAAATGGACAAATAATTTGTAATACATAGCGGTAATCTTTTTTTTTTAAACAATCACTTAAATCATTTAAGGAAACCGCAAAGAAAATCAGCGAAATGACTATACTATTGGTCTAAAAAAAGATAATCGAATACTGCGGAGCACAACCGATTTTTCACATTGTAAAAATTTTATGCGGGTAGTTTTTTAGTCTTCTCGTTACTCTTGAAGAATTTAGGAAATTATGAAAGAGCATAATGGAACTACCTCAGCGTCAGCTCCTACTCCTTCAGGCCGCAGGCAGTCAATCGCTCCTCAACAGCCTGCGATCATCCCCCAGGGAAGTTTACAAATGCGACCAAACTTCCAGACTTTGACTCATCCACAAACTTCCTTGCAACAAACTAACATAAATCATACAGGTTTAATGATCCAAAGGCCGATTGCACCTGGGATGCAACAGGTTGGCCCAGGTATGTTACCATTACAAGAACAACCACAACTGTTAGCTAGAGGAATGTATCCTACATCGCGCCAGTCAGCGTCAGTGGGAACGACTGTTTCTCCTAGAATGTCTCGTCAACCACCCGCTCCTGCTTTGAAGCAATCTACTCAATCTTCACCCATAATGCCAACAGCAGGAGTTCCAACTTTTCAAAATGTTTCGGGCCAACAACTTCCTATCTCACCGAACTCTCGGGTTCCAGGAATAAGACAATCACCTCAGGCACCATTTTATTCAAGCCCGATGTATCCTCTTGTGGATCAAACGAGTAATTATAGATCCGTCCCCGGTACAAATGCAAGTGTTAGACCACCTTCTATGAGTCCTGGTAGAATGAGTTTACCCCCACAATCGGGACACCAAAGTAGTGTAAATATGGCAACTATTCCACATAGTTATAATCCGCCTGTACATCATACATCTCAACAATCAAACCCTTCAATGTTGCCTCCTCAGAGTATGCAACCTCATCCATCACCTAGATTATCATCGTCTCATTCGGATTTGCAGTCAGCTTCAGCCCGAACAACACGTCCGCAGTTAGCAAATCCAATGGTTGTACATGACACTAGACCATCTTCCACTTCTACATTAACACAAGGATTAACACAAGGTGTACAACAACTTTCATTACGTTCTTCTATTCAAGAAACGCCTTCGAAAATGACATCTATTCCACATGCTTCTTTACGTCCTACTGAAGGACAACGTTCTATGCAAGAATCAGGTCCACAAGCAATGCAAGGTATTCAGCCTATCTCACACACGTCTAGTCGTACTTCATCTCAGTCCTATGTTTCAGACGCGCCTCCGCCGTTAATTTCACAAAGTGTTCAGCTTGCTAATAATATTCGTAACAATCCCAAATTACTGCCACAACATGCACCAATACAACCTGCTCAGAGAATTAATAATCAAAAGCCAAGTTCGCCAATAATTTCACAAGCTAGTATAAAAACTACACAGGCTTCGCCAAAACCTATGCATTCATCCACAAAACCTTCTCATAGATCGCACAAAAATGGACATCATAATTCCCAGAAAAGTATACATCAATCAACTCAATTAACAGCAAGTCAGCAAGCGTCACAAAGAGCAGAAATTACAGAAGCAGCACAGGTGCTTTACTTGTCTTCCATGTCTGTAAGATCTAGAGAGGATCCACGCATACGATATATGAATGCAGAACTTAATTCGCAATATGCTGCAATGAATAATACTCATACTAATCCTGGTGAAGGTAGCCATTACATTCATCACCGCAATAGATACGCAGGGCCTGTGTCTCTTGATAATTCTATGACACGTGGAATGAATGATGAAAGCATTTCAAGAGAGCAAGATATAGGATTAGTACCGCATAACAGAGGGCACAAAATGAAACATCGTGCTGAGGCTTTGGATAGTGGAGTCAAACTAAGAGCGCCATACGGATATGTCGAAGATAAAGAGGAAATCGAAATTCCTAATGGTACAAGACGACCTATTATTTACCGAGGAAGTAAAGAAGCAACGGATCAAGCTACGGAATTTGTAGGTGAAGCTAATGATAGCCCATACAAAGATATTGATGTGGAAAATATTCTTGGCCCATTAGAGAAACCTGAAGATGCTGTACGTAAACCACATTATCGACGTATACTTAAAAGCAAACATCTTGAATCTTTAGCAAAAGAATTAATGGAAAGAATTGAGAAGGAGCATGAATTTAATAAGAAGATAAGTAGATTAATGATAGTATTGCAAGGAGATGATGATATGCATCAAGAACTCGATTTCCGACTAAATCCTCCACCGGAAACAGTTAGTACACGCGTATTTAAGGCTGAAGAGGTTGAAGGAGGAAAAAATTTTGGAGTACTCAATGTGGGTTTACAAGGAAATGATCGAAGTAAAGGAAAGAGAGCTCAGGAAGCTAAGGATCAAGGATTGGAAAATTTAATTATGGTACGCGAGCAATTACAAGAACAACTTGAAAATAGCAATGAGATATTAAGACGTTACAATGAGACGAGGGAAGGTGTATTAAAAGCTATACGACAAAGGAATATGATATATAGAAGATTGTGTGAAATTGATAAACAACGTAGAAAAGAAGAAAAGAATAGTGACAAAACTAGCACTCCACTAAAGAAACATCTACTCAAAGATAAGGAAAAGGAGAGGGAGAAAGAGAAGGAAAAAGAACGAGAAGTTTAGGAGAAAATAATATATAGTATTTGTGTAAAATAAAGTTAGGCTGTCAATATGATTATTTTATGTAAGTAAAAAGGTATGTAAATTTTGTTATAAAAATGAGAAAAACAGTTGCAATGCTGAAAAATGGGTTTAATGTAATATTTAAGTAAAGAATAATTTTTTGTTTACAATTTCATCTAAAAATTGACGGATGACAGGATTATCAAATTAATAATTTCATAAATAAAGTTGGCACACTTGGATAATTCGTGTAGCACAGAGTGCATATCAATTAAGTAATTTAAACTGGATGGTTCTGCTACCGAGATTTATTATAATAAATAAGACTAAGTGTCGTCGAAGTTCTTATTTGTAAGAAAATATATTTCTTTTATCTAATTAGTATTAAGGATTTTTTTTTGCCATTTATGACCATTTATGAAATGATCTGGGTATTAACGATTGTATTATAATTCTAGATTATGAATTTATAAACAATAGATGTTTATAAGATTTATTTTAATTATACTTTAACAAAGTTATATAAAATATTTATTTAGAAATTACAAAAAAAAAAGAAAGTTTCGTTTTAAAAGTAAATAAATTTAGAAATACATTAGCCAATTATAATATTATTGAATTCTATATATTCTATATTCAATTATTCAATTTAATATATATTACTTCATTATAACTAACAATATTATTTTTTTTAAAAAAAAAAATAAAAATAAAATATAATAAAATAAAAAGAAAGAAGGGTTTAAGCTTTTTTAACATTTTTCTTTGCACCATTACTTTTTATCATAACTAAAGCTAAGAATGTGAATACTACGGTAAGACCAAAAAGTAATAATACAACAGGTATTCTTATTGCGTATGATCTATCAGGAAAATATTCATGTAATGGATGTCCATCATCAACAAATGGCTAATATATAATATATATAAACAGTATAACATCATTAAAGAATTTTCTTTAAGTAATAATTTATAAAATTAAAGTATTACATTACATTACCATGATTAACGCCCATATGGTATAATATAAAAATAATGCTACAGAAGTTAAAAGCAACGTAGCTCCAACTGCTTTATCACTTGATGCCTAGATAACATGTAATATAAGTATATAATCGAATTTAAAGACAAATCGATAAAGAATTTATTTTATCACAAACCATAATTATTAATTTAATTAATTGAAATAGTAGAAAAATATTCGATAGTAAGTAATTGAAAATTTTTATATTAATAATAAAGAGTCAAAAATAATAATGAAAACGAAAAAGGTAGGCTCAATTTCCAATTTTATATTCAGGATATTAATCAGATTTTAATTGGTTATTACAATTTAGCCAATAATAATCTGACAGTACGTACTGATAGTATATAATGCGAAATGTGAATCATAGCTATATACTGTAATTAAAATAATTTATTTTTTAATTTATTAATTTATTTATTTATTTTTTTTTTTTTGATCCTTTAAAATTATTATAAAAAATTCTATATCAGATATTAGATCATAAAAGTATTTCTTTTAGAAATAAACAAGTAAAAAATAAAAATAATAAATAATNTATATTCTATATTCAATTATTCAATTTAATATATATTACTTCATTATAACTAACAATATTATTTTTTTTAAAAAAAAAAATAAAAATAAAATATAAAAAAAAAAAAAAAAAAATGTTTTTTAACAAAACTTTGCTTTTACGTTAACTAAAAAATGATTGTAAAACTACATTTGAAAATAACGGAATAAGTTCAAGAAAAGTACTAATTCACAAAATTATGCTTCATTTATCTTTTTTTTTTTGTTAAAAAAAAATAGTGGTATTTAAGGTTTTTCTAGATGTGTATATATATTATGATTTCAATAAAAATTTAAAAGGTTTCCTCATCATATGCCTCTCCTTCGACTGCTCCTTCCGGTGGAACTTCAAATCCATCCTAAAAAAGATATAATGATAATTTATTATCAAGTAAGAATTACTTGACAAAAAGAAAAATTTTATTGCATACCTCTGTACTGTAAAGAATGGTTTGAATTTCTTTCAATAATTGATTGTCAGGTTCAACATCAAGTTGTTGTTGAACCAAGATTTCGATATCTCTAAGTTTTCCGAAATAGAAATCACGTTCTTTCTCAAGGCCATCTACAGTAACTTTAAGGTCTTCATTTTGTTTGGTTAATTCGATCACCATAGCTGATTGATTGGTGTCATGATGTAACCCTGTAGATGGAATTCGTCCTATATAATACGAATAAGGAAATTCGATATAATGATGTGGTATGATTTAGTCATGTAGATTAATTTAAACCCTTAAGACGATTGCTAATTTTAACCCACCTGCTGCTGTACTAGCAGCGGTTCTTTTTGGCATGGTTCTAGTGGCACCTCCACCAGATACCGATTTTACAACGCCTGCTCCACCACCGCTACGTCTTGCTTGGGCATCGTAGGGTCCACCGGGATAATAAGTATCCCAATACTTCTTCATCCACTGCAAGAATTCAAGATTATCTTGGAATTTACACTTAGTAAGACGCTCAATAGGAATTACCTATTATACGTTTGATAAATTAAATAAGGAAAATCCCAAAAAAAAAAACAATTAAATTTATTTCCCTCTCCTTTTTTTACCTTGTCGATTTTGTGTTTGTCAAAAGCTGTCTGCAATACTTTGTAATTAGCAACATACTCATATTCATGTCTTGCGTTAAATTTAACCTTCTGCATTTGTACATCCCCTAATAAAATGATATATATTAGAAAGTTATAAAGTCAGCAATGACCAACATAAAATAAAAAATGATAACTATTTTACCAAATACTGAGTCAATAATTTGACAGTGAGCTGCGCCTATTGGAATAAAGTTTTTTAAAAGCATCGGAAAATACGTCAGTATTTCAAAGTAACCTTAAATACACAACGTACCAGATGTTGATTTGTAAAAACACCCGGAATATGTTTTACTTACCTGTTCCACATTGTTCAACTTTTGTATAGCTGATTTGTAACAAGTCGTTCAGCCACGCGAGTAATTCTGTTCGTGATTCACTCATGGTTATATAGCGGTGTTAACAAATTCCTTGATCCTTAGATGAAAAAGAGTAAGTAAAAAAAAAAGATTGTCCTCTAAAAAAGCAAACGGCTGTGATTTATGGTGTCTGAAGAACTTCAATGTTTGTGTCACAGAAAAAAAAATGAAGACACCTTTTATTGCTTTATCGGAGAAAATTTAAGATAACCTACAGCCGGAAACTCGCTTTACCGATATATTATGTATATTGTAAATCAAAATTATAAAAGTTTTATCGAGATTTAGAAAACCACCCTTAAATGATGCAAGCTGGCGTGAATAAAATCTATATTTGTCTAAAAATAGAAATGCAATGCCCACGAGAATCTTTATTCGTTAGGTATTGCAGCAAAAACAAGAAATTCCTCCAGTGGTTCCACGCGACTAATGCAGTGCAAAAAAAAAGCTATCTTCGACCATTAATTATAATTATTATTTTGATTGGTATATAATTATTAGTTTAAGATTTATTACTAAATATATTAATTAATATTATCGTTTTATTAAAAAAAAATTTCCAAGGGTTTCGATTTTCAAGACTGTATTATATTAATTTGTGATAATTAGTAAAAGTTTTTGAAGTTATATATGAAAATTTTTATTGTATTTTACAAATGTCTAAAGAAAATTTGTTGATTTCAATTTTGATCGCATAACATACTTGTATTATTAAATGTTTTGTCTAAATTTACTTGTCTACTTTTATCTATCTATCTAATCCTGTTATGATAATGTTCATATCAAATGTCCGAAACTCCGACTAATAATAATAAATATTATTAATGAATAAAATTAACCTCCGGAACCTCCTCCTTTACCGCCTGGAAATTTTGCTCCTAATGTGGCAAACAATCCAGGAGAACTAGAAAGTTTTTTATCTTTCTTTTCTCCACCTGTACCCTTGGATGATGATTCTTTCATTGTATTATCATCCTTTAAAGAAAATAATGAATTAGCACTAACTGACGTTGAATCAAAGATAAATGAACGTTTTTTTGTTATAGCTGATTTAGCTTTTTTAGTTTCTTTGGCACCAGAATTACTTTTACTACGCTGTATCCGTGGTTGTAATTTTAATGTTGATTGTTGGGTTGTTGATGTAGATGCACTTTCATGATTAGAACTGAAAATTCCATATCTTTTTGTAGGTGAAACTGCATGTGATTTCATTGCCGCCTTTAAATTAGAAAAGAAGCTATTGTTCGCTGATGTTGGAGACTCTTGCTTACTTTGTGATATATCATTACTTAAAATATCATTACCTAAAATATCACTAACACGAAATTCAGGAATTACCGGCGATTTGAATGAATCGTTTATCAACATACTGCAAAATAGTAAAAATGTTTGTAAATTGTTTAAATTATTTGGAAATTAAAAATGTAAGATTATTTTTAACATAATTATTTACCCAAAGTTATCATCATTAAGAGGAGAATCATGTGATGATATCTCATTTTCTTGACATATTTGTTGCCAAGTTTTTAAATGTTGACCATATACTTTAGTCGCATATGATGGTATTTCCTTCTCATTCTCCAAAGATGAATTATTAGTACTGTTAGTAGAGAATCCGCTATCATTCCTCGTATGGTCTTGACTTGAAGCAACAGATGGTTTTTTTTGATGCTGGAAATCAAATGTTGTAGGTGACATTTCTTGTGTAGCTGATGCTGAAGAATATCGTCTATGAACTTTCATAAAATCTCTCGATCTACTACAGGATCTCCTTAGAACAGGCGATGAGTCATCCACAGCTCCAAAAAACCTCATAACATCATCTGGAAGTTGATATCTTTGTAAATCAACAGACTTGGGTGATATAGGCGAAATATAATCAATTTGTGATGAATCAATTCCTTGATTCATGTTTTCAATTTCTTTTATCATTTGATCTATTTCACTTGTTGCACTAGAACGATCCCTTTTATGTACGGGCGGAAACTGAAATGATCTACTTAAATTTGATTTGTGCCTTGAAGGAACATCACCATTAAAACCATGCCCTTGTCTACCGCGCGATATAGGAATTGGTTTAGCGTTATCTATTATGGATCTTCTTCCATGTCCATTACAATGTGCTGTATAAGGTCTGCTTATCGATGAAGTCTCCTCATGCTCATATTCTTCCATTATCGTTCCATGCTCTCTTACTAGATGATTATTAATTATACTTTGTTCAATAGACTTCATATTATCTCCAAAACCATTGTCTTGAGACGTCCTAAATGGACTAATAGCTTTAATTGTAGGAAGTACAAATTCCTCTTGTCTAACATTATTTGCGGCTTCAATATCCAAAGGTCGCAAATGTGATGCAGGTCCACTGTTAAACAGTTCAACTATATCTTTGTTATGTCCATCTGTTGCCTTAGTCCATATATAACGATTATTGTTCTTTTTGTCACCTGGAGATAAATTTCCTCTTTTGAACAAAAAACTATCGTTTTTTCTCTTTTTTTCCATTCTCTTATTTAAATTAATTTCCTCTAGTTCATTAAGCGGTGTAAATATTAAATTGCTTTCAGTAAAATATGGATGCTTGAGAGCATCTAACGCAGTAAGACGTTGTTTTGGATCATAAAGCAAAAGATTTGAAAGAAATTCAAGAAAATAAGGTGGAGTTGATTGAGAAAACATATTTGATAATGGTTGTGGGGGTGTCTAATAATTGAAAGTGAATTATTAATCGGTTCAATACTTATTTTCATATGAAATGAACTTGCAAATAGTATAAATTTAACAAGTATAAATAAAGATGAATTATATAATTATACATTTTTTACCTGTGGAAAAGAGAATCCCATTGTCTTTGCTAGTTTAACACCTTCTTTCCATTCTCCTCCACCAATTCCATCAGTCTGTACATTAAGTTCTGATTTAACATTTGGACTTCCTAATACTTTAGAAATTGTATATAATTGATCTATTTCACTATATCCAGGAAATAAAGGATTTAGAGTAAACAATTCTGCTAAAATAGTTCCAACTGCCCATAAATCTATTGGTGCAGAATAAGAATTAGAACGTAAAAGTACTTCTGGTGCACGATACCTAGAAAATTATTATTATTTTTTTTTAAAAAAAAAGGATTAATAAAGTACTCTATACGTAAATAGCAATTTAAACACGCACCTTTAAGAATTTCTTACCATCTTGTACTAACATAGTCTGTGTATGGAGGTTTCGATTTTATCTCTCTCGCTAAACCAAAATCACCAACTTTTACCATATACTCAAACTCATCATCTATATCGTCTGACCAATTATTTTTAGTATTAGGATCATTTTCTACATCATATTCACATGTTATTTTTTTTTGAGTTGATATTAAGATATTTTCTGGTTTCATATCACGATGAAAAATTCCATATGAATGAATAAAATAAAGTCCTTCAAGTATTTGAAATCTAAAAATTAATAATTTAACAAAAAAAAATTAGTTATATATATATATATATAATTTGTAATTCGATTAAACAAAATAAAATAAGACTTTACATGATAGATTGTACAATTTTTTCATTCAACTTTTTTCCTCTTCTATCTTTTATTAATTGATAAAGATTACCTTCCATATATTCAAAAACGAAATATAATTCTCGTGTTTGCGGTATAAGAAAAGCTTCTAATAGGGAAATGATACTTGGGTGTGACGGTAGGGTTCTTAAAGCCTTTATTATTTATTTTCCAATTCCAAATTAATTAACAAAATTATGTTAAAATCACGTGGATGGCACGAATCTAGTTTAAAAAATGAAGATTGCGAAGACGAAAAAGACAATAGTAATTAGATCGTTCAAAAATCCATCTTCCAGTCAATACCTTGAATTCGCGAAGTTCACACACTTTATCCCACGAAGAAAACTTCTTTTTCATTTTTTTGATCGCTACCTTTATGTTACACAAAGAAAGAAAATTAAAATATATAAACAGCTATTATAAAAAATTATTTATATATTATTCTAAGATTAACTTTCTCGGAGCACCTTCAAGTACTTTTTGTTAATGCTTAAAAATATATAAAATGGGTAGTCCCCATTTTAATTTATTTTTATTGTCGTTAAAAACACTTTCTTTAATACCATTTGACGAAAAAAGGTCTTAAAAAAAATATTTTATATATGTATAAGGCAAAAAAATATTGAATAAAATTCCGTAAAACTTACCACTTGACCAGTTTGGTTGTGTTTTGCCTGTACAACTGTGCCGAATGAACCATTTCCTAACTCCTTTACGGTAAGGTAGTCGTCCATTTGACAAAGGTAATTTTAAAGATGTAAGGAAAAAAAAAAAAAAAATGAATATATATAAAATGTATTCGTACGAATAAAGGTAAGAAATTTATAAAGAATTAATAGTTAGTTCGAAACTTCACACAAATGGATCATGTGTAGCGTTACTATAGAAAGTATCTGGTTGGTGTTTTAAACGTTTGATCGAGCTTAGCTTTATATAAATACCATTGAACAATTTTATATTGCACATAATTAGAAACTTTTTAATTGTTTACGTGCATTTATGTATATAATCCCATAAGTTCAATAAATAACCTATATGGAAGTTACACGAGACCCTACTTCATTCAGGAAACTTTTCCTGTTTGTAACATAGCTGCAATGATGAATTTATAGGACACATTTTTTCTGATGAAATGATGATTCTGAAAAACATCTGGATAAAAAGTCATTTCTTTGCAACATTTGCAACATTTAAATTTTCACTACATATTTATTTATGAGAATTTTTAAATCAAATTTAATTTATTTATTAAATAGGTTTGGGTGTGATAATTACAAACAAATAAACGGTTAAAAGATACATACATAATAATAATGGTAATCCAAACATGATCCTATCAAAAGAAAAACAATTCTCTTTTTAAGGAGAAATGATTTACAAGAAAAATAAATATTTGTTTATTACCCCCGTTTTAATACTCTTAAATTTATTTAATTGATGCTCTCTAGTGTCAAGTAACCAATAAATTATTATAATGAATTATGAATTTATATGTGATAAATAAATATAAATAAATCAGCAAGTGTAATTTCTTGAATGATTAAAATGATGTTATTATTTCTCATATCTTGCAAGTTTATTAAAGAAAAAATAAAATTACACCGATTAAATCCTACTTATCAAAGTTTGTATTTAACTAAATAATCCAATATAGTTCAACGTGAAAAATAAATAGATTTCATTTGAAGATAAAAAAGTTTAAGGCGAAAATCGAATTTTTAAGTGCTATGACCGATTGAATGAATGTTTGAAAATTTAAAGAATATGTATAAAAATAGGGTGCATAATATTACTATATAAACGTTAATTCTTTTTTTCTTGGGTATAAATAGACTGTCAATTTCATAATATAAATAACTAAAGTACACTGGGTCTATCAGTCGAGACACGAGTTAAATTAAAAATAAATATAAAAAAGAATTTTGTTACAAAATTATTATCCAAAAAAAGTACGTCAATGATTATTATGAATGAAGTAAAAAAACCTTCAAGGATAAAAAAACGATATTAAAACAGAAATGCAATGCAAAATAATAAATGAAAAAGAGTTGACATAAATTATTTGTATCGTATTATTTCAATCCAAACCCTTCACTTTCCATTATAGATCTTTTTAATTTTTCTTCCAATTTCTTTCGAGAACGATACCGGTATAGACAAAGTTGATTAAAGCAAGTATGCGCAATCGGAAATCTATAATTCATTTTTGTTTTGAAATAAAAAAATTATATAAAACTAGGAAAAAAACAAAAATATTTTTTTTATCAATGATTACCTCTCGCTATCTTCTCCAATGCATGAAATTTTAAATGCTAAATTTGCCAACCCTGTAGCTGGAATTCGATCCGTTCCTGTTACAAATGTCAATAGTTTTCTTTGCATTTGAGGGTCCATCTCTCGAAATAAGGACCAGAAGTTTCTAATCGTTTCTTCATCTTCACTGAAACGTTCATATACAGTCACCGCTTTTAGCTCATCAATTTCTAGTGGTTCTGCGCTACCTCGAACTAAAAGTTCGATCTCTTCAGGTTGGAAAAGCTTGAATTTTTCATTAAATAAAAAAAATTTTAAATTTAATTACATTGTTAAAAAGGAAAACCGGTACAATATAATACGTACAGACAAAGCATTACCACCACAAACATGGTAAAATCCGCGCTTAAATGATTCAAACTGTTCTGTAATAGAATCATTAAGCACGAAATTAACGTATCTTTCAACGTAATCTATTTGAAAAAAATGAATTAATATAAAGTAGTTTTATAAAGTAATTTTAATCGACATAAAACATTTCGTATAATTACCTCCCCTATTATATTTTGTTACAGGCATGTTTTCGCCATTATGTATAAGAGGAACTCTTTTTAACTCGCCAAATGCTTCGTATTCACCAACAAAATCGCGGCAAAATGTGGATTCAACGTCTCCTTCAAATGTAAGAAGTTGTTCTAAACCTTTTGCAAAGGACTTTTATAAAATCAAAAAAATTTATAATATTTCTAATAGTAAAATCAAATTCGTCAATATGGCTATTATTATTTAATGTGATAACATACCGGTTGAAATACCTTTAGATCCTCCAAACCAACATATATACCAAACAATTTCTTATAACATGCTAAGGGAAGATGTACATCTAATATAGTGGAATTATAGATTGCGAGCCCAATAACTATTCCAACTAAATAATATTGGTCACTTGTTTCTAAACTTGCAGGATTAAACCAGCATAGCTTAGAGTCCTCATCCCAAGTAAACATACCTTAAAATAAAATAAGTAATTAATACTGAAAAATTTAAATAATTATCTCAAAAGTATTGCGCTTACCAAACTTTGGATCAAATAAATGTCTAACCAATAATAAGAACCACTCTTTTCTTAAACCACCTGCATCAACACCATCTTCACCAACAAACTCTATTCTCAATGATTTTTTCAGCTCCATTCCAATTTCTGAATTATAATCTTCTATATGTTTCAATGAATTTTCAATTTGTTTCAATGAATCTTCAATTAAATAATCCCTCCTTATCTTTAAGTTTAATGTTGGTGTCGTAATACGTTTATAAAAAAATATTGTATAGAGAGCTTCCTAAAAAAAAAAGCTAGAAATGTTCATAAATCTATTCGGCCTTTCTAATTGTAAACAAATAAAGTAAAATTAATCATAATTAATTAATTTAAAAACGTACCTGCGCTTTCATATCCTTCTGTCGTTTTGCATCATAATCAATGATTTTTATTTTTCCTCCCATACTTATTAAAAATGGATACTGACAGAATGCAAATTTCCTATAAATAAGGAGATGGGTGAAGATACAGGCAAGAATAAATTGTGAGATTTTATTATTCAACAAAAATAAGCCAACCCACCAACGGTTACTAACCCAGACCGCTGTTCCCATGTATTGTAATCTGTTAGTAAGTCGATGTAATCTACAAATGTGTTATAAAAATCTGATAGCGAGACCTTAGATGATTGTTTATTCGCCGCAACTAAATAATAGTTAATTTTATTAAAAAAGAGTAAGGGTAACTTCTATTATTATTTTCAAAAATATTGTAAAACTTCGTACATAACAACGCCATAACTCGTGCAGCAGAGCTAATTTTCCAATCTGACTCGTAATCGGGCGGAATTCTGGGGCTCGTGTTGCGTTGCTTGTTTAGTAAAAATGTGATAAAGGAATTAACTAATTCTATACGTTTTCGGAAAATGTTAACGGATAATCTAAAGAAAAACATAATCAGAAATTATTTATATATCATAAACGATTTCACAGGATATTTTTTTAATAAAAAAAAAAAATTAAACTAACCGTGTAAACCAGTTAACTAAATAATGATGAAGTTCATTGCTTAAATTAGAAAGTAATCCAAATATTCTTTTTATAATGTCATGATGATGATATAACTCTTGAGGATAATTATGTTGCCCAAGGAGTGGGTTCTAATAAACAAAATTTGTAAATGATTTCATTATATAAAATAATAATGTTCATAATTTCTCAAAAAAAAAAAAAAAAAAAAAAAATACAAACCTCGAGAATTATCATTAAGAATTTTATGTCCTCCTTGCGTTTTAACATTCTTTTAATAAATTGTAAACAAATTACCATATAAGATTAAAAAGTAATTCCAAATTAAACATGAACTGTTGCTTAATATTACCTTCCAGGGCGTTTCAATATATTCTCAGTTGATTTCATCATTGACCTTATAACACTTTCAGGCTAAAAAAATTATTTAATAAATTTTAGATAATTTCAAAAAGAAATTTGAATATTATATCAAAATCTAACACACCAAATCACATATAATTCTGTATGCTTCTCTAACATCATCTAATGCGACACCACAATCGTCCAAAGCGACAGGTCGACCCTTTTATCATAAAATTTAATATTTTCTATTAATAAAATTATTACTAGCATATACTATAATATATATATATATATAATAAATATTCCAAGAAAAGTTAACCCTTACGTTACTAAAACTTTCATTCAAAATATACCAATTAGAAAAAGCTTTTTGTATAGCTTGTTCTAGTAATTCATAGTTTGGAGTACCTTTTCCATTGCTATGAACTATACAAGTATCAATCATTGATCGAATTCTGTCCAATGTTAACGGAGTGATGGGTTCCGCTTCATTAATTAGAAATCAGATTAATTCGTAATAGCATATAATCATTAAAGCAAAGTACATTAATCTTGGCTCGCCTGATAATTTATTATCAATACATACATCTTTGTATAGATGGCTTCAAGTCATTGATAGTTTGACATACGGTACATCGGAAACAAGACACTGTGATTGGAAATCGCAAAGTACTATATTAGAGAAAAAACTGTTATTATTTATTATTATAGTACAAATTTTCATATAGCCTGTTAAAAGAATGAAAGTATAATTGAATAATTTACCTATCGCAGCACGTACATTTTCCCATTCTCTACAAATATTATAACAAAAAATTTAGAAAAATTAAAAAAAAAAATAAGTATCATAATACGTAAACTTTTCAATTTGAAACGAACCATATTCGTGTTTTGAGATGTTGTTGGAGGATAACCACCACTATTAACCCCATTCGCGATGTTATTTTGAACAGGTCGGTTAAGTCCAGTGCTGCCGCTAGGACCCGCTAAATTAAAATTTGCTTGAGTACGATTTCCGAAGCCATTGAAAGACGTACTAGAGCTAGAAAATCCTTTGTAATCCATGTGTTTGGAAAGACGTTTCTTAAGTAATTTATTGATATAAATTATTTTTAAAAATTAAAAATAAAAAATAATGTTCGATACACAAATGATTATAAATAGAAATGATATGTGCATTACTACATTTCTCCCATTCTTTATGAATCCCGATATAAATAAATTTTCTTAGTCTTTCTTAGATGTACAAGTAGATACAAATATAGTTAAAAATTATTGTGAATCACATGCCATTTAAGGTATATCCTAAAAAAATTTTCATCTTGAATTATTTTTACTATGGCTTCAAAGAAGAAATATGGAGAACGTGTTGAAAACTTTTCTAATAAAGCAGCTCGTGAACTTCTCTCTCTTATTGAACATAAGAAAACTAATCTATCACTTGCTCTTGATGTAACTACGAAACGAGAGTTTCTTGAAATAGCTGATAAGGCCGGACCATACATTTGTTTATTAAAAGTAAAGTTTTAAAGCAAATAGTTAGAAAATATTTGTTGATATTTTTTAATTAAATTATTTTAATGTTAAGACTCATGTAGACATTTTGGTAGATTTTGATCAAGATTTTATTGAACAACTTAAAGAATTGCGAACCAAACACGAATTTATGATCTTTGAAGATAGGAAATTCGCTGATATTGGTGCAGTCTGTGCTTATAATAATAAATAAATATATATTATATTTTTTTTTTCTTGATTATATGTATAAATGATAAATCTTTCAATTCTTTTCGCTATTAGGAAACACAGTGAAGCATCAATATTCCAAAGGTATTTACAAAATTTCAGAATGGGCAGATATTACAAATGCACATCCTTTACCTGGTGATGGAATAGTTTCTGGATTAAAAGAAGTGGGATTAGTCTTGGGTCGGGGATTATTACTTCTTGCAGAGATGTCTTCTAAAGGTAGTTTGGCCACTGGAGCATATACAGAAGCTGCAGTAGAAATGGCTCGTAGACATAAAGATTTTGTTGTTGGATTTATTGCTGGACGAAAATTAATTAGCGATGATGATAAAGAAGATTTTATAGTCATGAGCCCTGGAGTTGGACTTGATGTTTCTACGGATGGATTAGGTCAACAGTATAGAACACCTAGGAATGTTATATTGGAAAGTGGCAGTGATATTATTATTGTGGGCCGTGGAATTTACGGAAGTGACAAAGATGTTGCTGTAGAAGCGCAACGATATAGAGATGCTGGTTGGAAGGCTTATTTAGAAAGATTAGCAAATTAATTTGAGAGCATTGCAGGAAATGCGCTATTTTATCATGTTTAGCATTAAATTTAGCACATATAGAATGAGTCTTAACATCATGAAAATAAATAAAAAAAAAAAGACTATTTGAATAACGCATTTACAGTATATGCGGAAAATTATAAATTGTAATTAATTTTAATCATGGCAGGCATACTTTATCGAAGTTTTGGATTCAATACTTGAAATGAATCAAAAAATTTTATACGTATGGGATTATTTAATTTATGTATCTTTTTTTATTATTTATTTATTTATTTATTGTAATATAATTTACTTGCAAATTTACGATCAGCTGATCCATTTATCTCATTAGAACTTCGAACTCGTTTAATTTTTGAAAAACGTCTGATGTAATTGCGCTATAATTAAGAAACGAATGAAGTTAGTTATAAGTCTCATGAATATAACAATAAAAATTTTAAACAGATGGATAACCTTGATTTTAAATATCCTACAAATGAAACTAGGCATTTAGCCTTTTGTCGAAGAACAAAAGTATCCTGAATTAAAAAAAAAATTAGTTGAAGGTTTTTGAAATTTTATGAGATGTTATTGTAAAAGAAGAAACTTACATCTAAATGTTTATTCGAAGGACTCGGTGACATAAATGAAGTTTGTTCTTTCAATTGTTCATAACGTGAATGTATACAGCGCATTGTGATAAGTAGAAGTTCTGCCACACAGTTCTTCAATTGACCATCAAACCCATCTATTGCAGCAGCTTTTTGTTTAATTATGCTAACATCTTCTTCAAAGGGAAAGAGGTCAACATTTTGTATAACCTATTTTTTTTTAAAAAATAAATAAATAAATAAGTATAAATTATATTTATAAATCAAACGATAATTATAAAAGAAATTATTACACTAAGGGCATTCTCAAAATCTTGTTTTTTATACAATTCTATAAAGTCAACCAGACCGAGTAATTTTTCACACGTCTGTATACGTTCTGCTGGTAATCTCATTATTATTTGATGTTTTTTATAATCCTGTAACACTTTTTTAATTTCTTGAGGATTCAATTCCTGTGCACTTTCTGGTTGCATTGAAACACCTTGAATGGAAACCCATATATATTCCGCTAACATCTTATTAAGCAACACAATGATTTTCTCATAATTCTACAAAAGAAAATTATAGAAAAACATAAATTTCATTAACCTAACTAATTAGGTAAATAAGTTTATATTCATTTGTTTACCTCTGTTAATTCATAAAGACTCTGAGCTGCTTTAAATTTTCCATCTTCAACACACTGTTGAGCAAGTTCATAAACAATAATTTCATTGAATTCTTGTTCATCATCAATGTACATTAAAGGCATATATTTTTTTATTTGGCCCTAATTTAAAATAATAAGTTAAATATTAACTCAATGGAATCATAGTTTATATGCAGATGATAAAATATACGAACCTCTCTACTCCGAACATCACCAACCAATTCTGAAAACGCTTCTGTGTCATATACAAGTTGCCTAACATAATAATGACATAACTCAACCTGATGTCGTCCACTGTCTGTTTGGCGGTTTCCATACAGACAAAGTAAAATAAGGTATTGGAATGCTGTGCTAGAAGCTTTATCATTGGCTAATTTACGCACATATTGATATATAATTGTGTTAAAATTAAGCTTTGGACGAGATTCATCTTCATCAATAACTATAAATATAAAATTCAATCCGAATAGAATCAGTAACTTCATTCAATGTATTCAATGTTGAAAATGATTTAATTTTAAAAAACTCGATTTGAATAAGTGAATTTTTGGAGTTCAATCATTCTTCATTATACTTACTTAATGCCATAGCTTCTGCAGATTCTGGAACTCTAAGTAATCCATAATATGCAAGTGATATAGCAAAATGTACAGCATCCTCAGTATACTCATGGTAGAGATAATATATCGCCTAATTGATAATATAAAAAATTATTATTTTCTTATATTAAGAGCATAAATACAGTAATTTAAATAGTTACCTTTTCAAATTGAAGAGTTAACAATAAAACACGGAAATATTGCATAGGATCTTTACCACTATGATTAAAATGAGCGGGGCCTAAATCCCGTACTTTCTTTTGAAATCTCTCAAGTGAGAGAATATCTGAACCGGTTTTACTTTCCATATCTATTTCACTAATACACATTAGCTATAAAATAAAAGAATAAGATAAATAAAGAAGTAATTATAATTAATAGAAGCTTTAAGTATTATAATAATTACATGCAACCACATAAAATCTTCAAATGTAGGACTAATACTGTCTGTCGGTGGCCTTTGGGGTAATTCTTCCATCTGAGCAATTATTTGATATAGTAAGCATTTATACGGGTCATATAAATGTGGAAAAGGTGGCCATTGTTTAATTTCTGTCATTAATTTTTGTCGGTCATCCGAAGGAAGACTTGTAAAATATAGGAAATATTTTTACATGGTTAATTCCCATTAGCAATAAAATTTAGTCCTGTTAAAACGATTAGCAACAAACCTATTATTGTTATTTATATATTTTGTAAAATATACGATAAACGTCTGGTCTGTTTTTGAAAAGTTGCTTTTATAACCTTCTGCAACCTGCAAAGCATCCTGATAATGACCTTGACGAAGCAAAATATAAATGTGTCCCCATATTGGGATATTTTCCGCCATCTTTTTAATACATAATAAATATGATAAATTCGAGATTATTACATGAATTAATTTATACAGAATAATTAAAATAAAAACTTCAAATACCGTTAAGTTATTTATTGGAATTCCTCCATTAGGTCTATGGATAGCACGTAGCATAGCACGAGCTGTATTACTTACGGACGGCTGTCCGCCTAATAGAGCTTCGGTACGGAATGAATTCACATATTCTAATGAATATGCGCGATATCTTTTAAAACAAAGTTCAGAAATAATAGTATTACATTGTATTGTATAATTATTAAAATACTCAGAAAAAAAGGATACGATTCTTCCAGATAACGTTTCGCCCCGTTTAATAAATTTCTGTAGAGTTCTTTATTCTCCGGACTTGAAGCAGGTGCCATATATGATTTAGCATAATGGCGTTCTTTTAAAGGATAACGGGCAAAACGCCCATCTATAACATTATTTTCTCCAACAATCGATATAAGACTCTGCCAACATTGAACTAATTTTTTTACCTAAAGAAATTATAAACAAATACATTAATTAAAGGAAAAAATTTTCCACCTTTAAACCTTATTATGTTGAAAATGATTTGGGATATAATGACTCTTACATAATCTACACCAAGTTTTTTGGCGGCATTTGTAAATTCATTTACAACACCATACTCTATCTTCGATAATCTAAAATTGTTCAACTTAGATACGATATCAAAATATATCAGATGTCTCTGATTTAATTGTGAAGCTGATTCGCTCCTGAATGATACTGTTCTTTCTCCTGCAGTTACATAAGATGATCTCTAAAAAATATTATATAATAGTTAATATTGATTTTAAAATAATAAAGATTGCATATCAAAAACATGGAGCTAACCGGGGTTGAAGGTCCAGGAAAACTTCCTGAAGGAGCCCCTCTCAATGGAGTTTGAAATATAGAACGACTATTCCCTGGTGTAGAAAATAAATCAGAACTATTACTGGAAGTACCAGTTGGAATATGCTGACCGAGTTCTTCGAAAACTTTTCTTTTTGTCTTGTCCCAATCTTGTATAAGACATCGATCAAAATAGGCGTTATAATCATTTATGGTCTAAATTTTAACAGTTAGCTATTAAAAATTTCATACTTTTATAGTAAATAATTCGAATCAATAAAAAATAATAAAAAAATCTTGCTCAACCTGTGTATGTCCATCTTTAATAATATTGGAAATCGTCTGTTGATGTTTATGTTCAATAAATTTCTAAGGATTAACAAAAAATAGGTTAATAAGAAGGAAAGTAATTAAATCCAGGAACTACAAAAATCTTGATTTACCTCAACATCTGTATCTGGTAAAATATCCCGTGGTTCAAAAGCACCCAATACATTTATACTCTTAACTTCTTGTGATAATCTATCACCATCAATCCCAATATTCGCTAAAAAATAGGGGCTAGAGACGCGTCAGCATTATTAAAAATATTATTCAGAAAAGATTGGCCATTATTTTTTTCAATTAAAAAAAAAATTACAAACGAGAAACAGCAATGTATCACAAATATTCACTGTTCTTATTAAATAAGTTTTTTTAATGATGAAAAATAGTTCTTTTCCAATGTTTAATAAAATAAATTTTAATTAAGGAACCTACGCTTTTCTTTCAGGTTCTTCTCCAGGTTTTATAACTTTATCAGCAAGTTTACGCGACTGTTTTTCAATTTGTTCCAAATTTCGCTCAATGGTCGGTATGTCTTGTTTTACGATTGCATTTGCAACCTTACGAGATCTTTCTGCAAGTTGCTTCAGTTGGTTAGTAGTAGCCATACTTTCTGACTGAAATAGATAGATACTCGTTAAACAAACGCAAACAAGATTGTTTAAGCAGTGTAATGGAAAAATTTATAGTTTTTTTTACGATCAATGGAATAAATTGAATTTGCTATATTAGGTAATCCAAATCCTGGTAGTTGCATCGAAGTCCATTATAACAAATTACATATTTAGCATTTTAAAATGAGAATATTATACACAACTGACAAGTTATTTAGCAGGTTATTGATGATAACAATAACATAGGGTAAGATGATGTTTTATTTTTCAATATTTATATATAAATACATAAGGCTTAATGCAACATTTGGTTAAATTAAATAAATATTTTTATCTAAAATAAAAGTCCGTTCTTTTCTTTAGAATCCTAAAATCTATCTTGCAGATATAACAGATATATCAAGACTCATGGTTTTAATGATTTAACTTCACAAATTCTCTCGTCTAAATTGGCCTATTAATATTTAATAATAAATTCATCTCTAAACGATTACTTAGATTTTGAAATGATTTCTAATACTTTCAATATTGAATTGCTTCTAGCATCCTAATTACTGATTGGCCAAAAGTCATGTGATAAACTTATATAAAATGTTATCCATAATTTAAAAAATAGTAGTAGTAATAAAGATATATGTAATAAATAATTAAATAATTGTTTTTTTTTTGTTATTAAACTATTATTATCCAAATTTATTTTGTGGTCCACAATTACAAGAAATTATTATATTATCTATTATATTAAAATATGTTAATTATATGTCAATGCCCACAAAACAATTATACATACTAGACATTCTCTTATAAAAGTCCTCTCTCAAATGTTAAATCAGAACACTGATGAAAAAAAAGAAGTATCCCCAAATAAATGAGTTAATATAAGAAATGTTTAACTAAAAAAAGGGACAGTTTAACACTTACATCAGTATAAAAGCCTCGTTGTATTGCATCCTTAATCAATCCTTTCCACTGAGAATTAGTATCTAATGCCGCTCTATTTCCAAGGATAAACAATGAACATTTAGCTCTAGTTAGGGCTACGTTCATGCGACGAATATCTTTGAGGAACCCAATCCCTTTATCTTCTCCAACTCGAACACAGGAAAATATTATTATATCTTTTTCCCGCCCTTGAAATCCATCCTGAAATATCAACCAAAAAAATTAGTTTGATAAATAAAATAAATTATCATCCAAATAATTACTTACTACGGTATTGAATTCTATCTTATTGTAATAAGACTCAGGAACCCTTTGTTTAAATTTTGCCCTGAGTTCAATCAATTGCCTTTTGTACGGAGTAATAATACCGACTTTATCTTTGAACTAAAAAAAAAAAAATATTTTGCGCAATATGAGATACTATCTCTATTTGTCATTTTTTCAATGTATATATAAATACTTACATCAACATCTTGGAATTTTTTGATTAAAGTTAAAAATAATTTTACGGCTACATAAGCCTCATCAGTATTATACGAAGACTTCTTCTTATCTTTAATCATTTTGCCTTCAACATCAAAAAACCTATACGGTCCAAAGATATGCATACTATGCCATACTTGCGATTTTTTTCTTTCTAAATCAGGTGCATCTAATAATGCATTGTTATAAAACAAACGACTTGGAAATCTGCTAATTTCGGGATGCATTCGATATTGTGTATCTAACAAGTGAATAGCACTCGGAAAACATCTTTGAAATCGAACAAATAAGCTTTGTTCGTATGAATAATCTGTAGCAATTTGAGATAATACCGTAGGCGGCAATTGGTTAGGATCTCCAACCAAAACAATCCTGCTTGCGTTGTATTTGAGAGGTATTAATGTATTTAATTCTATCGCTTGGGCGGCTTCATCAATTATAACCGTAGAAAATTGTATGCCAATATTTGCAAATGTCTCGTGTCCGCTTCCTGCCAATGTCGCACAGACAACATCGGCTTCGAACAAATCGGCATTACTAATATTTCCACGTTTTGCCATGTAATTAACACTTTGTTGTTCTGCTTTCAAATTTCTCAAAGTTTCATAAGTTTTCCCTATTTCATCCTTAGTTTGATCAATTTCCGCATCTATCGTACTTCGATCCCATCCACTTCGTGCTTCTTGACGTCTTTTATTTAAACCTTTTAATTTTTTTTCCAATCGATCCAATTTTAACTTTTGTTCACCTTCGGGTGAATTAGGATCTTTATCTGAACTGTCTAATTTACCAAATCTTACAATGTTCAAATGAACGATATCACCACAAGAATTGTAAATTCCTTGTCGAAGCCTCCTTTCCAATTCATCCACCGCTGCATTACTGGGTGCGCATGCTAAAATTCTATGTTTATATTGATTAGATACACCTCTAAGAGAACTTATGATCGAAAGGATTGTCGATGTCTTGCCGGTACCCGGAGGACCTTGTATTAACGAAAAGCCATTTTTCTGTTGTATGACCTTGTGAACAGCCTCCGCTTGGGATTGATTAATGTGAAAGTTTGTCATATATTCGACTAATTCATTTTCAGGAATTGGACTATAAATTTGCCCTTTCGGGTTTAAGATCATATCTTTGTATTGAAAGTGTGGCAATCCAATTAAAGCGGCATATTCTCGTTTAGGTGGTGTTAGACTCATGATTCTATATACCAACCAACTTGTTTCTGGCCTTAACTCGCTCCTAATACTCATATCTTCATTTTGTAAATAACATAATAATGTAACATGATCATGGTTCGTGCAACTTTTCACAATAGCCAAAAACATTTTAGCTGAGTCTTTGTTTGGAATATTCTGTACTACAATTACTAAATCACTATCAGCGATATTTCTCATCTTATCCAAATTCATCCTACACGATAATTCTTGAAAATCATCAATGGAAGCTATACCTTCAATTATCAATTTATCATATTTATCATTATCCATATCTAAATCGTCTTTCGATTGCACGAAACTTTGCCAACATTCCAAGATCAATAATGGCTCGAAAATTTTGATATATTGTTCGACACTTTCGAATGTGTCTGGAATTTGATGGTATTGATCTCTTAAAGTATTTGGTGGAAGTTCTCCTTTTGATTTCAAACCCCATGATAATACTTTCTTGAAGAGATTATTTATATTTGGTTTCAACCTCTTTTCTATATTTTCTCTTCTACGTTTGTTGGCGACTGCTCGCTGTTGAAATGATGATTCTTGATGTTTAATTACTTCCCTCATATCAAGCAACTTTGTTTTTCTTGGCTTCTGTGGTGGTGGAATATACTTTCGCAATCTTGAATTATTAGAATTATTCGAGTTTTTACCGTCATCTATTTTTATCCTTTTCGATTTTCTAGGATTGACACTTTCTGCACTTTCATTATCTGATGTTGATGAAACAGCTTGGGGTGTAACTGATCTTGATAAAGATTTTTGTGAAATTTCCGAATCAACTATTTCGATCTCTCGGAGTTTACGACGCTTTTCGTCAATCTTAGCATACTTTTCATTTTCCTCTTTAGCTCTCTTAAACATTTCAAATTTCTCTTTTTGTTCTTTTAAGAATGACTCGTGCAATTTACTGATTTTACTTTGTTCCTTTCGACTATTAGGTGCTTTTGATTGATTCCAAGAAATAGGTTTCCTTCGCATCATATTTAATGACGGTTGTTTTTCAGATGATCCCTCAGTAGTCTTTGTAGTCTCAGTAGTCGTTAATTCAGATGAGTCATTAGAAGTAATAGATGGAGTATTTGTTGTCAGCGAATTAAGTGAAATTGGATTTTCTAGAGTTCTTTTTTTTGGTACGGATTCTATTATTATTGGATTTGGTTCAGATTCACTGATTTGATCATCATTTTCATCCTGGATAACTTCATTTCCATACTTTGAAATTTCGTTAATAATTTTTTCTCGTTCCGTTCCTGAAGGATTTTTATGAAATATTCCATATCTATCATTAATCGCATTTTGAAATTTATAATACAATTTAGAATGAAATGAATAATTATTATCTTCTATTATCTTTAAAGCCATCTTCAATGATCTTAAAGAAAAATCCTCATTCCTATCACTTTGTTGAAATATACATAGTAAATTACCCAACATAACATTAATAAAAATATCGTATTCTTCATCATCATAATCACGCAAAGAATCTATAATAGCAGGGAACAAATCGAATACAACTTTTTTTGTTGGTTCAGATTTTGTTGATTCCATCACATTATAAAAGATCTGATTATCAGTTACATTTATTATACTTTTCAAAAGCATTAATGGTGAAGATTCTTCTGAATTAAACCAAAAGTGATGTTTTAATTTACATAAAAATGCACGTAAAAATCTAACAATCTCTACAAATGTACTTTCACTTTTATTATTGATAAATTTTTCTCTTAATAATTTTGACATATCAAAATTTTCATCCTCATTTAATATATTATGAAGTATTTCAGAATTCAGGATACAAATGATCTTTGTGATTCCAGTTAAATACAATCCTTCTTTTTTTACTATAGGATAATCAAAAGTTGATTTTCTCAAATTATTATAAAGATAATAATCTAAAAGTTTCTTGAATAGTTGATAATATTCATGAATTTTCAAATTTGAATTTAAATTTGAATCTTTCAAAGTTATTTGTAAACATTTCCAAGCAATTTTTCTAACATCATCACTTTCGTGTACAGAAGCTAGAAACAGACCTGGAGGAAATTCTTCCGCCAATGATTGAATAAAACTTTGTGATAATTTTGAAATCAATTCTGAAAACATAGCATTGATATCATAATTTTGAAATAAAGATAAGTTAAAGAATATTTCAAATACAACAACTAAATCATCATTAGATATTTCTTTATTTAGATTTAATTGAAGTTTTAAGAAAAATAATGTTCCTAATACACGTTCTTCATCCCATGATTGAATTAAACTAAACAAAACATCTACATTTTCTTTATCGTCATAATTAACTTTATATCTAAAGAGAAATAAAAGGAATAATTATTTTATATAAATAATAATAATTATCTATAGAAATTAAACGATCACAATCGTACCTTTCATATAAATCTTTCTTATTTGGTATATAATTCTTTACACATTTAAGACATTTTCTCAACATTTCTTTTAGTACAGTTTTGAATTCTTCAACGTGCACATCAGGATTTTGAAGACCAAAAAGAAACAATAACTCCGTAGCGATGTCACTTAGTTCTTCATTACAAAACCAATGACATTCATTAGGATTATTATGATATAATGATAACAAATAAGCGAGGGCTTTATTAAAGAATTCTTCGGCAGATTGTTTATCAGTGGATTCTTTACGCGAACGTAATAATAAGAGAATTCCATCGTGCGTAACTTGAGTAAATTCTTCATTTATGGATGAGGATGAGGATGTTAAGGTTGTGGTATAAGGGCAATCGTTTGCGGATAAAGTGGCTGTGGGATTGGATCTCATTTTTTTTTTTATCGCACAAAAGCACAACAAATTTTTTCTCACAATATATTTCACAGTAAATAGGAGAAAAAAGAGAAAAAAAAGGTAAGAAAGAATAAGAAAGAAAGAAAGTAAAGATAAAAAAAAATTTTTTGAAATAAAAAAAAAAGATTTGAAATATATTTAGATCAAATTCGCGGTCATTGTTTTAATTATACACACGGATAATTGCTACAATAGTTATTGTGTCATTTGAAGCAATTAAATTACTCAGCAAATCATGAGGAGACGCATGGCGCAGTTGTTGATTTATGGAAATATTTACACATAGTGTTACACTTTTTTAATTATTCATTATGACAATTACAAAAATTCTAAAAAAAAGATACTTTGCCACAATGGCACAGCTAAATCCTAAGGAGATCATTTTCTTTATTTAAAATTAAATTACATCACCATATTCTTAATTGGATCTAACTTATTTAAGATCAAATATAGCAATACATTATACACTACGCCAAAGGAATCAGTGATATTTTTCATAAAAAAGAGTTTAAATAAAAGAGTTTAAATAATTCATAGCATTAAAACATATACCTTAGAAATTTATTAAAACATTCTTAATCATAATTAGCATTATCATAGAAAGAAAAATATTAATTCTAAAATACTAAATTTTGAATCATAATTATAAATATTAGAAACTCTTGTTATTGTTTTTATAACTAATCATCAAATATTTAAAAATTTAGATCCACCAGGCGTCTCAAAATTATATTCAAATAGTGACAAAAGGACACCGGCCCTTTTTTATAGCGAATTTGATAACGAATAACAGTTATGAAGAGTTATAAATACGGTATATAAATTTCTACGTGTTTAATAAAAATACTGGGTAACTCATTTGAATATTATTTGTATCCAATTTTAATAAAAAGAAGAACCATTGAATAGTTGCTTCATAAAAAGATCATTATTATAACTGATATTTTGTGGAGGAAGATGTAAAAATAAAGCGTTATAATTGTAAGGATTAAGACGGGAACGTCTTTGAGCAAACAAAAGTCTTCTCAATCTTCTTCTATTCATTTTTTTTATTTTTTATTTTGGTTTTTTTTATTAGAGGAATTCGCGAATCGGGTTGATATTTATATTATTTCATATAATATAAATTATGATAATAACTAAATTAAAATATTTATAACCAATTATATTTTAGCTTTCTCTCTCTCTTACTAGTAGACAATATGAAAAGCATTAGCATTATTATTCACTTCGCGAATACGTGTCATTTGATCCAAATATTACCACATGATTAATAAGTTTCGCGGCTCCTCAAGAGCAGTTCTAAACGTTATCTAACAAATAAAAGAAAAGAACATAACATACAGTTATCTTGTGTCACTGATCCCAATTACCTATCAAATATTTTTTTTTTATATTTTTTTTTTTAAGATCCGGAAATAATAAAATAGAAGCTAAACCCAATATAGAAAATATTTTGTTCCGATATTTACCGGATGAATACGGGGAATTCGTCAACACATAAGTTTAAGTCTCTCATTTCAATATAAACGCATATTAAAAAGGATTCCTCTGATAAAAAAATGATTTTTTTTGACTTAATAGACGATCAGTAGAATTTTACTTACAAAAGTTAATCAAATGTTTATTTCGGATTAGTTACGTTCTACAAATTCCGTAGAGAATCGAAGAGATAAATCAATTTATCCCGAGTTCTAGATTTATCTTCATCTAATTTTTTATCAAATTATAAAATAAATATTTTTTTTATATTATTCTTATTTTACACAACATATTTCTTCTATTATACCACCCTTGTTAATAATATATTAAATCTGTACAAATCGTAGATAACTTTAAAAAATAAAGGGGGATCAATACTTATAATTGGAAATTTTCGGATAAGTGATAAAATAGATTTTTTTTTTTTTTTTAAAAAAAAAAGGCAGTATTATCATTAAAAGAATTCCTACAAATTCCGATAAATTCAATTAAAATCTTTCCGAGATACGACAAATCACGAAAAGAAAAAATAAACAATCAAGGAGACAAGGACTCCTTAATACTTCTAGGCCAAAATTTTAGGTTTATAGAAAATCATCACATTATCACATTATACTATTTAAAGAGTGGCCTCATGACTAACATAGCGTTTCACATTTCGCTTGCATAAAAAAATTTAACGCCAAAAAATTCCGAAATTTCCCATGGCTAATTTTTAATTACAAATAATCTTTATCAATGATGGATTGAATGGACATTTCGTGTTACTTCATAATAAAAAGAGTGGTCATCGGTTATATATTATTATAACCTAAAAGAATCAAGCTTGGGAAGAATGTAAAATTTCAAAGTGTCATTTTGTGATCAATTAAAAAAAGTTCACAATCATAAAAATGAAAAGCAAAAAAAAATTTTTTTTTGTTGTTATGCGAAAAATTCCGAAAATAATTATGTAAAGGTTTGGAATCTAAATTAGTTGAGAATTTTTTTAACAAATGTGGTACATTATGTAAGCACGAAAATTTTATGTAAATGAAAAAAGAAAATTTATAATATGGTTGTACATAATGGTACACTATTCTAATTCTAGCAGTATATTTTTCTTAATTACAACATTTATTTGTATGAACAGTTAGATTCGGAATACCTTTCCCACTTAAAATTTTTATGGATACATACGGAAAACTAAGATTGGAATTTTATAAAAAAAGAACTTTTGCACTTTTCGCTTATTATTAAAGAGCGATCGGCAAAAGAACCCATTTTGGAATGAATGTAAAATTCGTGCCTGTCACAAAATAAGTCTACGTTATTATTTCCACAAGAAATCAATTAATTCCTCGCAATATATGAAAACAATTCTATATGTCATTCTAGTGTTTGATACGTAAGCGTCCTTTAAAGGAAGTCAGAATCAGTTATTAAGAATTCATTCAATTGTCCAATCACAATTTTTTATAAAAATGTAGTTTATGCATAGTTGCATAAGAATGCATATTCGTTTCAAGAACAATAAAATAGTTTTTATTCTAGTTTGCGGAGGTTGTAAGACGCAAATAAAGTCCGTGCGGGATAAGATAACAATGGGAAAGTTTTATTTAGTCGGGATTTTCCGTAAGCGGTGCGGGGCGTAACTTTAAAATCATTAAAATTATTTCAATTTGATTTAGTCTTAAATTTCCAAATTATCAAGAAAAAAGGTTTAGCTAAATAAATATACAGTAATTTTGCTTATTCCGATGAATTTCTGTTCGATTATCATAACATTGTAAAATTGTAAATAAAGTTCACTCTATAAAGCAAAAATTACGTTCTTAATACTACTCAAAATATGCATCGACCGTGTGACAATCTAACCTTTGTTTGTTCAATTATTTCCGTCAGACGAATCATCATTGCAGCTCAGGAAACAAGAGAAAAGAAAAGTTCAGAAAAAACACAATCTGGTCGTTGCTTAAGTTTTGAAATTTAGAACACAAACTAACGATTTTGTGCATGATAAGGGAAAGGAACATGGCTTTGTAGTTTGTACAAAAGAGCCTTACATATATTGATTAACGAGTCGAATTATCCTACAAACAAGTGAACTTGAGTCGAGTCAACCGAGTCAGTTATATATAACAGATAACAGATAACTGATGAGACATATAAAGTTAAATTATGTATTAAAATTTTACTTATATTGCCCGATGTCCGAAGTGGTTAATCACATGATCATAAACCATCTATTCCTTGAATTATTTTCTTTCAAAATTCTGCATAAGTATTTTAAGTATCCCAAACAATTTATGACAATAATAAGTATTTACTCTCGGGTACAAAAAATTTTTTTTCTTTAGTATTTTTTTTCGAAAAAGAGTTGTGTTGTATTTAAATTTTAATATTTTTTTGAATCCTAATTAAATGCATTTTAAAACTTGAGATTTTTTTTTCTAAATATTAAAAAGACAAAAAAAAATTTGACGTGTGACAGACGGATATTGTATGTCTTGAAAGTCCTTCGTTACGGTTCCCGTTACCTATTTTTGTTCGCGTCAAAAATAAAATTAAAATCGACAAAAAAAAGTAAAAATAAAAATAAAAAAAATATGTATATAATTTTTTAAAAAAAAACTATTTTTTTTTTAATTTTGGAACGTGGTAAGTTTTTAATTACATTTCGTTTATTCGTTCTCTTTTTCTTTTACTTAGACATTAGGTTTTGGGGACCGCTTGGACTTTCCGGAACGTAAATTCGGAAGGAAGGGGAATTTTTTTTTAAGTAGGAACGTTAGTAAACAATACTAACACTCCATTTCTTTTTTTTTTTATTTATGAACCCTTAAGACGCTTCGGAAACGACGAAACGTTAGAAAAGTGGGAAGAGAGGAGGGGGAATTTTCTTTACTTTAAGAACGTCACTACTCTCTTTTTTTGTCTAACAAACATGGTAATATCAGCGTCTTCTGTTACAACGGAAAAAAAGGAAAAACTGCAAATGCAAGAAGTTATCGAAGAGTTTTCAACAGAAATGATACTTGGTCGCTACTTAAGTTCCTTAATTACTGAAAGAAGTATTTTACGTATGAAAAAGATAAGGAACATATGTTGTACAAGAGCGCGTTGACTATGACTTCTGATGAACGAGTTCAATCATGCTCCTCAATTTTAAGTTAAAATATATGAGATATGCAATACTGCAATTAATAGTTGGGTTCAAGAGATAAAATACGTTCCAGTCTTAGGACATTGTGACATATTGACAACCCGAGTAGCCCGCTGGATTCGCTCTGGCGAGTGAAAGTGGAGTTCGACTTCCTTTAGCGCACTTGAATACACTACGTGTTAGTTGTCATAACGCAACAGGTTTGGCTCATCCTAACTGATTGTCAGGCTTCGTGCTATGTTATGGTCCATCTCAACCGCGTAAAATAATTAAAAAAATATTATTCGATCTTATACTAATAGCGTTTTCTTTTAACTAAAGAGGGAGAAAACTTCTCAGAGTATTGAAAAAAAGCTAAGAAGACAAGATCGAAAAAGAATCGGCCCGTAGATCACGTTTTGTGGTTGTTTATATAAGTAGAGAACTTTGTTTGTAAAATAGTTAAGATACATTGGCAACATGATAGATGATTCCATTAAGGATTCAAAAAAATGAGGAACGCTTTTATCTTATAAATTAAAGTCATTTATTTGTAAAAGGAAAGAGAAATTACGTAAGTATTAAAATTGGTTTTATTTATATATTTTTTTTTATGTAGTAATTTTATTTTTCCTTCTCAACTAAAAATTCTAATTTATATACATCGGATCCCAACAAAAAGGTCAGGCTAGGGCTAATTATATGTCTAATTTGTCTCATAGTTAATATGGCTTTGTACGGCTGATGTCACATTTGATGAATATATTATTGCCGTTTATGCCGTCAGAAGATGATGAATCCGCACACGCAGAGTAAGTTAATTTTTACTTATTCGCCTGTCTATTCGTTATTTGCCACTTTTTATTTGTTGTAGCCCACTCTGGTGATGTGTTCTAGATTCCTGCGAGGAGAACATATTTCCAAGTCCAAACCTCCCTCGTGCTAAGAAATTCTTCTCTGCTGGTGAGATCGATCGTTTGATGGGTATGTCAAAAGTGCCATTCAAGAAGAAAAGAAAAATATCGGTAAATCAGCAATCTTTTTTAAACTATTAGAAATTGTTGGCCTTAGACTTCTTGCGAAAGAATGAAATGTGTTGAGGACACGTAAGTTCCCATCCGTATTCATGATGATTTAGTCGTTTACATTCGTTATAAATTTAACATGGTATTATAATAGTTATACATAGATTAAACGTTTTTTGGAAGATCCCCATCCGAAAGAACTGCAGATATGTTTCTAGTCGGACTTATGCCACAACCTACAAATTATATTCACATAATTTCAGTTTGTTTTTGACCGCTTTATCCGTTATATTAAGCATCATTTTTCTTTAGCAGCGAAAATCATTCTGACGCTGATCGTGAGGACAAACCAGACCGTTCTTGGACTCAACGTATGTGATTTGTAGAGTTTGTGTCGAGAGGGCGACATTGTAATCACGACAAGGCTAAAACAAACCTCGTCGACGTGATTAAAGTCTCTAGGGCCCAACATATAGAACTAGAAAATCAATTATCGAGCAGTGTGAGCTACCAGAAATCACGATGGCGCTGATCTTTATATGAAATTTATATGAGGATTAGGTTTTACATGCTTTTTCAAATCAATAGAGATCTTTACAGCTTTTTGGATTGGATAAAATACGAACTTCCACAAAGAAGACTCAATGGTTGGGCAATTTAACTATTTATTCAAATACTAGAGCATATTGATGCAAACTGTGTAGCATTCATGAAATTTCCAAAAAAAAATAAATGACTAGACTGTTAAGGATTTGTTTCACAATTGTTATTGTAAAAAATGGATGTCCACATAATGAGATTTATTTTAACAATAAAAAATAATTTATTATTTGACTAATTCAGTTCATTATACTTGATTTGTTTGTAATTCAATATTTTCATAATAGAAAATTGATTAAAAATACTTTATTTTATATTATTTAATAATTTATTTATAATTTATAAAATTATTATATTATATAATTACTTTTAAAATACAATAAAAATAGATAAATAATCATTAATATACTAATGTCTTACTTTCAAATACCTATTCATTAAATACTTTTTAAAAATTAAATAAAGTTAATTAAAAAAAATAGTATTTAAAAATAAAATAGATTTATTTGTATATTAATAACTCATAAAATATGTATTTTTTTTATAAATATAAAATCTCTGAATACAGTAAATACAGTTAAATTATTTGCTAATTGGTAATAAATAAATAATTTATATTTATTAAATTTAAAATATTTTTAAAATATATTTTTTTAAATATATTAAATTTTAGATTTTAAAAAAAAGATTTTTTTTAAAAAAATTTTTATTAAATTAAATTAAAAGAAATCAATTGTTTAAATGAAAAAAAATATATATAATATTATTTAAAAAATAATAAATCAAAAATTTTTGTTATAATAAAAATAAAAAATAAAAAAAAAATAATTATTTGAAATTAAAAGATTATAAATATAAAATGTAATTCTTTAAAATATAATAACTAATATAGTGATATTAATACATTAATATATTCCATTTGGATCAGATTAATGTTCTAATACATTATAGTCTTTTAATTAATATATACTAAAACATCATAATCTAATAATTAATATATTCCAGAATAATAATATTATTATAGCCAAATATAAAATTACTTCATGCAAATTAAAGGTAATAGGTATGGACTATACTAGTAGGATTTATAAAAGTAAAAATAATTTTTATCATCAATATTTGCAAAAATTGGCTTGTAGATAAGTAATAGACCAAGTTGTATTAGTAAAACACTATAGTATAATAAACAACTCACCTTCTTGCAATTGTTTGAAAAGATTAGAGGATTAGGTAAAAATAAAAGAAAAAAGAAATTAATCTTGATAATATTTATATGTCTATTCAATTAGGAAAAGTTATTCAAACTCTTTAATAAAAATTAATCATATAGATGGATAATACTTTAGCATTAGCAGATATTGTTTATTAAATTTTTAATTTTTCATTTAAAGCAAGATATTTCATATATAAAATTTTATGAAAATAGTAACTGATCAAAAGTATTTATCTGATAGTATATCTTACAAGTAGGAAGTTATCAGGTATACAGAGAAATTAACCAAGTTAGTTGGGCTAGACAAGCAAAATGCAGAAGTATATAGTGCACTTTTGGGGCAAATTAAGGTGCTAGAGAAAAGACTGGATGATTATTATTTCCAATATAAAAAAGCTTAAAAAGAAAGTTAATTGACTAGAAAAATGTATAGAAGAACATATGGATTGGCTAAAGGATAATGTGGATAAATTACTTGCTATAGGGCATTGCAATTGTAGTAAAAAATCCATAAATAGTTCATCTGAGTCCAGTTTATCTGAGTTGAAGAATTTGATGCGGATTATGTGCCACCAGAAAAGAAGATTCATAAAGTGAACCCAGGTAAAATAATATATATAAAGAAAAAATCTGGCAATAAGAAGGCAAAATCTAAAAGGGATCTGACCTAATTCTAATATATACATTAGTAATACATTATAGCTAGACAATTTGACTCAAAGTATTATTTCCTCCTTAATGTTAAGAGCTGTTGATAGATTACTAGCTGATTAAGCAGAATGGTGAATCTGAAGTAATAATTCCTATACAGAAAACTTTCATGAATCTGTTATTATTACTGTTAAATAGGAAGTGTATAATACCCTCCTATTTTGAGATCAGGAAATATCTTGTTCACTATTTTTTGACTAACTCTATAACAATTTTTCAGGCCAAGATATTCTACACTATTTAAATGTTCTGCAACAGCTTTAAGTGTTGTATTGAAAACGAACTCAGCATGTCCAAGATAAAGATATACAATACTAGAACACGTTGCAATTTTAGAAATTGATGAATTGGAAATTTCTTTTACAGCTCTGTTAGTAATGTTGCAAAATTGAAAATCAAGATATTGGATATTTGGGCATGATTGCGCAATAATGCATATTGATTTATCACTAAGAACTTTTCATACTGCATAGTTTTAGATATTCCAAATAATGATGTTGTGCGATTTTCCTGATGGCAGTATCACTTATTCCATCACAGTGCTTAAGTTTTAAACTTCTTAGATTTGGATATAAACCTGTGATGGTATAAATAGCAGTATCAGTAAGTCTATTACAATCACTAATATCTAAGGATTGGAGGATAAGGTAGGATTCTGCGATATTATGTATAATACTATCAGTGATAAGATTCTGATATCCACTAATTCCTAGGTGTTTTAACTTATTACATGAGCCGTGCGCAATTTCACAGAGTGATTTCTCCGCCCAACCAATATCTAAAAACTACAATTTATTATATTTCTTTGCAATTTTAGTGATAGAATGGTCGTTTAAACCTCCATTGCTAAAAACGTTAAGATGGATCAGGTTAGGATATGCTTAATTAAAGCTTTATTATCAAAGCCTGTACTTCCCCCAAATCTAGAAAATCTAGATGAATTATATTTGGAAAATTTTTGAACGATTTTTTCAATTATCTCATTCAAAAGATTAGAATGGTGCGCAATTACGAGGTATTGCAGACTGTTTATAAATCGGTCTAGGATTTATTTGAATGAACTTTTCCAGTCGCGTCATGCCACGAATGTCATAAACATTTCATAAAATTGGACTGGCGCACATGAACCAAGTTTAGAGACGAGAAAAGTGGGATATAGTGTGTTATCTTTAGCTAAGACATTTAGAATCTTATTTAGTATTTCAGGTAGAGCAAGCGCCATTTTTTTATCGAGATTAAGTACCTCAAATAATTTTTTATTTATTATTGGAACGAGGGTTATTACATCTAGAGTAGTGATCATCTGCCTGGAAGATTTTTTTCTGGGCTACATATACCGCTAATACCTTATTTTTTCCGATTGAAATATCTTCTAACTATATAAAAAATGCATATAGTTAATTTATTAGAACAACCTCCGCCGGAGATAATATCAATTATTTTAAAGAATCTTCCAGAACGGAATCTGAAAATTCTCGCAGTATAAATGATATATGGAAAAAGAGAGGCGAACCTTGAATGGACCAAAAGAACGGAATTTTTATTTGGGATAAAGGATCAAGGCAATTATACGGTAAAGGAATTTTATTCGAAGTTGAAAGAGTGTAATTTAAGCAAAGAATATTTTGAAGAACAACTTAAATGGCTATTCCTCAGAGGATATCACATGGAAATACATTTGAAGTTCTTTTGGATGGATTACAAGTACTTGCGTTAGATGAAATAGTGGAAAGACTTAATCCAGAGTATATTTCGCATTTTTTTCATTTGAAGATACAACGTATAATATGCACTAGGGTGTTTAAACTGGTTACGGTACATTTCGCTGAACCATTTTGCCAAAAATGATAGAAATAATAGCGATTATCACTTTTATAAAAATATTAATCACGCAATGAAAATAAATTTTTTTTTTTTTTTATTATTAAATTACATCAGGAACCTTAATAGATATTCTAATTTACACTCGAATATACAAATGAAAATGTATAAAATAAAACTTAGATGTTGAATAATATCTTCGATTCTTGATTGAGTACTTTATATTTTCATTTTTTTTAGTTTCTATTTTACGTTCTTTTGCCACGTCACTTATTTTTGCAATAAAAATAAAATTAACCAATTTACTTTTCTTAACAACCAACAATAAGAATTACTCTCATTATTAAAATATTTCTTACTTGAATAATGTGAGAGCAATATTAGCTATGCTATATTTACGTATAAATCAAATTGCAAAACGTTTGAACAAAAAAATTATTTTTAAGTGTCTTTCTTCTATGATATTATCACTTTAACATTCAAGTAACTGATATTAATTGTTAAGCAATAAATAAATAACTTTATTTTCCTGAAAACATTTATTCAGTAAAAAATGATTAATATATTATAAACAACAAGACGAATTTAATAAAAATTAGCTAATTCAAAAATTTTCTAGAAAAAATTCTTCATGTATTTAGTATAAAAGCAATAAAATAAACAAATGTAATAAATAATATTTGACAAACGTCAATTCGGCGAAATGGCTTCGGCGAAATGGAATTCGGTGAAATGGGTTTCAGAGAAACGTCCCTTCGGAGAAACATCCCTTCGGCGAAATGGCTTTGGCAAAATGGGTTTTGGCGAAACACCTTTCGGCGAAATGTCCTGATACCCAAGTTAATTTGTCACTGGTATCACCTTCCGTTATTGATTTTTACTATTTATTTTAAGAACTTAGAATTTTTATATTATTTGTCATACACTAACCATCGCATGGTTCTTTTTTAATATAAATTATATAACCCAAGTACAGTCGGCTCGCGTTATAACGAATTTCAATACAACGAATTATTTAGTACAACGGATTTTCATATTACTATACCGAATTTTACTAATTAAATGCTGTATACCGTTTAAAGAAGTAAAGTGTATAAACAGTATATACAAAATGACTCACATTGTAACGAATTTTATATTATAACGACACTATTTTATAAAAATTTCATAAATTAAACGAATTTTATTTCAGCGTATGTAATTTTCACCGTGTGACATAAAATTATTCACATTATATAAATTTCAATTGTAATGCAGTATACCGCAATATACAAATACCAGATTTTCCTATAATAATAACGAATTTTCTTATAACGAAGGTCAGATCAGCCCAGACACCAAATTCGTTATAACGCGAGCCGACTGTATTAAACACCCATGTACAAATAGAAATTGCCTTAAATTTAATAACTGGATCAAAAGAATAGTTATGGATTTCTTCTGTGTTGGCCATTTATTCAAAAACAAAAAAATTAATACGCATAACAGCCGTAACATTTCGTTATAATTAAAAAAAAAAGTAAAAAAAAATTTTATTTCATGAAACTCAAGGAGTATAAAGAAGAGGGAAATTAAATTAAATGAAATGGAAAATTCGAAACAATTAAAGATGAATCGACTGTCATTGTAATTTGATCTACAAAATTGGGTTAGATCTAGATACGCGCAGATGAAATATAAGATTCAGTATGCTGTTGAATCAATATCCTCTAATTCTAGATTAATGCAAAAAAAAGTATTTATAGGATAGATATTCGTAAGGAGGTATAGGTGCCAGAATTGAAATTACGGCATTAAGAAATATGGATTTTACCATTTAAATATCTAACAAATCATCAAAGATCAGCATTATAGATTTACAAATTATAAAAATATTTACTTTCTTTGTTTAATTTTTGTATATTTGGCATTAAATAATTACGGCATTACGGCATTATGGCGAGTTAATATAATACGGTATAAGCTTCATATGCCGTAATTAATTACTCTATAATCGATACTGATAAATACACACGACAAGAAATTCTAACAGAACTACTTTGAGACTAATTAATTTTTCATATCGGCGGATTTATGTAATCACATGTTAGCCGAACATAGTGATTCTTGCCGTGACTGATGGATGCATAATATCAGTAAAACTGGGGTTTCCTTTTTCTATATTTCTATAATGAATATGATATTGTATTCAGATCGACAAAAATTTTCATATTATAAAGGTGATTTGTACATGAATTTCTTTTTAAGATCATCCCTAATTTGAGAAAATAATTATCGGATTTGATGATCATATCCGGCCGGAATCAAATTTCTTTAACTTCGAGAAACCTTATTCGATCAGCATTCTCAAAATATATAAAAATGGAGCTAGAATGCAATTTCTTTGTGAATAAAATCACTCACATAAGATATCTTTCTCAATACTACTCTTAATTCATCATGCGCGCTTTGCATATATTTACATTCGCAGTAGCAATTTTTCTATCTGTTGATGCATTACCCTATGACAAACCTAATGTGTATACAATTCCGCTAAAGTCGAAATCAATCACTCGTCGCAGGCTTTCCAGGCGAGCAATTGGATCCATGCCAGTAAACCAAGAAGAACCAGATGTTGCTTATTTTGGACAAATTACCTTTGGCACAGGCACCCCACAGAATTTTGATATACAATTTGATACAGGATCAGGCGATTTATTTGTTTTTGGTAAAAATTGTGGATCACCTGCATGCGAAGATAAACCTAAATATGATTCAGGTCTTGATACATCTTTCACTCCAATTGAAGGAAAAGATTTTGAAGTCGAATACGCTGATGGCACAGGAGCAACCGGGGATTCAGCCAAGACCACTATTGTAATAGCGGGTATTTCGGTAGATGCACAAGAGTTTGGAGTGGTTAATGAAATTTCTGATGATTTTGAACACCCATATGTGGGTATAATGGGGATGGCATTTAGTGACGCAAGTCAAAACGAACAAACCACACCAATCACGAACCTTATAAATAATAATCAGCTCGATAATCCACAATTCTCTTTTAAGCTTGGGAGGGATGCAGATCAATCACCAAGCGAATTAACAATCGGTGGGAGTAATCCAGATAGATACCATACAGATACACTTACCTTTACACATCTAGTAGATGATAATGGCGGCCAATGGGAGATCCCTATTGATAACTGCGTTGTCGATGGCGAAGAATTAAATCTCGAAGGTCGTACTGGACTTATTGATGTTGGGTCCACACGAATAATTATGCCACCTGATGATGCTGATACATTTTATGCTGCAATTCCCACTGCTATAGACAATGATGATGGGACCTTCGCACTACCTTGTGAAGAACAACATGAAATTAGTCTGGTATTCAGCGGTAAGACTTGGAATATAGATCCTAGAGATTTTACAGTTGAAATAGATGAAGATGATTGCATTGGATCTGTTGTTTACGCCGATACTGGTAATTATACGATTTGTTTAATGTATTTTTAATTAAAATGTTTAAAAGGTATTCTTTTTTTCAAAATCCTTCAGGATCGGACACAGAATGGCATATTGGCAGTGCATTCTTAAAGAACGTATACACCATTTTTGATCAAGGCAATCGTCAAGTTGGATTTGCCCAATTAACTTAAAATAGTTAGTATAAACCATTATCGCAGATTGAAATGGCTTTAGCATTCGCTAACATAATAAAATTTGCAATGTAACATAAACTGAATTTAACTATAGCTTTTGTCTAACAGTTAGTATTATATATAAATAATATAATTTTTAGGGTTTGAGATAGGTTATTTGTCCTGACTAACTTGAAAATGAATTTTTTATGAATAAAATCCTATTTAATACCCATAACTATTGCACAATTTTAGTCATATGATTTGTCACATCTGTCTTGAAATCTTACATTATTAGTTACGGTTGTGTGACTACACGTAAATGTATCAAAATTTCCAGTATCTATTGTTTTTTAGGCAGGAACAATAATTATTTGCAGCGGATAAGTATATTCTAAAAATAATAATTATAATCAATTCCAAATCATATGAAAATTTTCAACTCTTTTTATTAATATAATAATAGAAGATTTATTTTCAATAATAAGTTTACATTTTACAATACTACATTATCATATATGCCTGTGCCAATATTACAATTTTCAGAATTAAAATTCATTTTTTACCATAACTTATATTAGACTGCAAAAAAAAAATTTTAGTTTGCTTCTTGGAATTTTAAGTGAATTTAATTTATACTTTTATTTAATAAATTTTTATACTAAGTCTTTAAACCAGAAATAAGCATTTGTAGTTAATTTTTTTAAGTTTTTCCAGGAAGTTAGAAAACAACTATGACTTTTAAAGATATCAAAATGTAGCTTTAGGATTCAAAATTATT